GATGAGCGTGGTGTCCTCAGATTGTTCATCCTTTAAGTTCCGGTGACAAAAGCGCGACCATTCGGTGACGTCATACCCGGTCCGACTGCGAGTACCGTAGTAATGTCATAAATGCTCACGTTACCGGTTTTAATAGCTTATGCTTGCACCGCCTCTCCCGAGCAAGCGGACAAAAGGTAGTGTCAATTTGGGCGGGATCTGCTCGTTGAGTCATACGGTACAGGGCACAGATGTTGTTAACACTGGCTATGTGGGTGCTGGCATGGTGTAGAAACCTCAGTGCGGCGGCTGTTCAGTACGGTACCGGTACGTCAGACGTCAGTACCGTAATGCAGTCTGCCGCAGTACGAGTCGATTGCTACAGCCTACAGTGCTTCTGCTGAGCAGTGAGCAGCCCTGCCACTGGCCCTGGGCCTGGGCCTAAGCTTCGGACGCGGAGTCGGAGCCGGCGGACTTCGCAAATTGCAGGACTTCTCAAACTCGAACGAGGCAGACTCAAAACTCGTCAGAACCAAGGCTTGTTCAACAACTTGTTCACGCGAGCTCTCTTTGTCGAGACTCAAGAGGCTCGGGAGCTTGGTTCCGTGCATTCCTGGTCAGTTGGAAGCTATTACAAGCAAAAGAAATCTATGACCCTAAAAAATTTGAAGCGGGAGGAAATATTGAAAGAAAAGGAGGAAGTTCACGGAATTTGAGCCAGATTACGGATCTGATACTGAGATTGAAAGCAAGGAGCGTACGGCCCCGAACCTGAAGTGAAGGTCAGCTCTTCGTGCTTCGATTTATTGAGGCATCTCTCCTCCTTGCGCGTCGTGGCAAGCAGTGTGTCAGATGTATGAGGCAGATGTGCAGTTGATTGCTGACCATTTCAGCCCTGAGGGACTTGGCAATGGCTATTGTCAGTAATCTTGAAGGACCTCTGATGTTTTGCCATCAATGAAGCATCAAGGCTCGGTCCCTTTTCCTGGTCTTTATGCTTGAGACCACTTGTGAATGCAATTCTGTCATGTCATTTGACAGCTGGCTCCATTTGCTGTATTGTCGCTCTCTGCATCGGATTCAGAAGTGCAGTATTTGTCAAGCGCTGTCAGACCCCGTCTCTGCTTGCGGTGATTCCAGGGAGAAGCTCATTGAACGGCGCACCTCTTGATCCGCAGTGGGTTGTAAAAGCTGAGTTTCAATCTTTAGCCCACTCGCAATGTGGCAAGGAGAGGGTGGTTCCTTAAAAGTTGGGCACCTGGTGACCCACAGCCAGCTAATCACACCTTCTCAACTTCGTTTTCGGAAGTGCTGGCGCCGCACTCGTATGGTCCGCTCAATCTGCCTTGTCCCGTGAGTACAGGCGAATGCGGCAGGGCGGCTTCTCAACACCGTCAACATCGCCGTAACAGCTGTACCCTATGTGAAGGCTCCATTTGCCAACCCGTGAAGGGATAGTCCAGTAGCGAGACTCCTCAATTAGCCTGGTCTCTGGCTTGCATGCATCCGGCCCACTCGAATGCGCTCAAGTAAATTGGACCTTGAGATCATCATTTATCAGGCAGCAGCTGTCACTCCTAGAGTAGACGATCCTACATCCCACTTTGAAACAGTAACCTTTAGGACTAGTAACTAGGAGCAAAGGAGTGCTTCTTCAAACAAACTGAAGCAGCTCGCAATCTCATTTAGCAACAGGACTCGTAGGGCTCCTTCTAGGGTCCACACACCATGGCAGTCGATAGTCGAAGCAACGGCTTAACAGAGCCCCTGAACCCCTCCCACGAGCACCTTCATGAGGATCATGAAGAGACTTGGGCGGATGTCGGGGAAGAGGCGAAGGAGCAGTTAAACCTGGCGTACCCAATCATTGGAATGAACGTGGTTCAGCTACTGCTGGTGCTCTCGTCCGCGGCGTTTGTGGGCCATCTCGGAGCGCTCGCTCTCGCCAGCGCACAGCTGGCGACGTCGCTGGCGAACGCGACTGGGCACTATCTCCTGGTGAGTGGTTATGAACGAGGTTCAGCGGGGTTTGGTTCTGCGGGAACGTTACGCATGCGGCTTGTCTTCATCATGGCAGCAACAGATGTTTGAAATATGAGGTTTGCGTCATGCTTAATCAGACATGCGGTTGAAGCTTTGTTAGATACTGATGGTGGTGCATGTGATATTCAAGGCCGTAGGTATGACTTCTGCTCGCGTTCAGACGGGCTACTGATCAGTTTTTGATGACTGTCCTGTAAAATGCTGAATGCACAAAACCCTAATGTGGGCAGGCACAGAAGAGACGTGATTGTACGCAATTTGGGAAAGGCTTGCATTACTCAGCCATTTTTGTCATCAGGCTCGGCGTGTTCAAATCATCGATGATATGACGTGATCTTATTGACTCCAGCTTGCCTCTTGCATCTTGATGATTGCAGCAATATGCGTTCCTCCTTGTTTTCTGGTGCAGATTGGCATGTCCCTTGGCCTCGAGACGCTTGGCGGGCAGGCGGTCGGGGCCGGCAACCTCCACGAGCTCGGCTATCTGACACAGCTCACCGTCGTCGTCCAACTCACGATGGCCGTCCTGATCAGTATCGCCTGGCTCTTTGCCGAGCCTGCCCTGTTGGCGTTGGGTCAGGACCCGACATTGGCGGCCAATGCGGCACAGTACATGCATCTGCTGATCCCCAGCGTGTTCGCAAACGCGTGCACCCAACCGCTGATCAAGTTCCTGCAGTCCCAGGGGAAAACGACGCCGCTCGCATGGGCTGCGAGCCTCACATTGGTGCTGCATGTGCCCAATAACTGGTGAGATACAAGCCGTTATAACCGGGTTATGAGCCGGCAGGGGATTCAGGAAGAACAGTCAACTTCTTAACTCCACCCCCAGAGTTTGCCCCTTCTAGTTGGGCCAACAGAACGGGGACGGAGCGATCAGAGGCAGTTGCAGTTATTCATCTTTCATCTGGTAAAACAGGTTTTACGGCTGGGCATCCCTTTCGTTTCCGAAGGTTTCTTCACAAGTTGCAACAACTTCTAGCAGGGCTTGAGCGTAAGTTTTTAAAGAATATGAAGCACAAGCTGCACAGTACCGGCAGTCGTGGCCGATGTCTGTGCTCCGGAATGAGGTCCAGGACGCAAGGTCATGGTCGAATTTATCTCAAGGCGCCCGCTTTACTGCGTTCTTTTCCTCGTCCCAAAACGCATCGGACTCAAGGACCGTGTTTCTGCCGCAGGTTCTTCATCTTCAAGCTGGGGTGGGGCCTGGACGGCGCAGCGATCGCAACCAGCCTTGCGTACACGCTCATGTTTTTGATGCTGCTGGCGCACGTCTGGACCAGCAGATCGTACGACCAAGCCAAGCCGCCGCTCGACTTCTCGCGCGCGTTCCAAAAGACGGGCCTTTTCCTGCAACTCGGCACCTTTTCTACCATCATGATGTGGTGGGTCCGTCGTCCAGACAAACAGTCTGCGTGGTTGTTCCTTTCCGCATCGGCCTTGGAGGTCGTACGCCTGGATCTTGGCCGTTGACGTGATTGGGTCTTGAAGAGTTGGAAAGTTACAGTCTTCCCAATAACAGTAACAACTTGAGTTTCAGGGCACGAGGTTGCGAGGTTCAGAATCTTCATTTGGGCTGTGTCGAATTGTAACGATCCTGATCCTGCCAGAAGATCAAGACAGATTTACACGCGAGAATGCGAAGGCAAAGACCAGGTTCTTGAAATGTTGGCTTTTGGGGGTCCCAAAATAAATCAATCGTTTTTCTGGGAGTGGAAGGCGTGCTTTGAAGCAACGGGTGCAGCAAGCGACAGCTGACATCAGGGCTCTCTGCTTGCTCGGTAAAATCTTCGTCGTGTTCCGATCCGTTCCATAAACACTACCCCAACGTTGCTTTCCTCAACCCGTTTGTTAGTCAGAGCCGTACCTTGAGAAGAACGTGCGTCGTGTTACAGCCGTTCATTACTCCCTGCGCTGACATTGCCTCCTTCAACCTCTCTTGTTAACATAAGCTGTAAATGGCACCAAACGCATTGTGGTCCTGTTCTGCAGCCTGGAGTTCATCTCGTTCGACTTCATCTACATCATGGCCGGCTGGTTGCCGGACCCGTACACCACCGTTGCGGCGCTCTCTGTCGCGTAAGCTTTTTGCACATTCAATCGGAAGCGCCTCCCAATCCCTGTGATCAAGCACGAGACTCTGGTACAAATGAGAAGCAAAACAGAACGGACGTTCAACATGCATATTTTACATGATTCGGGGTGTGCCACGATCCTTTCAGTTTGCTTGCTGAAAGGCTCGGGTGGCACTTGTTCTGGTAGGTACGCTTCAGCAACCGTAATTCAGTTCTGCTTTGGGGTGACACGATCTCTTGTCATACTCCTACAATTGTGAGATGAACAGGACACGAGCAGCTACTCTCAAGACGCGGCAGGGGCAGGGCATTTGAACAATGGTTGTGAGATCCGTGACGGAAAGCCTGTGAAAACGAAAGGCGTAGAAATATTGAACCTCAAAGTGACAACTTGTTAAGGCTGGAGTCACCCTACCGGACCCGCACTCAAACCTTGGCCGATGTCCAGGTGCGGGGACGGAGGTCCTAAGAAACATAAGAAACCGGTGAATCCGGAGGCTGTTCTTGAGCAGGCACTGAAACTCGAAAGCAAAGCTGGTCCTTACATCCGACAAAGAAAAGGTTGTGCTTCTCGCAGACAAATTAAGTTGTTTGCTCCTTCCTTGCTCGCACTTGCACTTATGTGGGATTGACATTGGCTTGCAGTATGAACACGGCTTGGCTCCTGGCAACAGGATATATTGGACTGGGCAACGCTGTCAGGTGAGCTACGATAGCAATAGCCGTGCTTGGAGAGTGGAGGTATACGTGCAAGCTGATTGCAGTCTTGACGGGACCCACCGTTGACATGGGCAGTGATTCTGACAGGCAAATTGGAACTATGAGGCGGGGAACGAAAGGGGTAAATGAGAGCATGGGCACGGAGGCGCCTTGAGCAGAAGCCGATGGTCAAGGGATCTAGGGGATCTAGCGCTAATTTTATTACTTTAGTGATTTGCAAAGCAGAATGTTCGGCATGCTGGTGAAGTGCTGGCAAACGAGAGACAATTATGGCAACAAACTCTGCAGTCCGTCATCCTGATGTAGGTTTGGAAGTCACATGTTTCAGCAAGAGCCTAGATGTTCTAAACTCCTTCGTAGCAGCACACAACACGCACCCAAGTAATCCCGGAGGAACCCCCGAACCTAAACCCCTAAACCCCCAAACCCCCAAACCCTGCGCAGCACCCGTGTCGCCACCGAGCTCGGGCGCGGGTCGGCCGTGCTGGCGCGCAAGGTGGCCCACGTGGGCCTCAGCGTGGCGCTCGCGCTGGGCGTGTTCTGCATGACGTCACTGATCATCCTGCACACCAAGTGGCCGCTCATCTTCGTCGACGGCTCCGACAAGAAGTTGCTGAAGCTCGCGCAGCAGCTCATGCTGTTCGTCAGCTTTGCGTCACTGGGGGACTCCATCCAAAACAGCTCTGGTGGTACGGCCCCTTCGTCAGCGTTGTTTCCTCTGCGTTCGTTGAAGTCTTGTTGAAAGTGATCTAACTGAATCTCGAGTTCGTTTCTTCGTGTTTGAGGATCGTTTTCGTGGTGGCCACGGCGTCGTTTGTTACAGACCTTGATCGGCGTCTATGCCTTCGAATCTTGCTCGCCGCGCAAACCCACTACTTTAGCGCTGTTCTGACAACCTTGGCTTCCTCTTTCTCCATCCTGATCCTTCAACCTCTGCCAAGTTGCCTGTCCCGTCTATGATCTCATAAATTTAGCTTTTGCGCATCACAATGCCGTCCAATGCCGGGGGGCCGCTCTGGCTGAGGTGACTCTCCCCCCCGCTTTTGTGCGTCTTTTCCATTTCCTATCTCTCTCTGACCGGATTTCCCGCTTCCGTTCCGCAGCCATAATCCGGGGGTGCGGGCGGCAGATGCTGGGCGCGTCCATCACGCTCGCGAGCTACTACCTCATCGGGCTGCCCATGTCGGTGCTCATGGGACTCGTCTGGAAGTGGGGCGCCTTTGTGAGTAACACGTGTCCCCGTACGATTTGCTCCTTGTCTACGGCTGCTGTGCGAGACTGAGGACCTCTGCTTAAAAGCCTTTTGAGGCGGCCTTCGTATCTTCGCGCGCGCGCGTCAGTGATGAAATGTAACAGGCAGTTCCGTTGGCCTTAAGGGAGGTTCATGACCCGTGTGCAAAAGTAGACAGTTGAGTTGCGCTCTCTCAATTGTCTGCTATTTCGGCGGGGCTCGTTGCCAAGCGGTAGTATACTCCCTTATCCGGTAAACCACACGAATCAGAAGTGGCAGAGCCTAAATTACCAATGCCCTTAAGTATTTCTCGCTCACCGTGCTTACACAAGAGTATGTGAAGCTTTGTAACGTCGTCTCCTTCCAAACGCTTTGGCACCGGACTTGCAAATGGGCCCCGCACTGACCCGCCCACTGACGGCCGGGTGCTGGACTATGCAGGGCCTTCTGGGGGGCTTCGTTATTGCCACCTTCAGCCAGGCGGTCTTCCTGTCCGTTGTGGTCTCCATGACGAACTGGCGAAAACAGGTGCGTGTAATTGTCGTGCGTGTAATTGTCGTCCCCGTCTTAGACCAAAAACCCCACGGCAAAGCTTCGCAATATCCATCTTGCTCTCGGTTTAGACTTGGGGCCTGCCAAACATCTCAAGGATAGCGATTAGATTGATTGAGACTTTGGTTTTCTCCTCGTGTACAATCGCTGAGGAAGTTATAGGAAACCGCGTTTTGTGTGAGTGCTTCCTGTTCCATTGAAGCCTTGAAGGAAGTAGATTTCGGATGAGACTCTCCTGAAGCCTGGTCCGTGCTCTTATTGTGACGGCGTATCTCCTGGTTCCCAACTGCTCCTCTGCGGGGGTTTTGAGCATTCTTGATGTTCATACAGGTCGAGGCCGTGAAGCTGCGAGAGGAAGAAGACCGGAAAAAGGGGATCACCCATCGTCCGGTCCTGCATTAATGACCATGTGGTCAGACTAGCGCTTCTCTCAAGTCTTGTTACCTGCTCGTTAGTTGGATACGTGTTGATAGGAAGAAATGCGAACTTTGACAGCAGACTTCATGAGGGTTTTTAACTAAAGCGCTTGGTCATGCTAACAAAAGAACTGGGTATGCCGTCTAGTCCGCAGGTCAGGTTGAACATCAGGGCGGATTGCTGTCAGTCTCGAGTCGTTAGAGAGAGACGTTGAAGTCTGAAGTGTTGATTCGTCGAGTTGATCGGGGACCACATTTGTCTCCTTGGGTCTTTCGGTGCAAAAGTGCGCTTCTCTGCTTTCAAGAAAGTTGGTGCGCGATGATTGGCGGACCGGTTGGTTTGCGGTGTGACTGCCTTGGACTGTAGATGGCGCCAATCGAAGTACGTCAAGTGGCCAAATGCTGGGTGTGCTGCAAAGTGCAATTTCTGCTGTACTGGCTGACTATCTCCATGAAAATCCTTAAGCCTCGGCCCATGAATGCACTGCTGTTAAAGGAATCATGAATCCGGGAGGAGTGACTCCCCTTAAGTTTGTTAAGAGTTACTCAAAGATCAGTCTAAACAATTGAACATACATTAGTGTTCCGGATCCGCGCGTTAGCTGTAGTTCGTCGGGCTGAGCACTCTTACCAGCACTATGTTTGTGCCAGAGATGAATTAACCTGCAAGAGTTTTTCCGGGAGCCATATGGCTGAAGATCTGTAATCATGCACATGACCGTTCTGCGGCGTGCAAGAATATCCGTCCATGTCGGTAGCCGCCACGTGCGGCGACGTATTTACTAAAGTTTTTCACGCAAGCATCGATCAAATCGCCAAGAGAAAGAGCTCAGGGTGCAACACGGCGCAATAGGATTTGCGGATGGGGCGGCTCCCTTGGCTTTCGGGAAAAAACTTTAGCAGCCATACACGAGTTGTCTTGCACGTTTCTTTTCAAGTAAAAGCCCGGATGTTACTTTCATTCAAGCAGTCGCTTTTCAAAGCCGTCGCAATGGTCCAGCACAACCGGTGTAGTCCGGGTATTCAAAACATAGTCGCCTAGCTGTTTGACTCATGTTTAGTTCTGTCAAGCTTGCTAACTTCCTGCACACGGCACTTATAACTTAAACCCTATGGGTGGCCAAAGACATGATTATCGTGTCTGCATATCATCTTGCACATCATCTTGCACTTAAGTATTGCCATAGAAGGTTAAATGGGGCGGCTGAATCCTGTGTTTCACCATGAGTGAACGATTGGCACTTCAATCTTCTTGTAAGTAATAGCATCTAATTTGACACCTTCTAAGACTAGAATCGATTTCCAATGTTCTCTGCGATTTTCAAAAGGAAAGATGTCCTATTTCTTGCGTACGAGCTTTTGAGCATTCAAGCTCTCAAACGTCCTACGAATTGCTCAAAATCCATATCAAGCTGTGGCTAGCAGAAGTAGTGCTGAAAGCTTCCTCGGATCGCGCGGCAAAGCACAGAATTGTTCGTCGATCTGGCGGGTCCCAGTCTAGTTGCTTAGTCCACCACCTTGTAGCCCAGCCACTGCTTGATCTGTCCCAGGAGGGCGGGCCTGTGGTGCTCTCCCTGCATCAACAAACGAATTGACTTCAGCAACTTTTATCAAGAAGGCCATTAAAACAGGCTCCGTACTCCCAATAGTTCCAATCATGAAGAGGGCCGAAAATGAGCCGAAAATAGACATAAAGATGGACAGACTAGTGTGAACACTTCCATTGGACTTTGATGCGTCAAGAATCCAGCCAAACTCATCGAGGATCAATCATTCGGGTATTGCGATCGTCTTTACATGACTGTTCCTATGCAGGCAAGCATCAAATTCCCACATCTGTGCCCCGATCAATTGCCCCGAGGCCTTCCAAAGTCCCCGGGATCACCTGGATGATGTACCGACTGCTCCGGTCCATGACCTCCGGCCCGACGATGCCAAAAACTCTTGGTTTAGCTAACCGGCCTTTGGTCCATTATGTAAACCTTCACCGGATGATCCCCCGGGCTCACCTGGATGATGTACCGGTTGGTCCAGTCCATGACCTCCGGCGCGAAGATGCGGTAGAGCAGGAACAACTTGTACCACCCGGGCACGATCACGTACCGGTCACGCCGGACGGCCGCCTCCACGATCCGCCGCGCAGCAACCTTGACCGGAAGCAGCGGAAACGGACCAAGTTGCTCCTGGAGAGATTAGAAACGGTTAATTATTATACAGGTGCCAAGGCACTGGCTAGGCATTTCAGAGGCCAGCCTTTGATACCAGGTTAAAGCGATAAGCCGATCACCGGCGGACGTCTTTATTGGGCGAATCTCTGTGGCCGCCCACTCAGCGCAAGACACTGTCTTGACCATATCAGAATTCGAGCTATCAGGGAAAGAGAGATTGATTAGCAGAGACATGATAGCGAAGAACAGATCGACGCATCAGGTTGTGTTCGTGGTTTGCTGAATATGAAGGGAATTCAGACAAACCGGAATGGAAGCGAACAGGGGAGCTGGCTTACCACGGGCAGCTTTTCCGTCATTGCAGTACGAATATACCTGCGAGACGAAGAAGACAAAAAATTATGTATGATCTGACCATCAGAGAATCCAATAAGGCAGTCTGCAGAATAGGAAAATGGATCACGTTTAGCCATTTATTCTCGTTCGGATACAAAGCACCAAGGTTTCGATCAGAAGCACAGGCCCAGAGTAGTGAGCAGGGTCGCTTGAATCTCTAATGCTTGATTGGGGATCATTATAAATCTCAGGTTTCTCCCATTGCGGATTCACTCGAGTGCGGCGACAGGACGAAAAAGGAGCCGCCGTTTCCTGGAACCACTTTCTTGGCTTACAGACCTGCGACCACGTTAGAACGAAGTCCTCTCGAATTTGGGATAGTGAAGAGGCATGATCAACCGTTCTGTCACCAGGGACATCACAGGACAATTTTCGAGGCAGAGTAGTCTCCATGAAACAAACGTTTTTACCCCCACTCCATCAAAACGTCTCCCCATTGAGCTCGACGGACAAAGCGGCTCGTCACACTGACCGTCTCGTCTTTTCAATCTCCATCAATAGAAACGCTGCGTTTTCGCCTGAACAACGGAGACCAACACTCCGCCAACCTGGCAGGTCATCATAGGTCACCTACGAAGTTCCTCAACTTACCTTGTGAACAATAGCCGGCTAAGGCTCGCGCGATCGTAAACCTACTGTTCTTAGCGGTCTCCGCAAGTTTCCGTGCCAAAGAAAACTTTCGAAGTGAATCAGCTTTGTCTATCACTCGAGAGCTCACCCCGGGCACGCAATGGTGATGTCAATCTCGTCAGCGGCCTCCACCCGGAGCGTGTCGTAAAGGCCAAGCAGCCCCTGCTTTTGGGCCTGCACGGATTTCCAAGTGACTGGGTCATCGGTTTGCTCTTCTACACATTACTTCATCTAGTCAGGCGGAGCCCCACACAAGATAGCAACATGACTGGGAGAGATGCAAAAGAGGCAGAGAAAAGCTGTGATTGCCAAGTGAACGGCTGTGCGTCATCGCCTCCTTCTCGACAGAAAATCTGACCGCTCCTGGGCGACAGCGAAATGGCAAGGTAGGTACTGAATATGCAACGAAAGTCAAAAAAGACCCTTGTAGCCCTAAACGCCAGGGTAGAAGCATAAGTGCAGATCTCAGTGACTTAGAAAGGAAGCAAGAACTGCAAGCAGGGTCAGATGAGGGCGGCTCACGTTATAGAGGCTCTGCCTGGGGTACGGAATGAAACCGCCCACACTGTCAATCACCACGATCTGTCCGCCTGCCCGCTTGAGGTGCGGCATGGCGTAGTAGGTCGGGTACACCTTAGAAGGAATAGGGTGGAAAGGATAAACAACAAAGCAATTTTGTAGCTTACCAACACCACCCACATGTTTCTTGGTCTCTGTGGCGGAGGTTACAGGCTGTTACTGTACTGTGCTGCGTCGTATGTCGAGCAAGTTTTGTGGTCTTTGATTGCAGTACGTCGTGTAACGAGCGACATAGGGAACCTTTCAACGTAGAGCCATAAAATACATTCTTCCCTTGGAGCTATCATAAGCTAGATGAGTGGAATGCCTTGAATAAAAACTATTTGCTGAAGCATATTATAATTGATAACATCAACCTCCTGTCACTCTCAGTCCAATGGACTTTCCGGGCGGAGCCAAGCTCCAATTGCCTCCACAGAACTTTCTCTTAGCATTTGTGCTGCCTATTTGGCCCAAGGTCAGAGGCTGTCCCGCTTACATTGCCCCAGAAATCGATGTCAGCAATCTTCTGAAACTCTGAGGTGTCTTCCACCGCCTCAAAGAACCAGCTGTGCCCCTTGCCCGCATTGCACACCACAATGTCCACTGCAAGGAAGAAGAATGGCTCAATCTAGGTCAAATGAAAGCTGGAACAGTTGCTTAATATTGTCCCTCCGTAAGCTAAGTACATTTATATTGTGCTGACCGACTGCAGCTGCTCCACACACCCAATGGTGGGTTTGCAGGTAAGTACAACTGTCCAGCTTTTCTTGAGGGAACATGCTTCACCTTCATGCATGCAGTCTGTGCATGAAAGCCAAACCCCTCAAAATCGAATGTGATCCTCCGCTTCCGCAAACAAAGATGTGGGCAACAAAGCATCGCTGCATTGCCAGTGCCAATAAGAAGAATCAACATCATCTGCCAACCAAGCCTGAGACTAAGGGTATCCGTTCAGAATCAATGTAGCTTGACCACCCTGCAAACCCAAAACGAAACCACCCTGCAAACTGAAGAGGAAACCACGTGCCCACCTCCCCCAAAGTGCTCCACCGCTTGGTCGACCACCTTCTTGTTGTTCTCCACCTTGGTCAGGTCTGCTGGCACCACCAGCACATCTGGGCTGCCCAGCTGGCGGCACTTCTCTGCATTCTTCTGCAGCAAGTTCTCCCTGCGAGCGGTCAGCACCAAGTTCGCCCCGCGCTGCGCATACTCGAACGCCAGACTTTCTCCGATCCCTGAGCTGGCCCCTGTGATGATCACCGTCTTCCCCGCGACGCGCATCTCCTTTTTAACGAAGGTCTTGTAGAGGAACCGGAAGACCCACAGCCCGGGGATAAGGACGAGTAGCACTAAGATCCCCCCAGGGAACAGGGTGAGGTTGAACAGCACGTTCAGAAGCCGCTCCATCGTTGCAGCGGACGGCTTCTCTCAGGGGGTATCTGGTGCGGCTAGAAGAGACCCAGAACTAAGCTCCGTAAGAGGACAAACGCAGTCTCTCGTAACAGTCGCGCCAGCGCCGTCTCTTCTAACCAAGGAAAAAGAATTCAAACTCAATTTGGAACAGGATACGAGCAACTCCTCCGAATCACCAGATCACCCGGCGCAGCTGATTGCACAAAGCGCAAATATGCTGAGCTTCTATGGCGACTTCGCTCGTGGTCGGTCGATGTTGCACGACTCGTCTGTACTTGTATCATGAAGCCAATGTGGGATGAGAGCAGTCTTTGCATGTGCTATTGTAAACCATGAGTGCGAAGCATCTTGCATGCACTCGACCTCGGAAAGGAAGCAGATTTCTGGGGCTCGGCCTGCAGATTATCCAAGGTAGGTAGTTCATCGACCGCGCATGCATTGGAATGCTTTGCATGCATTCTGGAAGTGGCCACGTCCTCAGGGGGATCCCTTGCGCGGAGTCGGGCCGCCGCCGCTCGCCGGTGGCGCGGCCGCGTTTGGCTCGTTGCCGCACGCGACTCCGGCTCTTGGTCACTGAGTCAAGCGACGGTTGTAACTTGCACGTACAAAGTTCTGTTTACGGCGACGCCTGCATGAAGGCTGCCGGCCGTCGCCATTCAATTTGATATAATGCCTGACCAGTAATAGGGCCTATCATCATACCATTTGCTGGCATCGCTCTATGCCATGTCTGCTCCGTAATGGATGGCAACGCCTGAGCATGGGTCATGCAGGCCACGTTAGATGGCCATTGATGCGATTTGTAAGGTGCAGCATTACGCCATTGCCTAAGCTGTCATTCGAAGCTTGGACCACAATCCAGAAATGAAAACAATGCAGCAGCAACCTTCCAGTCACCGGAGCAACGAGAACCATTGCTCCAATCATATGTCGGTGGATGATTGCAGGTTCGTAGCAATTATGCGCCCACAATTGCCGTTCATGGATTCAAGAAGAAGCAAAAAGCCGCCGTCACTTGCGTGCTTGCAATTGACACTGGACACATACTTATGCACTCAAAGTAAACCTGGCAACCGCTCGTGAAAGCTCTTTCCGAGTGAGTGCTCTTGTAAGAGCGAGACACACGTGGACCTGAGAAATTTCCGCTGGTTGCGATGTTGTAAACATTGCACCTAGACACTTCTCAACCCTTTGCTCTGCTTCACGTCAGGCGTCGCATGCGAAGACGCCACGTTTGATCTCTCAATTCCCAGCCTAAAAGGTGCTTCTACGTAACGTCAGATTGATCTGGAATCATTCTTATGCTCGGTTCTCGTAGAGCGCTCTTGCAGCGAGCTCCCAGGCCACAATGGCGGCCGCGTTAGCAGGGAAGGCGCGAACTAGAGTCGGGCTCAGCCCCGCATACAGGCCTGAGATACCCGACTCTTTCCGAATCTGCGCAGAACACCACAAAATGAGACTGTACGTTTTTCCCCAAGTGACAATCACGGAGGGTGGACGCTACAAAGAAATCTTTGATCAGATCAAAGCGAGCTAATCTGGAAAAGGGAAAGCAAGCTGACATGTAAAATCTTACCATGTGGAAAGTGCTGAAGAACCCGTGCTTCGCAGCCCCCACAGCCTGCTCTGTCTGCATCCGCGTCTTCATGACGTCGAAGGGGAGGACGATGGCCCAAAACTGCAAATAGGAAAACAGATACCTCAGACTTCGCTAGCCGTTCGTTTCATCGTCTGATCGTTCCTTTTTTCTCTAAGCATCTGCTTGCTCCACTGATGGACATTCGCTCAGAACCGTTCTACAAATTTGAAAAGCAATGGACTTTAGTGCCAAGAAGTTAGCAGCTCACCACGATGCCCGCAACTCCGCCGCTAACGATACCCGTCGTCCCTTCGACGGCAATGTCCTTTATGGTCTGACCAGCCATGGCCAGGTAAGAATCGGGTTCCGAGTGCGTGCCAACTCGGGGAGCGCCGACAGGCCGGCCTCCCAAAACCTGCGGATAATTTCGAAGTCAAAACAAAGGAGGCGTCTTTGCGTCGAGGTCGCGCATCCAGCAAGCGTCAGCTTCGGTGCGATTCAAAGGGGAAGACGACCTACGCTTGATCCAGGCCAAGATGACGACTATGAAGCCATTGAGATGGATCCGACGATCAAGGGTTTCTGGAACGGCAAGATATGATCAAGAGAGTAAAGCCAGGTGGATGCTAAAAGTGCCACAGCAAAAGACGCCAGGATTCAAGGGTTTGAATCAGGCAAAAGCCAAAGAAGCTCCTAGTTTGGACATACACATGCGCGACGGGACACAAGATCGTGGACGAAATCAACCAGCAGCATCAGCAGGACGCTGTTACATAGAAACTTTAATACTGTTTTTGTAATGAAATGGAGCACCGTACCTTGGTCATGTACTTCCGGATCACTTCGTAAGTGGTGAAGAAACACACGTTGCCAAGGGACTCTCTGATTGCTGTCGCACTGAGGCCCCGGTAAAACCCCCTCAAACCCTCCTGCTTAAATGTCTTCGAAACGCAATCAAACGGTCCGTTGTACTTCCGCTGGCCCCCGGCCCTTGACTCGCGGTCCTGCATCTGCAGCCGGCACTGCAAGAGAACCAAAGGTTAGCAGAGGATCTGGGAAGCGCCAAATGACACCATGTTAGAAAGATTGACAAATCTCGTCAGCAATCCAAACTTGAAACTTTGTCACAAAAAATTGCAAGCTCTGCTGATCAAAGACCGAGTTTCAGAAGTAAATGTTATTCATAAAACCGTGATTCTCTGAGCTCTTGCAGAACACCATCGTTTTGAGAGTGGCAAAGCCTTGTAATTGCCTATCAGCATCGGTTTCTGGCTTTTGCCGATTCCCTATGCTCCTTCGTATTCTTGTCTGTAAAAAGGTTGATTTGAGTGTTCCTTACGAACCACACGCACTGATGATGCAGGAACATGACTCATCCCAAAACCTAGTAGTCCTAGCCTTTGATGAGGATTTGATGCTACTCGAGGAGCCTCTTGAACCTTCCCCCAGCGTGTGGGACAAGCGGGCCTCACTTTGACAAGCTCCGTTGGACACAAGATCAGACTGACGCTCGCTCCAGCAACCGCTGCCGCTGGAATGATCGCTGAATAGGGTGCGTCCCCTTCCTTTGATGGATGCAACATGCCCTTGATCTGAGAGTAACATCCAAAGAGCACCGAGCTCTCTGCAGCGACGCCCAAGAACGAAGAACTGGCCCCTCGGTACAGTCCTCGGACCTGGCGATCAGAAGAAGAATCTTTGAACGACCTGGCTTTACTTGGAAGTTGTGAGAAAGCAGCAAAGGATTGGATGACAGGTGAAGCAGGACAGGAGAGGCGTTGGATCCGGAAGCAGGCAGCTCTATGACCAGAAAAGAGATGTTTTGCCAACAAAAAGCAAGGAGGAAATTCGGGACATTGATTGCTAGCTGAGCTCAGGAGATTGGCGACTTACCCCATCTCGTCGGACGATATTCGAGGTAACGTGCAGGGGCCCGTGGCGTTTGTTTGCATCTTTAGCCTGGAGGTTCACCTGAAACATGGTTCCACTGCCTCATCAGCACCACGGAAGTGAATTGAATGAAAGGAGGTACTCTGCACCCCCATGAAGATCCCTGCAAGCACTCTATCGACCAAGCCTTCACACTGATCAGCTCAAATCTCAAACCAGGGGCTTGATCAGGCAACAATGTAGACGCAAAGAGTTTTAGCGCCAATCAACTGGGAGAGACGAAGACGGCACAGATGAATAACACAATCAAATTTACCAGCTGACATGCAAAGCTGGACTTGCAAAATCATGGAGGAAACCAGAATATGCTTCATGGACCTGCAAAGCTTGAGATCTACCATCTGAGCCAGATTGATGCTCGGGATACGTGTCACAAACAGGGGTGCATCAAGGACCATCCTCCACCGAGGCTGGGCCAGCTTTGATACTAAAACATTTGCAGGAACAAGTTGACAGCTTAGATATCTGAGCTTGCTTAGCGGGTTTGTGACCACCAGCTTCTGAGGGGCCAGGTTAGACAATTAAGATCTCTCGTTTGCAACCAGGCAATTGAGAAATGCGACGAAAGTAGTGCAGAAGCAAGTATCAGTGCACAAAAGCTGGGAACTGACCTTGATTGTGTCAAATGGATGTCCGATAAGAACCTGCAGAAAAGCAAAGCACGGCAATCAGTTTGAAGTTTGAAACAAAGAACAAAATCCAGAACATATCTTTGAAATACCTTCAGATAAGCGAACCGCTGCAGGCATTCAAAAGAAGTGAAGGGGGCGATTCTCACCGTCGCGATGCCAGCAGCAATTCCAGCAGCATAGTCCTTGAATGCGTCCCCCATTTGCAAGTCGCTCACGTCACTCCATCCATGTGGACGTCCACCACTAATCTGATGATCAGAGCATCGGCTGTACAATCAACGCATTGCCATCGGCTGTATGCAAGAGCCTAACCCGTTCTTCAAGACTGATCAAGCGCACAGCCAACGGACCCCCTTGCGCCCCTCCATTTTGCCCGCCGTCCGACCAATCCGATCAGCAAGCAGGCGTCAGAGGCGTCAACGACGCTAAACCGTAGTCCAAAACGCACGTAAACGTCTTACCCCCCAAACTCAGGAATTAATTCGGATCATTTTCGGAACCAGACCATTATCGAGCGGTAACCAGAAGGGTAATCTTTTAAGTACTAAGATTATATGCAGCACAGTCATCGTCCCGATCTACCGTAGTCCAACGTGATGATTCCGAACGATTTTATTTCGAATTATTATACAACAATCCGACCGGGAAAGTGGAATTATTTATGCTGATTCCGACAAGAATCCGAATGCCCTATGGTCTCACTTAGAAGGGGAGTTTTTGGCTGTTTTTGGCTGTTTTACGGCTTCCGAGGACCATTTCAAGGTTCTTTTACCTTTCCGAAATTTCACTTTCCGAATGGGAAATCCGAATTTCTGACTTTCCGAACGCAAATTATATCTATTTATTCGGAATCATCACGTTGGACTACGGTAGATCCCCACCACGAAGGAGCAGCTCGATCACAGGACCAGCGCGTGCCATGATCTGGCCAGACGCTACGACGCCTTTTGAATCAGAAGAAGCGTCTCCCCGTAGTCTATTTTCTTGCAAACATGTTGGCCCGTTCGCCCCCTCCTCGGAAGCGGCGGCCGTTGCAGCCCCTGTTCTTTGATTCTGATGCACGGGAAGCGCAAGCGGAAGAGGTCGATGCTGGCGCCCCTGCCAGCCTCTCAGAGCTCAGGGCTAGCACTCAGAAGCGGCAGCGCCTGGACTCGGATTTTGTGACTGAGGATCTTTTGAGAAGAAATGAACGACGATTGCAAACAGGTACGCCACTGCATTCTTTGCGCAGCGACCCGCACAATGTGGCGTCCACTTCGAAAGGCGCAACACCCTTCAATCAGTTGATCACAGCAGCGACCCCAGTCACGGGGGGCCGAGACACCGCCAGTCGACAAGTGCAAAGGCAGGGGGAAGGCGCCAGGTGGGAATTGGCCCCTGCACCACAGAATGCACACAATGCAGGACTGTGCTGTACTTATGAGTGCACAAACATGGTGAAGCGGGAGGTCCTGGAATTGCTGGAGGAGCAGCGGCGCGCGCTGAGCTCCTTCAAGCAGGAGCTAGCGACGGAGCGAAGGGCCAGGGAGGATTCTCAGGCGGAGAATGCATCGTTGGTCCGGAAGGTGCGGGACTGCCGGGCGGTGATTGCGAGCGCCGAAGCGCGGGAGGCGGAGATACAGCGCATGAGAGAGGAGGAGATGAGGAGGGGGGAGGAGCGGTGGAGGGGGGAAGTGGGACGGGTCACTGAATTGCAGGTGAGGGATAGGGGCAGTATTCCAACGATTGCAGTTCGACGTTCTTCAAAGTCTGCGACTACAATGCATCGAACCTGGCCGGTTGGTAGATGAACGGGGTAAGATTGGGGACTTTGTCTTTCATGTGTGCTTTCCGAAGCTGGCAGTATTTATTGTAGCCCGGAGGTTGTTCTTGTCATCAAAGAGGGTTGACTGACGTGCCCAATTTTTCGAACTCCAGAGGCTACTAGACAAAGAGATCAATGCGAGGGGCGAGGCAGAAGCAGCTGCTAGATCAGCGGAGGCCCGGGCTACTGCGATGGAGACAGGAGGTATGTCAAAAGTTTGCAAATCTTTAACAAAGAAGTATAGCAGCTACATAGTCTAAATGCAACACCTGACTTTGAACCTTTCTAGTCTCTAGGTGCAAACCTCAGGTAAACCTCCTTACAGGGCATCACTTCCAGACAGAGTTTTGCGTACACGTGACTCAGCACTGCACAATAGGCATAGACCGTTCGTAAAAGACGAAGCCATGCTTCAAAGCTCTGTGATCTATCGCAGATCCCGTGGCCTGCCCCTCCAAGCTACGATTGTGTCAAGTAATACTGGAAGCCCCTGGAAAGATGTGTGGGATACGACTTTGAACCTCCTTACCTACTTCGTGTTTAAGGGCATTAAACTTGCTGACGAAGTTTTTGGGGTTATAGGTGACCAAGCGGCTGACCGAGCAGAGCGAGAGATCCGGAGCCTGAAGGCCCAATTGGAACGAGCTGAAGATGAGCATCGGAGCGCCCTCACAAAGGCAGACATGCAGATAAAAGGGCTCCGGATAAGAGCCGAAGTAAGCAAAGCCCGTCAAAAGTGGGGCTCTCTTCGCGTAAATTTTTCAAAAGACTCAGTGGGAGCAATGCCAAGTGCCAAGTTGAGCTTTTGCAAAAGCAGATGAGATTTGCTGCTTGCTCGGACATGTAGCCTTCTGCTCTCTATGGGCATCTTTGTCAGATCCTTAGATCCTCAAACACTCCGGTCAAGTCCTTGTTTTTGCATTGCGTTCCCCTACTTTCTCACTGAGGGCGAAGTTTGTACAGAAATGCAGATTGCAATCAAGTCTTGACTCTTACTCTGAGAGTGGAGTTGCGGGCTTCTACTAATGGACCTTTCGCCTCTGCAAACGACTCCCAAGCCCTTCGAACTAGGCCCGCCATCGTTTTCCTGGCAACTAGAAAGGTTCCCAACTCATGCAGGCTGCCACCGCTGAAGCAGACACCGCTCGGGCCGCCCTCGACGAAACCCGAACCGCCCTGCAAACCGCCCAGGAAGAGAACGCATCCCTGGAGACGGCTCTCGCGAGAGCGCATAGCCAGGCTTCCTCGTCGGCGCTACGCTCCGATCGGGGACATGAGCTGGAGATCCTGGTGGGACAGCTACAAGCGGAGCTGGCGGCAGGCGCAGCGGACGTGGCGGATGCGCGCAGGCTCAAGGACACGGTCAGTGGTCACCCACGCTGTCCACAAGTCAAATGAGAAAAGCGCAGTCTACTTTTTGTTAACTGCGCACGATTTCAACACTGATTCTGGGCTTGTAGGTTGCTCGTGGTGATGTGTGTCGTCTACAGACGTGAAAACGTTATTTTTTTGATGGTAGTAATCAATCGAATTTGATTCAGGCTTTAAGTATGCAGATGTTTGGTTGGCAGGTTGAGTTAGGTACTTGGTACGAGATGCCTGACGTTCGCCTTCGGAGTAGGGTACGCTTTTTATGTGGAGGCGGCGATGACAAAGCTTGTTGATTTGGTCTGCGTCGGAGCATATGCTGCATGCACCGGTCGTTGACTGTTGACGCATCGACAAAGGGGATGGATGTCCGCAGCTTGTTGACATTCTCCTTCCCAGGAGTCGCGCGTTGCCGTGCTTCGGGAGCGGCTGGCAACCGCCGAGGGTCGAGCGGAACGAGCGGAGGCGGCGACGCGGGAATATGTCGAAGCAAAGGAAAAGATCAGGACGCTGGAGGGTGAGATCAGAACCTGGGAAGAGACGGCCCGGCAGCTGCCCGGGGTGGTCAACCGGGGCGACCTGGCAACCAGATTCGAGGAGCTGCAGAAGGAAGCGCTGACGGCCCGGGCCAAGGTAGGTGCCCGGTTCTTCGGATCAGAATGCACATGTCGGACAATGTTCTTGATCTCTCGAGTGGAAGGAAGCCGGAGAACCTACACGAGTTCGCGCTCCTTGGGTCCGTAGTTTTTGGATGGCTTTTTGTCGTCGTCTTGACATCAGGTTAAAAGGTAAAATTCTGAAAGCACAAAGGGAAAAGGTCTTGTGCGGTGGGACTCTGCACGAGCTTTAGGGACACTGTGGCAGGCCGTTTTCATCAAAGAGACGTCGAAGCTACGAGTAGGAAGTCTAGGACACGATTCGTCGAGAGGCTTGCAAACACTCTTTCTCACCAAAACCAGATATGTTATACACTCCGGATGAGAGCAGAGGCTCCGTCTCAATCACGTCACGATCTGTATACAACAAGGAGTCGTAAGCCTGTCAATTTTCTTCATTCCCTTTTACAGCTGCCAGAATAGTTACGAAGACTGATCGAAACGGGTGTTCTTCAATCCAGGTTCTTCGAGAGTTCACCAAATGCCAAAGTAAAGTTTAGCCTAGAGTTGAATAAAGTAGAACGAATTAAAGGATCGAGCTTGACTCAAAACTGTGCAGGAGGGTGACTTCTTGGAGGAGGTGGCGCGGTTGAGGAGTGCGCTGACGTCAGCGGACACTTCGCTGCGGGAGGCGCAGTCGGACAAGGCCGCGGCTGAAGGGAGAGCGGATGACGTGGCGCTGGCGCTGCGGAGGGCGGAACGGAAGGTCCGTGACGATCCTCGTGCCTGGATCGAAGTAATCGAAGAAAGTCGACATGCTCCTGCAGCAAAGCTGAGGAAGGTGGTGGGGGGTAATATGCAAACAAGGCTGCCGCTTGTGCATTTGTACAGGTTGGTGATGCTTTGATTGCTGAACGAAGTTGAATGTCGGTCCTCTTGCCATGGCAGGTGTACATGTGCCCAATTTGGGCGTCTCATTGTCCTCAATCCTCTTCTGATTTTGTCTGATATGAACGTCTCTATATATGTCCCTTCCTTACGACGTATGCTGGCTCTTCGGCCTTGTTTGTGCGCTGATTCTAGACCACCTGGCAGTCGTAACCCTTGACACTCGGCGTCTGACATCTTCTCATCCTCCCGTTCCTCCCGTTTCCCCCGGTCTGCAATCACAAGCAACCGGTCTGCAAGATATAAATCTCTGGGTCGGAAGCCACCGAAATATAGTACGAGCAGGGTTCCACGTCAACCCGCTGCAGATTGGGTCGCTCTTGTGGTGAAAGAGCACAATTGGCGAAAGGGCCAATGCGATCAACGGAGACCACTCCGCAAGCATCCAAACCTCAACTCAACATTCATGGCAGTGCGCTACGTTAATTTCGTCCTGCTGTCGCTCAGGTTGCGCTTTTGGTGAAAGAGCGCGACGGGCTGAAGGCCATTTTGGCGAGCTACGAGGAGGAGGAGGCGCTGGACCGGAGCGAGCAAGGCAAAGACTCCACCGAGGAGGCCCGGGCGGCCAAGGCTAAGATCCAGCAGCTGGAGACGGAGGTGGCGGCCGGGAGGGAGCGGGAAAAGGAACTAGAGGTGAGGGCGTTTAGAAAGGGCCGTGTGGGCAACGGTTGTTATTGCTTATCAGAAACTTTTGCGCAAGGTACCAATTTTCAAAATAATCCTGGTCTACTTCAAGATCGCAAAATTATGGCGTAGGCAAAACTTGGTTTGATCCCGTATCAACCGCAAACAGAAAGTAAAAGTCCGAGGCTGCCGTCGGCTGAAGGCCACCGCAAACCGGCCACGATGGTCTTAAGAGCGAGGGCAACTCGCGGGCGACTCGAAAGCCGGTGCGAAGCCTTCCGTACAATGGACCGTCAGTGCCGTTGAGGAGCGCACGGGCCGAAGCAGGATACAAGTTGACCTTGAGCACATAACAGTCGCTGATTTCCAGAAAGTTCCTGTTTAAGAAGCAGCCGAGTTGTCACTAAGTGAGTCTTGATACAGAGGCCAGTGCCCGTAGCAGTGACGGCCCTCAGTCGGCCGATGCGCTTGTTCGGGGAGCGGCTGCGGCCTGTGTGTCGCGTGCCGGCTCAGTGACTTCCGGCTTATGTCAGGTTCCAGAGATGTTTATTCAGTTTAGCGAAAGTAAGCTCTAGCAAAAAATAACCTCCCGCACTGACGTTAGGAACCTAGCCCACCAAAGCACTTCCTCCGCACCCATACCCACCCAAAACCCCCAAGTAAACCCATCCGTCCCGAACTGGTCAGCTTAATCTTGCTAAAGCTTACTTTTGCTACAGCGTATTGCTGCTACATTGAAGCTTCGAGGTCCAGAGCCACCTCCGTAGCTGCGACGTATCTACTCGTAGTAATAGCTGCCTACGACAGTCCGCTGAGCTTCACCGCTCCGATGGGCAACGAGGACGCCAGGGTCAAAGCAAACGGGCGAGACAAACAAGACAGCATGGAGGCATCACAATTCAGATCGAAAGCGAGGACAAAGAAAACTTTCATCTCCTCAGGCGAACCTAGCGGAGGCCACCGGGGGTGCAGCGCAGCAGCGGCAGCGCGCGGACGGGCTGCAGAAGGAACTAGACGCGGCGGCGCGGCGGAACAAGGCTCTGGAACGCGAGATGGAGCAGCTGGGCCGGGAGGTTGCGCTACTGGAGTCGCGGGTCGGCAAGGGCGACTACAACCGGGCCACCACCAAGGTAGGGTCGCCGTTTTTTGTTACGGACGGGGTCGCCGTAGTTTTGTCACGGATGGATTCGGTTTCCCTATTGTAGAGAGGTGCGGATGTTTGGAGTCGCGGGTCGACAAGGGCGACTACAACCGGGCCACCACCAAGGTAGGGTCGCCGTTTTTGTCATGGATGGCTTCAGTTTCACAAGTTTGGAGTCGCGGGTCGGCAAGGGCAACTAGAACTGGGCCACCACCAAGGTGCGGGGTCGCCGCTTCCATTTCAAACGGATCCGGTTCTCAAATCGAGGCTGTTAATTTCTGGAGGCGCACGAGAAATGGCTCAAAATCGTTCGTTTTGCGTCTCTTTTCAGTACAGATGCCGAAGATTTGCAGCAGAAACAGGTTGCCTGGTCCTGCGGAATCATTAAGGCTGTGTTCTCGCTGGTTGGTGTAACTTGTGCACAAGGAGAGTGGCTAGGAACTTCATCGTTGGATTGGTCTCGTGCTTTGTACTTTGCGAGGGATTGCCAGAGATCGTCAGAGGACTCGCTCATCAAGACAAAGCATGACGCTGACGCTGCGAGTACGAGTCTACCTTTGTCACCAAGTGTGTCAGGTTTTCTTATGCGGTCACAGAGGTGCTTCTAGCCTCAGGACTCGTTCTGTCACTCTCGCCAAGCCGCCACGTGTCGTCCTTTCAGGTGCTCCACCTGGCTCTCAACCCGGAGGTGGAAGCCCGGCGGACGCTGGCCAAGGACTCGCTAGAGGCCGAAGTCGAGGAGCTGCGCGCCAAGGTGGGCTCCTCTGTCATGGGTCTGTTTGCAGGGGTTGGGTGCGGGTTCCAACTTTAAGGACTCCGACGATCTGCTTACAGGGAACCTGTTTCCAGCAGATTGTATGGATCCAGCAATTTGTACGGAGTAAGGGCAGAACCGTGCGTACGTCGATCACGAAGCTTTTCTCTTAATTGCGCGTTGATGAACTCTACATTTTCTGATATATTCCTTCGGAGAATACCGTTGATCTTTGCTGAGTCCTAAACTAGTTACATTTTGACTCATTACTTGAATCTTCTGTATCTGCACTCGAGCCCTGACTGAAGCACCACCCGTCACATACAAATGTTTCACGTGTACTTGCGACAGGTGAAGCAACTAGAGGAGGAGGCACGGACTGGTTCTCGGTCCCCGGGGGAGGATCACCAGGTGGCGGAAGCCACGGAGGCGTCTGCGCAGGTGGCGGCACTGACCAACCGGGTCAACGCCATGGAGAAGCGGGAGAACAGGTGAGAAAGGCGGGACGGGTGGACGAGCAGATTCAAAGAGCACCTTCTGAAGATTGTATTCCCCGTGCACATTACAAAACTTCCCATTCTGGAAAAGTTCCACTGCGGGTCATTCTGGCAAGATGTTCTCCCGAGCTTGAGCGAGTCAGAAAGCAACAGATTCACGTGGAAGCTCAGAGAACATCTTCGAGATGTATGTCAGCAGTCTCACCAGTAAGCTCCCAGCGCGCGCAGGTACAAGCAGGTGTTTGCGGACAAGATCGCGGTGTTCCGGCAGGCGTGCACGCACCTGTTTGGCTACGGCATCGAGATGAGCGACTCGCAGGATGCCGCTACGGGTGCGCCCATCGCCACCTTTACCATCACGTCAATCTACGCCGACGACGAAGAGTGAGCCGCCGGGCCCAGCCATTTATGTGTTTTATTGAAGAAGATTCTCCTTTTTCTACAAGTCTTTCACGTCCTTCTGTGACAAGCTTTCTTGTCGCCATCCCATTCTGACCCTTTGGAGGACGATGGATGAGCCGTGCGCTCGTGTCGTCCTTTTTCCATGACCTCGATTTTCCCCACCTGCTCTGTTACATGCCAAGGAGAGGAGAGTTGCAGGCCCATGCTCCTTGCCAGACAAGTTTTTACATACTTAAATATGGGAGATCGTTTTGGAGAGCGAATCACTTCATGTGATCTTCAAAGACGGGGTTCCTTTCTTCCTCCTTTCCCTTCGCTCCTTTACCTTCTAATTCCGGACATCATCAATCTACTAAAAAGTCGTCCACGAAAATTCGCTACGGGCCTCTTGCGGCAATGATATCGGTTCTTTCATTCTTGCTCGCGCAATTCTACAAGACCATCTATGCTGGCAGCGAAGAGGACCACTCGCCTCCGTCTCAATCTGATCCTCCCTTCAATCCTGTAATCCGTTCTGGTTCTCGAGTACTTCGTCATTATTTTTGCCGTACCTCGAACAAGATTGAATCTCTGGGTAGGTAACAAGGCTGCAGAAAAGGAGTTGCGGCGAATAACTCTTCTTGGAGACGACCGATAAAGCACATCCTTGACAGAAGCTAGTTGCGTACAAGCACAAAAGGCCTGCCATTGCATCTTCCTTTGCGCGCCAGAAAACAATTAGGAGCACTGCTCTTGGCTGCGGTGGTATCTTACAGACAAGCGCCTCTCCGCTCGTCCAATTGACCTGCTACTTTTCCTCAAAGCCATAAATCGTGTTGCAGGGACCGGCTGATGTTCCAGTACCGTGAGGGCACCATGGACATGCTCGCTACTGACTTCTCGAGAACACCCGAAATGGTGCGACAGGTAGGCCACCGAATATTGCCAGCATGCAACGGAACAAAGAACGTCGCTGTTCAGTGGTCCAAGCAGGTATGCACCATGAGGGCAGATGTAAACAGCGAGACAGAACTTGTTTCTGCTGGGAATCTTGCCGACCTGGCGAGTCGGGCGCAAAATCTGGTCTTTCTTATACGTCCTGCTTGTAGCTAGTTGACGAATCATGTCGATTGTGGGGTGTGCTGTGAAGCTACCACCATGACAAAGAGCAGCTGCCAATGAAGCATCTTCTTATAATCGCTCCCTTCGCACCTCTTCCCATCTGAACCGTCAAACGAGCCTAACCGCCAACAGGGTGCTTATCGTACTGCTGCCCACTCTTAGTGAGAGCTAGAGAGGATGCAACTTTTGTGTCCGAAGCCTCCGAACCCGTTAAGGAGAGAAAGATCATGTTGCATTATTGTGATTATAATTGGGAGAAGAGTTTGAGTCTAAGCCCGGGGGGCTATCTTGCCGCGCTAAGTAGGTTCTTTATGTGTCAAGGCCCTTTCCCTCCTGATTGTGTTCGAAACTTGCAGGTAAACGTGTTCCTTGACAGGTTCAAGTCGATACCTGCTCTCACCGCAAATCTTACTGTTGAACTATTCAACAAGCACACGGTTACCTAGGCCTTCATGCTCGTCAGGGAAGGCCTACTCTTACAGTGGCCGGAAGATGTGCAAAAGTACGAGGTGCTGAATAAACAGCGCGAGCAAGTAAGAACTGTTGAACGTGTCAGAGTGACATACGAAAGAGTGCTTGATTTATAAGGACAGGAAGGCAAAAGGAACATCTTGATCCATAATTGAGAAAAATCGTCCTAGCTTCCAAGGCTGGAATGCCTGTACACAAAACTAGCTTTTGGTGCGGCTTTGCATATCATGGAATCTTCTTGTGAGTGGGGTTTGTAAATGCTGCCTACCAGGGCCCGGCCGCCTTTGTAACTGCGCTGTGCCGCACTCTGCACGAGACAACTACATGTGGATCCTACGTTTTCGGCAGTTCCAAGTCTTCAATCCCATTTATCTCGGAGCTCACGGTGAGCGTGGTGTCCTCAAGCAAGCTGTTGAATATTCGTCTGATATAGTATCGTAATACTTTCAGCACGCCCGCTTCAATTTCCGACGAAGACGGAAAGTTGTAACCAACCTCTTGCCAGTTGCCGACCATGATGGTTTCATTACACATTCGTTCATGGTTTCATTGATTGATCATTGGACAATATCAACTTCTATCATGATGCATTTAGGTTGCTTGCCACGTGGTCACAATCGAAGCCTTTGATTGGGCCGATGATCGACTTGGCCCCGCTTGGCCCCTAGTGCATAATGCAGATTTCGGCATTCTAATTTCTGGGGTAGAGTATTTCCGGGTGTGCATAGTACGTACTACGTAACTCAGGCTCCGAGCGGCGAGGCTATCCCCGACTCCAGCGACCAATACTCGCGCCAGCTCAGTAGGTAGGTACTGTCAGACCGGTAGGCATCATACCTACCGGCCCAATTTATTTTCAATCCTTGCGATGGCCGGGGCCCGGTACTGGACTTGGAGTCTGGACCCTTGCTACCCCTGCTGAGACGCCTTTCAGCAGGATTGCGTCCTGACTCCTGGGCCCCTGCCCTGGCCCGTCATGAATGCGAAGGGAAGGTGCTGGTTACTGGTACTGCAGTACGTTGACCTTATCTGCATTCGAAAATCTTGAGCGACAGTGGACCCTGCTTCAGCTGAATCAAGTTTGTAGTCCTAGCACTGGCAGCTCGACTCCCTTCACATTTCCTTCACAAGCTCCTGGGGCCAGGAAAGTGTTGCACATTCACACTCTGAAAGGACGCCTCCTCTGTCCTTCTCCAGTGCAGAGCATTGCCCTTTAGCTGCATATTGAAATTTCTCAATGGCGCCACTTCCTGATTGGGTCCCAAAGGCAGACGACCTCGAATATGGCCACAAGCGAGTGTTGGCCATTGACGGTGGCGGTATTCGTGGGATCCTTGTCGGTGAGCTGCGCCGGCCTTGTCATGTGATGCAATGCTTTATTCGCACTTTGCATTCATTGATCCAAAGCGCAGAGATTTCTGGAGTTAATTGCATTGTATTACCATCACCAACAAGAAGGGTCGAAGAACTTACTTGAATGTATCTTAGCAATTGCTTATGCATGGTCATCCTTCTTTGCCACGCCCTTGCGGCATTTGACTATTGCATAGCCTCCATTCGCAGCTGTGCTCGTGGTCTGCTCATCACTGTAAGCCTAGCTGTCTATTTCCTGCTGAGCATTATGAATACAGGTGGACCTCTGCCCTTGTTCTGGCACCTGAACCTCATCAGCTTCATCTCAATCGGCGCAGCCTGTTATTGTGTCTTGTAGCACTTACCGCCAATGTCCTTTCTGGCAGGGGTGGTCCTGGAGTACTTGGAACAGGCCATCTTGGAAGTGTTGAAGGAGGACAAGAAGCACGCCAATCTCACACGACAGGATATCTACTTGGCAGGTAGGCCTCTCAAGGTACAAAGTGGATTGGCACCAGAATGTGGATTCTGCCTTCGATTTGGGGTTCACTTCAGCCTACAAAAGCTGGCAATCGGCGCATGCTTTCAGACAACCTGGTCTTAAAGATTGTCACTGGACCCCAAGAGAACAAACACCTTCTTTGGCTTTGCACTAATTGGTGCATCCCAGGTTTTTGCAAGTGCAAGGTCTTCAACAACGTGCGACCTATGCCTCCTCATTGTACCTCTACGTGACGCACTTCCTCCTGTGCATCTCTTTGCTCCTTACTTGATGCTTTTTCTCTTGCGTCTTTAGACTTGCCGCCTAATGCTCATGCGGTCTTTGCATCTGTCGAAAATCTTCCAACATTTGTCCTCCTTGCCTGCAATGCACTCCCCTTACTCAATTTGCAGATTACTTTGACATCATTGCTGGAACATCTACCGGCGGGCTTCTGGCTCTCTATCTGGCGGCGCGGGGAGACACTTATGACGAGTTGGGCGACATGGGGAGGCTGGGGCTAGAGAGGGAAATGCGGGAAGAGCCCAACAATCCAAAGCATCACAGGAAGGTAAGGCAATCAAGCAGGGGAGTACGAACCATTGAGCTATGCCTTTGGAACCAAACCAACCTAGCGGAGTCAAGCAATGCCTGGGTCTTAACTGAGATGGACTTGCTACCCCCCTGGGTGTCTTCTTTTGGCATTTGATAATAGGCAAAGGACAGCAATCAGACTCGATTCTGTGCATTGGAACCGGGTGAGTTTTGTGTTTAGAAACCAGGATGGGCTAACAAGCCTTATTGAAAGAAGGTACTTTCAATACCGAAGAAAGTTTCTTCACTACAATTTAGTCGGAAGGCCAAATGTAAAGATGCGACCTTGCTTGGCAGGGAGGAGCGACTGCAGCTCTGCAAATGTACCGAGCAAATGCTACGAAAATCTTCAAGAAGAAGGTGCCTGGCTGGAGTAAGGAAGCCCATCCTGAACTTCCCGCTTTTCAAGCTGCAATTTTTGTTGCATAGGATGCATCGCTGTGCACATCTGGACTCCGGCTAGGCCGCTTCAACTTGCCAGAAATCCAGACAAGTCAGATTGCTCTTGTCTAAGATAGCGGCAGGTCGTTCCCCACCTGCTACGGACACTGATGGGATCCTGTCTGTTGCTTTGCAGTCCCTGGAGTCGAGGCAATCAACAACGCCCTCTGTGGTTCCAAGTACGGCTGGAAAGGTATCGAGGGGGTTTTGCGCGAGGTCTTTGGGGACGACGAGGGGCGGAATCCCATGCTCAAGCTGACGGACCTGACGGTGAGTCTCAATCACTAATGTAATCCGTTGATCCCAGCAGCTGCAGAAAGGTGGCATTTGCAAGGTGTTTCGCTACCCCCCATCTTTTGCTGTTGCCACACTCTGCTGCAGATAAGGTTCGACATGCCTTCTTGTTTCAGGGGATACTGAGATCACTGCTTTCAAGTGTTCCCTTCAGGCAGTCTTTGCTGCAGTGTGTTACTAGGACGCCCTTCTTGGACTGATGTAAGTCAAGGGTGACCACGGCTGTTCGACAAACGCAATGGCTGCCCATTCGACCGTGAGTCCCACTTCCCATCCAGGGCTCGGTACTGATTCCCAGCTTCGAAACCAAGAAGACCTCCCCCTTCACCTTCTCCTACAACAAGTACACTGGCCGGTCCGGCTTCACTTACATGGCCAACGACCCTGTGGGCCGCTACGGGGCGGACGAGCTGCGCAACTTCAAGGCGGACTTCCCCCTCTGGCAGGTGGCACGCGCCACGTCAGCAGCACCCACCTTCTTCCCAGGTGCGAGCTTCCACCCCCCCTTATTAACACTCCGCTCCGAAAGATAGTCCTTGTGAGCTTCATGACACGTTTGTTGGTGCGCCGTAAAGCCTCCGTTGTCTTTTTGAGAGTGCGCTTCAGAAGTTCGTAGCGCAAGGAAGATGTCGGACTCCAATTCTGGTGGCATGGAAGACAATGGCCCACCGCGTTTTCCATCTTCTTCCACCGTGTTTAGACTTCGGTGCCGATCCTGACGGACTGATGGAGGTCGATGCAACGTAGGCAGTCACTTTGGCCGGATAAGAGCATCTGTCTAAGAGTTTCTCGAACACGAGCCTGTCCTCCGACCGAGTCATGTCCCCATTCTTGCGTGGTCCTGTCCAGCAGGTCGATCTCACCATCTCGGCAGTTAAGACCTTGCCGTGTGAAGAAGCTGTTTCATGCAGTGCTCTGGCTCGCGTCCTCCTTTGAGCAGCACTCTTGACTCCAGCATTCAAGGTTGACTGACGTCAACGGCCGCAGCTTTCGTTTGCAACCTATATAGCATATGTAACCAACGTTGTCTAAGTTCACACGGCCACCTGTGCACTTCTTTCCCAAGCTTTGGGGTTGAGCTGTCTGAAATCAGACCTGTGTCTGCAGTCGCTATCGTGAGCCCCTATGGGGATCCCCCAGTCAACAAAGAAGGCGTGAAGCCCCCTGAGTTTCCATACGAGCTGATCGACGGGGGAGTGGTTGCCAACGACCCCGCCTTTCAGGTGAGCATATTCGCGCCTGGGTCTCCAGTCCCCTGTCCTTGAAACCCTGCATTTTAAAAGGCGCGGAAACCCTTCCACGCTTCGACTGATGTGGCGGTTACAGAGGCACAACCAGGCAGGCCAAAAGCATCCAGGCTGGAACTGCTTTCGGAGTGTCTCCAACTGAATCTGGCTGTTCTGAAGGAGGGCACTCAGGATCATAACTGCCCGCTCGACTCGTGAGATGTTTTCGATCCGGCTTCGGGCGGCCAGTTGAAAAAGACTTTTACTACGAACACTTCTGGCAAACCAATACGGCCGGACGATCGAACGTGGTCAAAGGAGTGGGCGGCACGTTGGGAGCCGCAAGCCTTCTCCTCGTGAGAGCAATTTGAAGCAGGCCGGCAAGCTGGGCCGAAGTCAACGAAAGACCTGCGCGCATGCTCGCAAGGGACACCATGAGAAAGGCAAATGCCCTGACTCTTTCCGTTACCGTTCCCCACAGGCCGTCTTGGTCCAGGCCCGCATGTACGGCGCGCACCTGAAGGAGAAAAATGCTATGAACGCCGATGATTGGCTGCTGCCCACAGACTTCGCGGTCTTGTCACTTGGGTAAGTGCCGCTCTAGTTTGTGGCAACCGTCGTCTGGGCGAGGCTGGCGTTCGCAGTAGACCGACAACAATCTCCGGGCTGGCTTTTGTAGGTCGCCCTTCACAAGGCGCGCCCCTCAAAAGCTAGGGCTGTTGAGATATCTGAGACGCTCTCTCAGAGGTTGGTAACAGCAGTTCAATGAGACCTGTCGAGACGCCGATTGCTTGTGCATCCGCCAGTTTTATGAGTCTACACTGTCTCTGACCCTGTTCACAAAAGTCACGGATTCGCAGTGAAACGCCTCTCTTTTGCAGAGCTTAATGATTGCTTCAGGACGCTCAATCATTTCGATGCTCCGGTCGATTCTCACCGCTTTCTGAAGACGGCCCGACTTGTTCCGCAAACCTAGTTGCAGTCCGGTTATGATGGTTCCCTCATCATATACCGTCCTTGAAGGCTTTCAACGAAGACATCTGCCTCGTAGCACGCTCTTTGTTAACGACTTTGTCGAGGCTGCCCCATATTCTACCGATACGTAAACGTTGAGGGTCACGCTTGGCGCTCCGGCTTGAACCTCTGGTTGCGTCAGACTCACTTTGAGAATAATATTGCCGTCAACTACTGCGGTGCTCGTGCTTCTGCCTGGTTAAAACAATGCACAAGTCTTTTAACAGTGCACAAGTCTGGCCTGCAGGACCGGCACCGTCAAGTCGGCGGCTAACCAGGGGCGGGGGGCACAGCTGTCAATCGTGGCTGACCTCGTCACCAAGGTCCTGATGAGCGGCGCATCCGATCTAGTTCACAGCTACTTCATGGCAATGATGGTAAGGCACAGCACCAAGACCTTAAACGCAGACCTTAAACTGAGGATTTGTCGAAAGATGTGAACACCACGATTTGACGGTTGTCCACTTATCTACACATTTATCGACGGATCCAAGATTGCGTCTCCTCAGTCCATAGTGAATCTCATATAGCTTTCGTCATAGTTGGCCATCTGTTACAGCCATGTCTTGACTGGAAAGAGGCACGACACCAGAACAGGTCAGGTATCCATCAGGTATTCTCGCAGGAGCGATTACGATGTAAGCAGCCGGAATGTCGAATGTCGCTTTGTTTCGGGAGTGCTGCCCGATTCGAAGCCTGACCCAAAGTCGATATCAGCCACGTGGTGAAACCGCCCAATATCCGCTTCCCATTTGACAGCAGATCCTTCTAATCGCATCTGTCAAAGCTGGGAGGCCTGGCACTCTTTATTTTGCCCTTGGTCGAAGTCAAAGAGCCCGCTAGCATTGATCGGTCAGCTTCATCACCTCCTTTACTTCAGACCTTCTCCTGGAAGGAGAATCCTTTCTTACCACATCTTCCAATGACTTCTAAGATTTGAACTTGAGGACTCTACCTGTAAGGACGGCAGACGAGACAGCACCTTTGTATTCCCCGAGTTTGGCGTCTATCTCAGCGCTTCACTTGAGCTCAACGACCAGCTTTCATTTTTCCTCTTCTTAGGGCAACCTCCCAAAGGGCTCGGAGGGCCGTGACCAGTTCGAGCGCAACCCACCGTGCCCTTATCTGCGCATCCAAAAGACGGACACCAGCACCGACGACCCGAAAGAACTCGAAAAACTGGCGGACGACGTCCTCCGCAAAGCGCAGAAAGACGTGACGGCCGACGAGCGCAACACCTACAAGAAGTGCCTGAGTGCCATGGATGACGTCAGCGACAAGAACATGGACATGCTGGAGCATATCGGCGACTTCCTGGGGCGTTACTATACCGGGCGGCCGCTGGGGGACAGGCTGGAGCGGCCCAACCTGCTGAAGAACTATGTGCGGGAGTACCTGCTCGCCCCGAAGAAGAAGAAGAACTAAGTTAAGGGCGGGGTTTGAGGGATGTTAGCGATAGCATGGGTTGCATGTGTCTCCTGGCTCCTAAGGAGTTTGGTTTCTGTTTATTTCGTTCGTTTTTATTACGAGTAGTGCGACCACGTCAATAGCGTTTCTTGGAACACCAGGCACCGTTATCAAGGGACGAGTTTATGGAGGTGAGTCGGCGGCAAGTTAGGCGAAGAGGGTAGCAGCCGTCGCAAGGAGCAGCCAGCTCGATTCGGAAGCGGATTGCGCCCCTTAAGGATGTTTGGTGGGGTTCAAGTAGTCAGGGTCGTACTTTGAAGAGGGTTTTGTGTAGTCTTGTAGTCGAACTCCCGAGTTAGGCGACTCGAAGTGGATTAGTTAGCAGCTTTTGCGCGAGAGCGAGCAGCTCGGCTAATGCGACGGATTGCGCCCCCGAGCTCATCAGCGCTTGTAGGCCTGCGGGCACGAGCGTGCAAATCGTTAGCGACATCTTTGCACGTTAGAACACGGTTCTGAGCCATTGACAATGCTTTTGACTGTCGTTCGGATCTCTAGCGCTGAAACTACAAGGATCTAGAGTTTGCTTTAGAAATCAGGATTGGGTTGAAGCAGGGTTCTACAGGCAGCCTGATGAGTGCGTGTCGGGCTGGCACCTTGAAAGTTTTGTTTAACCGTAATGTTTTCAAAGTCAGTCGAACAGCCTAGCAGCTGAGGTTCGGAGCGGGGTTCGGATTGCCTGGACATGATAATGCAAGTAGGCTGTGCTAAATCTGTCGTATAGATTGAATTGCATAGGTTTGATTCACTTTAAGACATTCATTACCTCTAATTAAGTATTTCGAAGTGTTGTTTCCCTGGTGTACCAATGTTCCGCTAAATGGCAAAACGATGTGGCTACTTCAAATCTTGTTCATCTTCATATGTAATTTAGATATGTCAACTTCTCCGTTGATTCTTACTTGCAAGCTCTATATATTCAATCTTCGAAATCATACAATGCTTTGAGCTAAAGCTACCTAGTCAATCACACACAGTCGTATACATGATCATCCATACGAGATCCATACAAAGCATGGCGACAATGATTGCTAAGGCGGGCGCGTCGAAACCGTGTCACATGGCCGTCTTGTGATGATAAGATTTGTCTCGTAGCATGCCATGTCAGTATAAGTTCTATGTTAGGAGCTCTGAAATGATATTCCGGTTGTGGCTTTGATTACTGGGACGACAGTCTAGCACAGATCGAAAGGCCCAAAGCATACGAACTTCGAAGACTTTGTGACACTGGTGACTGGCGCCTTTGATACGCCCAGCTGGCTCTTGGAAGCCCCCCATGCAGAAATTAAAATCCTCTCGTAATATTGCGAGCGCTGAGGAACCGGCAGAGCTAAGTTGCCGTTTCTGTGACTGCCCCCGGCTCCGCAGGTTTTCGGGGAGATGAATTGACGGTACGTTGCCATGACGGTACGGATACGGCGTGTGATCACGTCGCTGGACCACAATTGAATTCTTCCGGGGGGTCACGCAACCATGATCTACAGTAGCTCGTGTTCATGTGACGCTGGCTGTGCTACTGCCATTGCTGGGTAGGCCTCGTGCATGATGCAAGAAGTTGAAGTTCTCTCAAAGGAGATTCTAAAACTTTTGAAGAGGCGTCGAGTTGGTGAGCATGGCTGCGTCCTCCGCAGCTCTTCTCCAGCAGCTGGGCAGAGGTTTCCAGCCTCTCACCTTGGGGGGAAAACGATGCCGCTCCATCACAAGATACCCAAGCAAGCCTGAGGCAGTCTTCTGCGTGCATCGAAGAGCGGCGAGTTGGTCTCAGCTGAGGAACAGGAAATACTTCGAAAGCAGAGAGCTGAGATCATGCAGAGTCGTGCTGGGTCCGTCACTCAGCATCTGTCGCCCAAACAAGGGTGGAACTTCGATTTGGCAACATGCTAATGGCGTCCTGCAAACCCAGAAGGCCAAAAAGTATTTGATTCAGGCTGTGAGCAATGGCGGTCCTGCGGGAAGTGAGTCAGCTGGCCCCAGCAAGAAAGAAAAAGAGGAGCGCTCAATTGTGCTGTACGGCAAGATTGAGAAGGTCTTTGAGGAGACTGCGAGGCGGTCACAGGGGACCGACGGGTCGGCAGGGGACTGGGAGGAGGTGGAGGTGAGTCGCTCCTTGTCATTGGTTTGTCGGGCACAGAAATTTTGCAATCAATCGCAGAAATTTTGCAATCAATCGCAGAAAGCTTCAAGAGCTGCAATTGGCTTAAACTTTGCTTGTGAGACGACCCCCGAAGTCTGTGCAGGAGTAAAGTGCACGCGGCAGGGTACTGTTCAAGTTCTTCCCGTGCTAGCATGAGTTCCCGCTGTCACGCAACTAGCACCGGTTGCCAGAAAGAGACATCCCACACAAGCAATAGACAGACAGCTCGACTGTTTGTTCTTCCATCTGCAGAAGTCGTGGGTGCTCCGGCCTTCTAAACAAGGCCCTCCAAAAGCGGTCGTTCATTTCATTGGAGGGGCGTTTGTAGGTGCTTCCCCGCAACTCTCATACCGGTTGTTCCTGGAAGAGCTTGCCAGCAGGTAAGAGGGGCCGCTTCATTGTGCTGAAGTTTTCCTTTCTAAGTTTTGTTGAGTTAAGTGGTTCAAGAGAGACTCCCTATCTGGTGGCACTGACATGCACATGCGTTCTTGCTGGGACTTTCATGTCCATCTATATTGTTAGAGTTGCAAAAGTGGCACTTTGGGGGTCCTGACAACAAGCTGCAGTTCTGATAACTCATGGTAGGTCGAGGAGGGGTTCCACACCTGTAGATGATCGATTGCTGTTGTCGATCACTGCGTTTGAGTTCTTCAAGTACTGCAGCTCCTGCAACCTTGAATCAGGAGCATCTGACGAACTATCCTAGTTCTGAATGTATTTCCACCAAAGATTAACCTTTAGAACCTTCTCTTCAGGGGCTTCCTCATCATTGCAACCCCTTACGGGAGTGGGTTCGACCACTTCCGCGTCTCCGACGAGGCCCAGTTCAAGTTTGACCGGTGCCTGCGAAAGCTCAAGGACGGCTCTGCAGACCTGGATTCCGTGCCAGTGTATGGAGTGGGACACAGCCTGGGGGCCCTTGCACACCTGCTGATAGGGGCGCGCTATGCTGTGGAGCGGCAAGGGAACGTGCTCATCTCGTTTAACAACAAGGTGCACCTTCATGCGCTGGACGTTCATGAGCCTACTACTGGATATTTTGGTGGGAAACAATTCATCCAGAGTGTCGATATCTGATCCTGAAGGGTGAGATGTTGATACTCTATCCAAGGGTTCTTCAATGGTATTTGGAGTGCTCTGCAGGCGCTTGTGGTGAAACAGTGTACAAGGGAACGGCGATCGGATCTTGTGAAGAGGGACGTCTTGTTACTTACGGCACAGCCTGTTCTGAGCCCAGATGATTTTATTGCCTGGTCAGCCTTCCCTGGCTTGAAGTGACAAATTGTTCGTTGATTGCAGGCCGCAAGCAGTGCCATTCCCTCCTTCAGCCCCGTCATTGCCCCCCTGGCCAAGCAGTGGGGCCCCCTCATTCAGCAGCTGTCGTCGAATCCAGCCTTCAAGTTCGGGGTGAGAGGTCGTGCTCACACGCCTGCTAGCAAACATTTATTCTCCGAGTTTCCATCCGTTGTCCTGCTTGAGACTCGTCACTCATCAAGAATGACTCAGTAGCGTGGCTATGATGACCTGGTGGTGCTCAACCTTGCTCGAGGGTCATAAAAGATGCGCTAAAGGGTGCAAGGGTAGATTTTCCACTTTCACGCATTGGGAGCTCAGTAGGACTCACAAATGCCACAATTGAAAGGCAATTCTGCAGCATACCCTGTTCATTGTGGGCCTCGTTGTTATTATCATAAGTCGGGAGTGGTTTCGGCAGAAGGTTGGAATGGCCGAAAGTCCAAAACGGAGTGCTATTCAGACAGAAACCAACGAGATGGAAGAGGGTCAGTCTAAACGCACAGCTCTCGGGTCGCAATGCTCATTAGAAACTCGTTGGCGTCCTTTCCTTTTCAATCGTTACGGAGTCTGTCTTCCCGTGCGCTCAGCCCTTTTCTTCTTGGCCCAAACATTGGCCACTATTTGGCACCTTCACAGCCACGTCATCCATAGCCACGTCATTCATTGTTCGTGACGTCTCGTCTTGCAGGCCGACCGCGCCGTCGAGCAGATACGCGCTTCGAGCCCTGCGCTTCTTCGACAAATTCTTCCGTTGCTCGAGCAACTTCCCCCCCTCGCGGCAGAGCTTGCCGACGGGAAAGACGAGTTTACACCAGCCCCCGAGGAGACTAGAAAGCTGCTCCGTGCTTATTATGGTGTCGGGCGCAATCTATTGGTACAATTTGAGCGGGATTCGATAGACGAGACGCCGGAGTTGGCGGCGACCCTGGGGGACGGGGCGGCGTGCACGCCGTTTTTGGACATGCAAGTCCGGACGCTGCCGGGGGACCACGCGCGGCCGCTGCAACAGGTGGGGTCATTGAAGATTTGACGGGCGCTCTCAAATGTTAAAACCCTAAGAAAGGCTCCTGGTGGACATTACTGATGGGCGCCATCGCTTTGAACAATTGGTGGCTATTTTCTGCGGTTTGGGTGCTTGGTTGCCGATATCGCACTGAAGACGTTTTCTCCTGTTTGAACGGCTGCTTTCAGCTTCCTCGAAGGTTGGATTCGGTGTAAACGGCAGGGCCGCGTCTGAAGCCGGTTTGTCTTTCATTCACAGAGTTGTCTTGCAGGATTGAGTTCGTCGGGCTTGCATCGTTGAGAACATCTTTCGGTCGCTGAGTTGCCTTCAACCCCATGGTTCGAAAGGATTGCTTCTACAGCATCATGATTATCGCCGTTGCGGGCAGATTGTGGTCCAACGAACGTCCGTACCAGACGGTTCTGTTCCTCACTCGCAGTTGGTTCCTGAGCTCCCCCCTGAATTGACGGAAGCTGCTGCCCGGGGGAGCGACCTCCTGACCAACCTAGCGGGCATGGCCGGGCCGTCGTCGCCTTTCTCCGACCTAGCGAAAGGATTCGGGGCGGCTTTGAAAAACGGGGTCCAGTCGGGGCAGCTTCGGGATACGACGCGCGAAGACATACGAATGCTTGTAGATGAGATTGCCACGTGGATGGGCGCAGACGCACAATTTCGAAGAGGAACTTACCTGCCGGGCAGTACAGCCATGTAACTGCCGCTTGATTACATAAGGAGACGGCGGCCTTATTCAGCGCGTTCCTCCCCAATCCCCCGCCTGGCATTGCGCCGCGTTTCAGGGCTTGCGAGCGAAGTTTTGCCGGCGGATTGTATCTGTATGGCCGCAGCAAGATTTCGAAGAGTTTTGATGGCACTGAGACGTCCCAGGTACAATATGCTGGGACTCTTGGATTGCACGACTCAACTGACTCAGGCGCCTTTATCTTCGATCAGATGTAGCATGGCTTACCTTCTGCGTCCTCTCCGTTCGATCAGACAGTAAATATCATGTGTAAGACGTAATGTTATCATGTTGCAGCCTAATACATGTGGCCGGTCGAATCACGCCGCGATGATCCGATGCCCGGCTGTACCGCGGTAGCTGTAAAGACCGCGTATATACAATGTACGTGTTGCCGAAGGCCGGGCGGCCTGCGCAATGCGATTCATGAGCACTAGGCTTATGCACTGAAGAAAGTTTTATACTCGCGATCGAGCACTTCAATAGGCACGATATGCAATCAGAGCCCACATAAGTGCGTTTGCCTACCAAACTGTGATACGCGTGCCTATTTGTGCCCGCGCGTGTTCTGCATAGTGTTATCCAAACCATGATGGCATAGTCCGCAATTCTTTGGTGACACTCAAAAGGTGGACTCAATGCATGATGGTCAGCTTTTGATTGGTCAAGGCTTGACATTACTTAGCAAGGTCTTCAAAATGGTTGTGGAAGCATTTGTAAGCTCAACGTTCAAGCGGCTGAGAATTCCTTTCGTTCCGAATCGATTCTGGCAAAATCCGACAGTGACGTCTTCGTGTGGACCTTGGACAATCATGTTGCGTTCCAGAATCATGCAGCAAAGCTGCGTTTTGTGTTTGCCGGCTCAATCTCTGGAAGCTTCTGGGGCAACTTTGTCTGCCTAATGTGCCAAATACTCATTGTTCACGGTCAGCATTTGCTCAGATGTTACTCAAGGTCTTTGCTCGAGGAATGGTGGATGGTTTCTCAAGTTTCAGTTCTTCGCAGCCGCGCAAATTAACTCTAAGGACATGCCTTATTCAGTTCGAACTTGCTTTACGAATCTCAGAGACTCTAACATTGACTATTCTAGGACCTTGATCATCTGCTGATGAAATCAAGGCACCTCAAAGCTGTTTTCATTTCTCTGCTTTACCTAGCTCTTACAACGCCGAGCCTTCAAAGGCATAACTGTGTTGCGGCCGTCTAGTGTACACTCGGGGGACGCAGAAACACGTTATAGAACACCCTCTTCCAGAGATACAGCGGGAACGTGAAAAACAGCACGCCAATCGCAATGAAGCAGCTGTTGACGTAAACATAACGGTTATGCAGACTATGGATGGTTAGCACTTGCAGTGGATAACCCAAAAAGGTGCCGAGCGCGCCCATGATTCGCTTGAGCCCGTACAGCTGGCCGAAGTTCTTGAAGCCGAAGACGCGGCCAAGGAAAGCCGTGATGCTGCCGAAGAGGAAAGGTCGGAGCGCAGCGAACAGGACGAAGGAGGCGACCTGTCCAAAGAGGAGACAGACAGGGGCGACATCATGAGGAGCTCGGCGGATTGGTAGCCAAACAGAGGGTTGTTGAGAGGCGATCTAAACGTTGGCGTTATGCTGATGTCTTCACAAAGCTTCTAAGCATCCTTCTTAAAGTGGACGCACTTGGAATAGGAACAACTGCTTTTCCAAACCCACACTGATCCGAAGACCCGAAATGGATGATACTAATAGGACCCCAAGACTTTAGTAAGTCTGGCCCTGAGTTGAGTTGATTCCTGTTGACAAGTTCGCACCAGGATGGCTCCTGAGAGGGCTCGAGAGGCAATCGCCCACTCACAGCCGAATGGAACGGCTGAAACCAAGCGAGGACGACAGCGCAGGGTCCGACGGTGACCAAGAGATCCAGCACCACGAAAAGCTTGTGCAACCAAACGGCCAAGTCCCGCCAAACGAGACGAGTCCGTAGCCACATCCCCATTGGGACTGGTGGCTTCGCCGGGAAGCCTTACATGCTTAAACGAAGCACATTAAAACCAGAGAAAGGTTCAAAGAACGACGCAAAGAGAATTAGTATTTTGGGTCAGGCAGGAGAGGAAACAAGCGGTTCAAAATTCTTCATTTCGCACTTGATCGCGGCTTTGCCCCAGCTGGATAAAGCAGCGGGAACAGGCGGCAATCTTTCCGTTCCTGGCGCATTTGTGGTCAGTCTCACTATTCCTTACTTGTAGCTGGATTGGCGGCTGGTCGTACGCATTGACGATGCAGAAGAGCAGGTGCAGCACCGCGAGGATGAAGTAGCTCGCCACGAAGCCCAGCTCCGACAGGCAGAAGCCCACGACGGGGATCATCAGAAGGGCGCCGACCGGGAGAAAGTAGTTGAAGAAGTTGGTGTAGTACCGGGCGACGTTCCTGGAAGGAAAGAAAGGGTTTAAGACAGTTTCCAACATTTCGAGCCGTTCGAAGACCGTGTCCTGTTCACTGAAAAAGGACGACGAGCAGAACGAGTTCCCAGACTCTTGCTCCACCGCGATAAAACCAGAGGGGCGCGCTTTGCAGCCAGCTACACGAGCTGCATTGTGAATGTGCGCTTCGATGGATCCGCTTACGCAGGGTCACCATCCTCACTTCGTGAAGAGGACTGCGTCATCAAAGCACGAGATGCAAGTGAAGCATCCAACCCTGAAGAACATCCATCTTCGGTGACAGGCGGTGCCACCCCGTGCCATCTGCATGCACCGGGCGCCCGGCTTTTCGTCCTGGTAAAATTCCGTTCCAATTGCGTTCTGCTTCGCCCATTTGACCGGCAAGCGATTCCCAAGCGGGTCGAAGGGCCTTCTTGGAGGTTGAGAGATTTGGTTTTGTGCTCAGCCGATTGCCTGAAGTGTGCATCTCAGGCATTTCCAGCGCGAATATATCCCGGACCCGCTTACCTGGCCTGCAGCACATCCCCCGGGTACTGTTGCTGCGCGGTCCAGAGCAGCTGCTCGTAGATAGTCTGGAAGTAGTAGTTCACCCGGAGCACCACATACGCGGTCATGATCGCCATGCTCCAATACACAGCCGAATTGACCTGCCTGGAGAACGCGGTGTTGTAGATGTCGGGTGGGGGCTCCTCCGCCCGGAAAGACATCCCCCGGAACAATCTCCGTGCAATACTTTCTCGCTTTGCCCCGGGTTCTCGCAAAGGCAGTTCTGGGGGAGTGTCTGAAGGACTTGCAAGCAGGGGGGCGGTCAGGGCGTTGTGTTCGATGGAAGCAGAAGGACGGCTAAGGTGCGGGTTATAGGGCACGGAGGTTTCGGACGCTTCGACGTCAACGGAATCCTTGCGCTGACTGGCGATGTAGCTCCAGTAGTGGTGAAGTTCCCCTGAAAAGAGAACCAGGGCGTTTCTAGAGGTCACACGGGCTAGGATTCAATCAAAGTCCGCTCGAAAGGCTGATGAAACCGGAAACATAACGAGAAGCCAAGTAAGTGCCGTAGATGCGAACGTGCCAAAGGTAAAGACTCGGGTGCAAGGGGCTAGCTTGAAGCGAATCTGCTTCGGCGCTTCTTCTCCTGACTGAAAACATGAGCGGGGAAAGTCGGGCGAGTACAATCACTACCCAAAATTTACACGAAGGTCCTGACAAACACGGCTGCAATCAGGACTGCAGATGACCACCTGGTTGTTCTTTTCAGCTCTGAAGAACCTGCCTGACATTCCTCCAGTGGGTCATCGCTGAAGTCTCTTCTCGAGTTATCTTAGGGTGGGACCGATGCATCGCAGCTCTTCAGCGCATTTGGCGCTCGCTCTTCAAAGTGACGGACACTCGAAGCTTTTGCTTCCTGTTTAAGCACCGAACGGTCGTACCTTTGAATCGGGTTTGTTCCGTCTCGTTCTTCCGGATTGGCTCAAATGGCCTATCCGGAAATAGGAGCACGCTGGATATGAATATGACGACGGGCAGGGCTGTATAACCGATGAAGACGGACTTGAGGGAGACGTCGAAATGGTGGATGATCGCACCGAAGATGCAGAAGACAACCGTCGATGAGTTGAAGCCTGCAGCAAGAGGTCGAGTGAGCTGGATTGCGGAAAGTTTGTCGTAGGAGACAACAATTGCCAGGACATTGCACTGGCATCTCCAACAGTGGCTGGCGCCGCTGACATGTTTGACACTGTCAAAAGACGCCCACCAGAGCACCGCTTCTTCTCGTTTCTTTCTTGAAGTGAGTCGAGAGGCTTCCAATCCAGACGGAGTCAACGGTAAAGACGTTTGTGTCAGAGGAGCCACGAAGAACCTCCAAACCAGGTTGCTGATACTGGTCGCAAAGAAACGTCAAACGCAACGGGACTCTTGAAGTGATTGTCCCTCACCAGTGGAGAGTGCGCCTATGATGCCCGCTGACTGGTCGGGGAACAGCTCCCCAAAGTTGAAGGTACTGTTGGCGATACAAGACCCCCCGGCGGACATGAGGAAGAACCCGACGTAATAGAGCGTGCTCGACAGTTCCTGGGCAAATGCAACTGAGAGGAGACCCCCTGCTAGCAGGAGTGAGCCCAAGCACACGGTTATGCGCGGGCCCATGTAATCAAGGAAGACGCCTGTGGGGGAGAAGCGGGACCGGCTTGAGGTAAAGAAATCGCAGGGAACCAAATCGACCCAACAGAAGAAAGAGAAAAGGAAGGTCCTCACAATCTTGGAGGGAGGGCTTGCAGGAGTTCGTTCGGAACCACGGGCAATCGTGTCTAGTATTGTGCGCCTGACAGGAATTGTGTTGATTATGGGTCCTGACTTGTGCGGCAAACGTCTGCACATCTTGTCCCCATCCTTGTCTGAGCTTTCTTTTGGAGATAGTGTGACAGTCAATCACGATTTTGGGATGTCGGATGGCCAGGGATAGTCAGGGCTTGACAAAGGATAGAATCTGCTTGACTGGTCCTCTTCAGTGATGGGGCTCTTCCATCATTCGAGTGATGTAGAGATTCTGTATATCAAATAACCCCGGAACTTCTGAGTACCTCAAAAGCACTCACCAATAAAAAAGGCGCAGCCGGAGAGGGTGGTGGCGCCGATGGTAAACATCCTGGAGAGGCGCTCCTGCTGAGCAGGGCACGGCGTGGGGCCATCCTTGCAGTACTCGCCAAACGCCTTGACCTCAAAAAGGAACACATCGTACAGGCCCGAGTAACCAAACACGATGCCTGCAATTAAGGGAGCCCAGGAGTTGCGGTGGGACTGTGTCCAAAAGGTATTAATACGTGGATTGCAAACCTATTGGTAACAGGATGAACATCAGTGGGGTTTTAGAGTTGACGCTGTCAAGGTATGGTGGTGCTTAGGCAGCCCATTCCTGCGCAGTTCAGGTTCCAGAGGATCAATGCACGCGTCCCACTTGTGGCCACCATCGACTAAATCCGCAAGGCACTTGTATTGTCAAAATTTGGAAGAAGAGTTTTGGAAAATCCTATGTTGCCAGCTGTCAAGGTTCCAGTAGTCCTATGGATACGGGATATTGGAACAGATGACAGCTGTATCTGAAAGGTTAGACGTTGACAAGTTTCGGAAGATGAGCAGTAAACGATTCATCAGAAGTATGTGGAAGATGGTGTATGAGCAACAGTAGTGAGCAAGCAGGAGACCACTTGCAATGGAGCCACTTCACTTCACACAGCTACTTCTTGAGAAAGTGCACAATGGTGGCGCCAGCTGAGTGGCACCGCGCGCGTCTGAGCTTCTTGAAGAAGTTGAGATACAGTCAAGAGAGACTGATGCCAACATATCTTAGAAAGCTGTAGGAAGCAGAACTTAAACCTTCCTACCCGTGGATGTTATCGAGTAGATCTGGGCAAGCGTGACCAGGAGAAGCCTCCGGGAGAAGCTCTCTCCCCCGGGGGCTCTATAACACCTTTGCAGAACACCCATGCTCCTGCCTGAGGATGTCGCTTGCGATAACGTTCACCACAGAAGGGGTTTATTCTGATCTTGCGCCTAACGATCACCACAGATTCACTACTGCTGTGGGCTTTCTCGTTTGCATTGCCGGCAGTTCACTGGCTCAAGAGGCAACCATCTCTTCATGGCTTGCATGCAACGGTGTCTCTGGGACGCAACCTATAATGCGGTGGTGGCTTCAATGCCAGTGCTATGTCACGAGTTGAGAAGTTCTCAGAGCAATGGCCAGCGCAGTGTCACAGCGCCGATCAATCGTTGATACGTCGCCAACATTGCTGAGTACATTACGTGCCTTCTAGTGCCTGCATCGACCAGTTGCTGTTTCTGGTCGGGTATATAACGCTCTGTGCCGCTCCAAGTTCTAACAAGGCGCTCTCTCTGGTACCTCAGCCGCCTGCGTGATGAATTCTACGTTGCTTTCCTAACAGTATAAGGCAGCTGACCAGTATTACTATACTAGGTATATAGATAGAATATATCTAATCGCATTGCAGGCTCCTCTCCCGGGCGGCCGTTTAGTATACAGACTGCTCATGATTGCATGTGACGTAGGCACATTCTCCATTATGTGCCCCGTACCGGCCGTATCATATGCAATCCGAAACTAGCGCACGCGACTGCGTAAGCATACGTCACGGTCCGGTCCGACCGTACTTCGGCGCGGCCGCCCGGGCCGACGGACCCCAAGTTGGGTAGGGCGTCAGGGTTTAACTTTAAGCAGGGTTTAGAAAGGGGTTTCAATGCTTGCGGGCAGCGGCTTGGTACGCGCTTGCGCACCATATTGCCATAAGCCACTGATCGATTGCAGCTTGCTGCCCGTTCACAAGAGCGCAGCTATGGAAGGAGTGTCCGCCTACGTCTCCTCCACGAGAGCTGTTGCCTCCTTTTTTGCCCCCATACAGCCAGCCTCTTGTTGGCAGAATGTTAAACGAGTTTTAGAGCCTTCCTCATTGCGCATCCTTGGGCAGCGTTGCGCACTGGACGGTCACCGTGCGTTCAAGGTGAGCTGGGGCTGCCCGATCCTCTGTAATGCTACACTACTCAATGCTGCTCTGGGGTGTGACTTGGTTGTCTTCTGGGGCTGCTTGTTATGTAAAAGCGCCACCTGGACTCTACTTTTTACCACCATTTTGTGAATTGCCATCATGATTTAAGCTTCCGAGTCTGTTCTAAATCTTTCTCTTGAAAGGTGGATCACTGGACATGCCCATAATCCATTGTTGCAAAGAATGCTAACTGCGAGCAATCCCTTCTTTGGTAAGTGATGCTGAGGCCCAGGGCGCCAGCACTCGAGGTTTGCTCGGTGGGCCTACATTCTGTTTGCAAAATATGCACAGCAAAACATGTTTGGGCCGCACTGATTGCTTGCAGGGGAGTGAAAAAGGACGCTTACGAGAGCACCATGGTTTGCACGATCGGAAGGAGAGAAAGCAACGCAGAAGAAGGACAGCGTCACACGTTGCGAAGGTGCATTACCTTTCTGCCACACCCAGTTGGCTCGTATTGGACCTTCTATGAGTATACTTCCACTCTCTCTAACCTACGACACGAAGGCCTTGCCGGCAGCTGTGCCCCGCTTCTCGTCATTCGCAGAAGATTGGCCGCGAGCACGATGCACTGCAAAAGATGTTTATCGACACCGTATTCGCTTGTTATGCACCTTTTGACAGTCTCCTTTGTAATTGACAGGCCAGCGGGGAAGAGAACAGTGAGAACATTAAAGAAGGCAAGGAGTGAGGCCCCTTAAACTGGCTTGGATAGGCAAGACATGGTTATCTTTCACAGCCCTGACCCCCTCCAGACCTGTTTAGTTGCCAAAATTGATCAAGCGCTTCAGCTCTTGTCCACCTTTTGGCTTGAAAGTTCGATCTGTTATGATGTTGTTACAGTATCAACTTGTTGAAACAATGGCAGTGCGTCCAGGGACGGACCGGTTGTGTGCAACCTGGGGACTCTTCAATGAGCTGTCTCTCAAGCCCATGTTTCTAATCAAATGATGAAAGTTGGTATCAATCAGGGCCATTGTGAGCTCAAGCATTTTGTTTTGCCGACCTGCAGCATCTGATCATGCTGTAATATTGGCCCTCGTATAACTCTCTGCAGCAGAACGTCATCTTCAGGCGGCCAAACCGGGAGTGTCTCAACAAGAAACACCGACCAAGAGTTTAATGACAGGATAAGAGCGATACAGAGGTGAGGGGTCCCGCTTCCCAGGAACTTGGTGGTACTCAATTTCGGATTACAACCTGAATGAGGTTATCATGGTAAATAAGAGGTAGCTTTCTTGCGCGGCCGTCTGGGGGCCTCTTTCGGGTCAAGCTTTGTCGTTTGTCATAGTTCCAGCCACAAAGTACTGTGGCGGTGTCAGCTACTTCATATCAATCATGTCCGTTATCTGAGAGACGGCACAGCTTTCAATAGATTGTGCTTATGCAGCTCGGATGCCAATCGATCTGGAGCCATGAACGTCGCTGGGGACGATGCTGGTGGAAAGACGTCTGCAGAAGGGGAAAAGAATCCGTGGGTGAAGGTCAGAGCGCTTCTTATCAGGGTCTTCAGTTCCTGATCAGGGCTGGTTAAGAAAGGCGTGTCTTGTGAGGGACGAAGAGCTGAACGTATGCGGATCAATGTTGCAAGTTCGGGGCTTAACGATGTCTGCGACCATTTTGGCTCTGTAAAGATCAGGTCTTATGTAAGTCAGGGCTGACTTGATCTGCTTAATTTGGCCATGTCCAGATGCTCACAATCTTCTCTCGTCATGATTTTTGGGTATGTACTGCTTGTGAAGAAGAACATTTGAAGGAACAGATTGCGCACTAGTTCCACGAATGTTGCAAACGGTTTGGGCACGCAGCAGAGTCGTCACCATTCCAGAGTGAGCTTCGCCGTCTGCAGAAGGCTGTATAAGACAGTCAAATCGATGCCGCTCCTTTCCACAGATCATTGCCGGTGCAGCGGCCGTAGCTCTCGTGGGGCAGATTGCTGTGAGCAACCTGATACCACAAAATAGCGGGTAAGTGTTTTTGCATTGAACTTCTCCAGAAAACTAGTTGGTCTAGAAGTATTCAGGAAGGGAGGTCTACTTGCTGCAAGCTGTGTTTTGGCTGTAAGGACCTAGGCGGCCACCCAAGATATATCAACAGGGCTAGGTCTTCTAGGTCTTTACTGGCTTTTGTTCTCAAGTCTTCTGTAAATGGCTTCCGTTCTTAGTCCGACGTGATGATTCCGAACGATTTTATTCCGATACTTTCAAACTATCCAACCAGGAAAGCAGAATTTATTATGGTGATTCCGAACAATCCCAATGCCCTATCTTCTCGCTTACAAATGGATTTTCAGGCTGATTTTAGCCTTTTTGGGGCTTCCGAAAACAATCCCAGCACTATTCAACCTTTCCGAATTTGCACTTTCCGAACGGAAATTCGCATTTCTGACATTCCGAATGCAGACATCTAGTTATCTACTCGGAATCATCTCGTTGGGAGGCTTTTTCGGGCATTCCTAAATGATTCCCGCCACTTAAGTAAGCGTATCCCTTGGCAGTTGAAAAGGAAGGCCGTAAGCTTGTCGAACCAACGTATTGCATGGGGTAAGAATCACAAATCGCTGTGATCGGCGAATAGGTGTGTCGGCTTAAGGAAACGGGTTTTCTGTGCAGGTTGGGTGGACTGCCAAGCGAGAGCGCCCAAGAGCAGGCAGCGAGCGAAGAGACGAAACAGCTACAGGTCAGTCAACCGTTTGGCCCGGCAAGTTTGCACGAACATTCTAATTGAGCAGAACTTTTATGGCTAGGTAAGATGGTCAGGCGCTTCGAGAAGATTGGATTCGATGTTCTGTCGAGCGGACAGCCATCAGCTTTCGAACCTTTGCACAGTCGTCGCCTGGTGGCAACGTACGCTTTGAATCTGTGCAAGTTCCAGAATGATCTGACGTGGTACCCCACTCTGTGGTTGTGATTACAGAGACAAGCAGCAGCCTTTGAGGCGATGCTTCAACGCACGCCCTCCGATGTTGAAGCTCTCGAGGTAAAGAATCAGGGCTGCAGCTGACACTCATCAATACATGTTCGGTCGAAATCGATCACAAGCGCTGAAAGTTGCATTCGGCGAAATGGCACTGAAGGGCTCTCGTCAAGGGTTCCTGTAAAATCTCCTCGAAACGTCCTTTTTACGCAAACGAAGGCGAACTTCTTCTAGCTTCCAAACCGGAGCCATCTCCTTCTATTGTTTCCTGCTGTCGACCCTTTCTTGCTGCCGAATGCTTCCGAATTCAGGAATTCCATTGCGATTGCGAGTTCTGAAAGTTGGTGATTGCTGCAGGGTGCAGGCGTCCTCTACGCCAGTCTTGGCGACTACAACAAGGCCGCGGAGTATCTGGAGAAACTAGTCAAGGTGAGGCGTCTTTTCTCACCCGTGCATCTTTGGGCTATTTATCAAGTAGCTTACCAGACCAAAGGTTTGCTAGTCAAAAATCTCGAGGGAGGGGGTCGGAAATCAGTGGAGGAAGAGACTGAGGGACACCGCAAGGAATGGCTGTTTGAAATGCAGCCGAGATGTTGTTCCCGGGAAAAGACGGCTGCCTTACGAGGGGTCCCATCCGGGGCTCCACTCGCTCGTTCCTGTCTCTCGGAGAGCGGACAGCTTCTGGATCCGCAAAGCAGGCAACAGAGCAGCCTCCAAACAATTGCATCCGCTGTTCTTTCCGGCAAGTATTCACTCACCTTACATTCCTTTTTTTCCGACTGTTGGGACTGCCGTGGTTGTGCGGCCTTGCGAAGACGTGCGAGTGGAGATAAACATTTTATGCTGGTCTGGTTTTGGGTCGACTGCAGCTGCCTCCGGTTTAATCACAACTGTTAATCTACCGCTTTTCTTGCAGGCCCGGCCCAGCTACGTGGAAGCCCTCCGGTTACTGGCCGAGGTCAAGTTCGAGGCGCGCGACTTCTCCAGAGCTGCGTACATGTACAGGCGGGCAATCAAGGTCAGTCGTCGGCGCCGATCTCGAAATACAGATTGTAGCGAGCCGTTGAGCCTTGCGCAATCCGGCTGCGCGGGCCTGTTTGGGTACGAAGAAGCATGTCTGTCGCTCTTTGAAAGTATTCTGCACTGGTATCAAAGCACGAAAACAGACCACGCGAGGAACCCTTCGCATTGCCCTCGCCGGATGTCTGTCAACTTTCTGGCTCCGCAGAAGTCAAGTATTTTACTGATATCTTCCGTACGGTTGTTCGACCGAGCGACCATCCATAAGACGGTCTTGAGGATTTGGCTCCTTTCCATCACTCCCATATTCCTAGCAAGTCGAGCGGGGGTCGCCCGACTTTCCGTCTCGTTGCTGGCCTCGTAATCGACTCGTCACGACGATGATCTGCACATACCAACACTATTTCGGTGCTACTGGTAATCAACGATACACAAGACAAGCGTTGTTTGTCCGGCAGGCGAGCCCGGAGGAGTCGCTGGGTCTGCTTAAAGGTTTGGCGGACACGCTCATCAGCGACAATCGGTCGAACGAGGCCGTAGATGAGATCCTGAAAGCGCGGAAGCGCCTGAAAACGGCGGAGGCTGCGCAAAGAGCGGGGGCTCCGGCGGAAGGACTGGCGGAAGAGCGGAACGCTGCGGACGGAAGTCGAGAGCCGGGCGAAACGGACGCGGAGACTGCTAGCAGTGGTGATGAGGTCCCGGTGAGTGCGCTCCGTGCACCGTCATCAGACGGTTCCCTGTCGTCGGTTCGAAGATCATTTTTACCGCACGAGGTTGATAACGCAGCGACTCCAAGATGACCTGGCTTGATTACAAAAGCGCAGGTGTAGCAGACGCACTGTCGCAACGGTTCCACCAGTCAAGCCGAGCCACTTCGGCACTGCGGAACGCTGTCTGCGGAGTATAATGCTTATAGGCAGTGAACCAGCTCCTGAAGGCTCCTGAAAGCCTTTCAGAAAGTGCGCGGACGGGGATGATCGTACCGAAATGTTTGTGTTGAAAGTCGCGCTTCTAACTGTTTGGATTCATGACCCACTGTCGGTAGGTACATGCTTTTTGCCGGGATGCTCAGTATGTAGTAAGTAGTTACCGGGGCATCGGCCACAAGCGGAGGGGGGGCTTAGCAGCTTCTCATGCGGTCCCCCACACATCCTTTCTCGACGGGGACGGAACAAGCCCGATACGACTATACTTGATCCCACAACTTGCTACTTCCTAATGTAATCTGGTTTACAGCGCGATAAAAGGCCTCAACGAGACCGGAGCTTTCAATTTTTAGCTTCAATTGCTCACGGTATGAATCCTGTCCTTGCAGATTGACTTGCTTTTAGCTCAGGCGTACCAGTATTGGGACAAGCCGAATAACGCTCTAGCAGTATACGACGGGCTGATGGCCGAGTACCCAGACGACTTCCGAGCTTATCTGGCGAAGGGCATCCTGCTGAAACAGCAGAACCGGGAGGCTGAGGCGGAGCAGGTATTAGAAAAGGTGAGCTCGTTGGGATTCGTTCAACCATTTCGGAGCGGAGTTAGGAGCCCCCTCAACGTTGCCTGACGTGCCTTGATCCGTACCCAGCTCTTCGCGTGACAATGACGTCTCGGTTTCCACCCTTCAATCTTTGAAGCTCAAAAGGCAATCTTGACGCAAAGAGCTGGTTATTCAGCGAACGGATCGTTTGTTGATGCTGACTGGAGCTGAGCACTGAGCTTCTAGGAGGTCGACCGATGAGTATCTGGCTCTAGCTGACGTCGACCAGCTTAGCAGTCCGTCAGACTACCTGCGCCAGGGGGATCCTGTTTGGAGTATGTGCACGGATGCTTCGCAAGCTCTATCAAGGCGAGTAAGCTTTACTGGTCCTGGGGGAGTCCTTGTTCGTTCCGTCAACAGGCCAGCCAGATCAACCATGGCGACGCACCGTGCCCGCAAAGCCACCGAAAGCATCTTCTCGCAAACCTAGTCGAAATCACGTGATTTTTGATTCCGATGTTCTGCTTCCTGCAGGCAAGGTTGTTGGTGCCGAATGCCGCCAAGCAATTGGTGGACGGGCTCACCGGCGAGTCAAGATAAGTCGGCCTGGCCCCTTGACACATTGTTATTTTGAACATGTCACGATTGGGTTGAAACAAGTGTCTCAGTTCGCCGAACGTAGAGGGGGCGATCATTCTTAGGTGCCTAATGAAAAAAACCAGCCATCTGTTACAATGGAAGGTTCTTCAAGAAATTTATCAACTTGGGTTGTTGACTACCGGCTCAACTAGCCGGGCGTAATTAGGGAAATTGAGGGAATGACTCTCGCATGATGCTGGGCATCTTTGCTTTCAATGTTATTGGACCCGCCCCCAGACATGTAGATGGTCGAACGAACGCACCTGATGCTGCCGTATTGCGCTAGCTCGCGGGCCTCTTCGCAAACATTCACAGTGTACAAGTTGCCTGCATGGTACATGTCGATCATTTTTAGAGCGAAGGCTTTTTCGCGTCCGCACGGTGTGGGAATCAGACTCAGTATACACCGTGTGAAGCATGGCATCTGCAGCAGCATCGATCTCCGACCCGCGGGCCAACCATGCGACAATTAAGGCGAGGGCCTGCCATGATGCATTCCAATTCTCGTGGAAGGACCAGTAAGACTTCGCTAGTCCACGGCAGAAAGACAATCCTATACCTAGTATTAGTATGCTGCATGGGATCATGAGACGAGTCGGCTCGTCGAGCGCGTTCCCGGATGCATATACAGGGCGTGCATATAAGCGGAGTTGCTACTGTCCATGTATAAGATTGTGGTACTCTGGATAGAGTATGCCAGACTAGGCTTGTGGCCGGATCGAAGCATACGCGCGGCCGCGCCTGTCTAATCCGGAGGCGCCAGGCCCTGGAGTATACATCCAACTGTATTCTCTACTGTAAAGATTACAGTCATGCTGCAAAATGTTCAAAGGATACGTTGCGCTCAAATCATCGGTCGAATTAAGTTTAATGCAAGCCGCGCCGTTGAAGAGGGACAGGTGTTGCATGACATCAATCTGGAATATGCACTAGGCATAGCGCTGATCCAATACTCGACCGTCAGATTGACGCCACGTGGAATTGCAATGGCCGAGTTGTAATATACACTGTCACATGTACAATGATCAATGTTTGTTGAGCATGCAGTGTAACGGTGAAGACACTCTCGTTCCCAGTGTCCTCAGTCTTTGAGCAAGTGTAGGCGCTTTGTTCAGGGAATTTGTTTGGACGCGCTTCACCAAGGCCATCACGAGGCGCCATGGAACCGTAGAAGCCGTTCTGCTTCGCTCAAAGCGTCGTCCTCATGGCGCCTGTCAAGATGTTAAGATGCCCGAGGTTCCAGGTCCCCCTTCTACTTTTTTAGGATCCCATCCTAGCCCATCTTTCCCAAATTGCTTCAGCCGTGCCGTTTTGAAACGCCTTCAAGTTCTTGGAGTCGAACCGACCTCTTGAAGTCGTGCCGCCTCATCCAAGTACAGACCGAACTGAACCCACTTGGCGGTCAGCGTTGCGAGGGCCAACTGAAGCAAGACGAACGTCAGCAGAGCCCCAGCTCCAAGCTTGAGAACTACATGTGGATACCTTTTGTAGGCGATCCCAACAGCTGCCCCAAAGGCCACCAAATCTGCAATCTGGCGAAGGTTTAGAGGCCACCTTTGCTCCATCAGTTCGCCCATCCATAGTGCCTGCAATGATTGACAAAAAGGCCTGAATTATAATCCATGAGGACGTTGACGGCGTTGGAACTTTTGCAAAAGAACTTCAAAAGCAATTGGCGGTTCGAGGATCTCCCTCAATAATTCCCCCAGATCTCCAGCCTCCAAACTCCAATTGCCGCGAGATAGTGAGCACAGTCTTTCCGCTTCATATATAGTTTTCCATCAGAAAGGGTTCGCATGACCGAAGAAAAAACCATTGCGAAATCCTAGTTGAAGGCCTAGACGGGAAGAACGGCAAGGAGTTGAGGATTGATTTACCTACAACTCTTCGTTGGCTAGGCGCTGGAACACCTTTTGCATGGTCTTCAACCTGTCTCGGACGTACGAGAGGGTGTGATGGGCAAACCGAGCTCGGATTCCGGCCACGTGCGCGGCGCCTACGACAGCCACAGTTACGTATCCCCTGATATTCGCATGCTCTGCAAGGCGCTGCAAAGGCATAGGACAAATGGAGACTTGTCGCATGAAACGAACTTCTCAAATGCACGGATTTCTTACGAGCTCGTATCGAAGTCGTTGAGACCTGATTGGACAAGACCTGAGCGAGACGACGTTGATGAGCCACGGCAGCTAACCACTTGCAGAAGTTCTGCTCTTAGACGATCCTTACCCTCCCGGCTCAAAATTCAGGGGATCTGGAGGTAAGGGACTCGATATCCTGACGAGAGAGTTAACATCCTGAAACTCACGAGAGCCATCAAGTCGTCTCTTGGTGCGAGCTTAGCGCGTGGTGCCGAGCTTCTGAAGAGCCTCGCTCGGTAACTCTCGCCACATTCAAAGATGTGCGACCGGAACTCCGCAACGTCTGCTGGCAGGGGCATCGATCGACCTGGAGCAATTTGTACTGACGTTGAGTGATGTCGTATGTAATCACTAAGGTTGAAGAGTTCACGATCTTGCTGGTGCAAGTTTTGCCCTCAAGCTTCACTCCACGGCCCTCAAAAAGGATTCTGTTCTTGAAGCTTCTGTCCAAGACACAACCCCACACAAGTTGAGTTCTTTGGAAGAAGTGGCCCGTCTTCATGTGAACGCTGATCATCGACAAAAAGTCGGCCTTCTAGCTTCTATGCAACGCCTGATTACGGCATAGTAAACCACCCCCCCGTTCTAATAACGTACCTGTTCTACTGGGAACATTTCACAAAATCCGGTCGTTCTACCTAGTACGTTGTGTTTATGCTCTGCGCAGGCACGTTCCTGGTTTGCGAAAGACACAGATGAAAAAAGGGTTACGTTCTTACTCCTTCGCAAGTGGAATCCAATATTTCAGTGGCCAAATAAGGAAAGGGTCAGTAGTGACGAAGAGGTCACGCAATTCGTATGCGGGCGCCGCTTTCATGAACAGTAATATTCTTGACCTCGTATCTCACCTTCAAGGAAGGCTGAACATATTCTGAAGAAAGCCCTCTTGGGTTGTTTGGGTAGTTGCTCTACCCAACTGCATGCGGCGTAGAGGAACTCCCATACAAAGGGGTCCCGATCGCGAACCTTCTGCGGCCAGCCAGTCCAGCGAAACGAACAATTGTTGCTGAAAGTTCAGTCGGAAGTATGTCCAACCGTCTGAATGGAGTACGAGTAGACTTAAAACGTGACTCGTCTGATTCTGGCATCTGCTCTTTTTGTCCTCTAGTACACACGAGCAACAGAGAACAATGCTCAAAAAGCGCTAGCTGCAAGAGCAGTTGAGCTCATCATGATGATTTCCACAGAATTGAGATCAGGCGAGGTACAGGAAGAGTAGATGCCTCCTCGAAGTGCAAGAGACTCACCTCGTGCTCCTTGGTGAGTTCCACCAGTTCCTTCTTCTCTGATTCTGGCATCCCTTGAAGGATCCTAGCTTCCACTCGCTTTCTGATGCTTTCCAAATCAGGATCTTGGAAACGATAGTGCCTGCATTGTTTGCATATATTGCAATTTTGGCCACTGCTATCCTATAAGGCTGGCCCAAACTGGCCTTCTAATCTGTTTATCTGGCCGGAAAAGCCTGTGCCAAGCTGATCAGGCAACTCTTACAAACGTCAAGTCTCTTGTCGAGTAAGAGACCACTTGAACAACGTAGTAACGAGAAGAGACTTGCAGAATAGAGGTGAGAGATAGAGCTCGAGGTTGAGAGAGACGGCAAAAAGAGGGATCCTACTGATGTGATTTGGGCAGATCGACTAGCCGAACAAGGTACTCACTGGTCAATCAAAGCGACCTTAATATCCAAGCGCTGAGCGGTTATAATTGCAGACTCCATGTCGCCGCAGTCCCCACCTTCGATCTGCATCCCACACATAAGGATTGCATAGAGGATATTAGTCGGAAGCACAGAGAACATCAAAGAGACGACGTTGAAGCAATTCTCTGTAGATACGAAGAAAGGCGTCCAGGATCAGAGTTGTGAGTCCCCTTCTTAATTTGAATGAATGTCCATCGTGCGCCGAGCATCTCAGTTTATGCTACATTGCAACTATCAAGCCTATCAGTGTGTAGGCTCACTAGCAATCAGTGGCAGCATGATATGGTGGTTGTCAAGCGCACACCTACCTGTGCTCTGAAATGGCCGAAATAACCGTTCCAAAACGTCCTGAAGCTGCCACCATATGTTGACCAGATGACCAGCAATACCTGCAAAGATCTGAAAAGGGTGTACCGCCAGTGACCCAGTGAGGGCAGGCTATGGCATATTGCGATGTGCGTGGGCAACGCGCTCAGTCCGCTAGGATCTCTGGCATTTGTAAAATAGCTGTTTATCAGTTGACCAGCTTTTAGCGCAACTGATTCAAAAGGAGACTAGCCTCACAACCAAAGTCTCAAATGTCTGTCAACTTGTCAGTGAAGTCCGAAAGTGGCAAACAGATTGAGCGCTCAGCTCATTGAACCTTCAACAGGCTCACCTCCAGTGGCTTGGTCAAGTCAGAGCTTGCGCTTTCCGGAAGGGAGGGGGCAGCATATCCAGCAATCCGGTCGAGGTCAAGCTGTCACAGCAAAACTGCATCAGATCAATCCATTATGCAATACTGTGAACAGCAACCCCAACTTACTTTCCAGCTGGCAGCAACTGTGACAATGATCTCAAAGCACACAAGAGTAAGATATTACACACAAGTACTAGTGTTCTGAAAATTTGGAACATTCGTTTGGGGACGGGTTATTTAAGCGCTCAGAACCTGCGAGCATACGCAGCCTGCCACTATAATGGGGGCAATATGCTTCACCTCTACGGCCACGACGTCCGGCCGGACAGCTTCGATGAGCATCCTGACGTCAGTGGCGCTGATAAGGGACTCATGTGTGGTCCCAATCAAGTACACAATGCCCCCGCTGCTTGGATTTTTAAGGACCAGGACATTCTTTTTGTTGTCCTCCGGCAGTGCTAGCTCTTCTAGGTGACTTGGGCTCTCAAACAGGGCACAGGCCTCGGGCTGCCTTTTCAGCACTTGGAGGCCTCGTTCCAGTGGGAAGCCCTCAGCCAGGATCTCTGCAACGTCAGCAAGGGGAACATAGTCGTCTCTGTACGGAGGGGGCTTCGCAGCAGGGGCAACTTGGCGACGAAACGGATTGGCTGACGACTTGATGCGACCGTATTTTGATGCTCCTGGGAGCTTGTCAGGACCAGACCCTGAAGGAATTGGAGATCTCCACCTACTTCTTTGTGCTTTCTTTATTTCCCAAGCTTTACGCCTATGATCTGCGACATTGCTTCTCCCAGGGGGTCTGGACAAGACCAGCTGCTTTGGTCTGCCACTTGTGCGAGGTGAGGGAGGCTGCCCAGTTGCCTCGAAGCTGGTCACATCATGTTTGATGTGGCTGCAGAGAAACGGCCTGGCAAAATATCGGGTGGACGCCATAGAGGCGCGCGCGCGTTGCGTCACGTCCTGCGCTTAGGATTGAGCAGACAAAATACAGGCAAAGTTTGTTTAACACATTGAATAGAATTCAAGTGACTTGTTTCGATAAGCCCTCTACAGTTCTCAGCTGCTTTCTTCAGCAATATTGCCTAGCTAGCCCAAAATGCAAGCCGACGTACGTCAAAGTGAAGCACCCATACGTTTCACAAGAGCGCCACTGAGTGCTTCTACTCATGAAATTCTGCAGGCGGCGCTTTCCCACCAGGGGCCGACTTGAATTTAGCTTCTCAGCTACTGTGGTCAGGGGCCAGGGCCGAGCTGATTGAAGAGAGGGACAGGCGCCCAGGAAGCGCAAGATAGGTACACGCCACGCTTGACAGTAGGCCGCTTGGCAGATCGAAAAGTGACTGGAACACTGCCAGCTGTCAATTTGGCAAGCCGGCCGGCAACCGGGGCCCAGATCCGGCGGGCCGGTTCTGAAAAGCCGATCGGGCCAACAGCAGGTCCAGCGTACTTCGCGTTGGAGAAGGGACCCTGCCCCGGGGCCCTGCCCGGGGATGCTGGGCCGGGGCCGGCCTGCGGGGTAACGACCTACGTTCTCAGAATGGTCATCGGGGCACATGGTTGAACCGTTCGATGGCTTCGTTTGCTCCACGTCAGCAGAACATCGCCATCGCAGCCATCGACTTACGATTGTAGAATCCGGACACCCTTAGCTTCGAAGGGTTGTAGGTATTACCTAGGTATTGGCATCAGTGCACTGCACCCCGCACCGGTACTGAAAGTCCACTTCTTATCGAGACGCTACCTGGGTACCGTACTGAAAAGTAAAGGTACCTACGGTGTACCTAACACCGTACCTTGGTACTACGGTAATACCGGTACCTAGTAGGTATTTACCGTAGCTAGAAGGTACCTACGTACGTCCTACTACCGTAGTGTATCGCTTCCCTGACCGTGTACATGGCAACCGTTCAGCTTCCCTTCTGTATAGGTACCTCTTCTGAGTAGTACAGCAGCTCCAGCCTGGTCCGCTTTGGTACGGTACGCTAGCGATTGCTTTCCAGCTAGGAATAAGCAATAATGCACTGCCATCTTGTTCTATGGAAATGGATCAGCTCAGCGCCGCTGCACGGTGGCCCCAACGCGGTAGTAGGTACCGGGGCCTGATGAGCTTGCATGGCGCTTGGTGGTTCCGTCGAAGCTCGAAGTCAGTTCGTATTCTGCGGTAATCTGAAAGCTGGACTGCACTAAATGTAAAGTCCAAGGCACTGGGACCAGTGTACGAAAGTATCTGACATCCCTAACGAAGTTTTGGATTGATTCTTGGAGTTTCGACAGCAGCTCCGCCTTCCACCTTCCTCAAGGTACAGGGGATCATGAGGTGAAGTCCCGCGTCCAGCGCGGTTCTGGCGAGACCTCGTTGCGTTATGTCGATCCATTGGCTGCGTAAAGTAACATTTGCTGAAATAGGTATCATGTGCGGGTCATGGCTGCGGATGTTTGTTCCCTAATCGACTCGCAGCTTAATGTCCCAAGAGCCGATTAAATGGAATTGCCACTAGATCGAAAACATTCGACCAGATTTAGCTTCGCCTAGTTTCCTGTATCCGCTCAGACCGTTTTGGCTGGTCGGCCGATTATCAAAGCCTGGTTTATACTCAGCCTGGCGAAAGCTGGAGATATGCAACTCTGCGCCGTCTCAGCCATTCGTCGACAGCCACTGGTTGTGACAGTAGCTGGCCTCTAGGATGGCAGTCGTGCCGTTCATCAAGCTGCCTTCCAGATTCGAATCAAAGATCTGCCCTCTTTCTGATCCGTTCTGTGGTACAAGGCTGCATCTCAATGTCAAAGCGGCTCGTTGTATCGACCTTCAACGTGTTGAAGCGCACTACACATCTTCAAGAGGCAGCTGGCAACCCTCCAAGTCCGTGGTCACTTCGGCTGTCAGCCCACGTGCACCTAGCTGGGTCAAAGAGGCTTTGTGTCTTGAGCAAACAACGCACTTCCATTGCCGCAAAAGTGCTGCTGGGAGGCTAGGACAGAGGGTGTTCTCATCAAGCAGCCACGAGGTGAGAAATGGCGGCCTGCAGTGTTCATTCAAAGTCGTATGTCCGACTTTCTGATCTAGTATAGAATCGCACACGGCGCACATGATGGTACAACGGATTGAACCGGGCAGATCACTGACAAGCAGATATGCTGACATAATGTTCTGAAGGGCAGGGCTTGACGGCAGCTCAGGCTGGCAGTTTGTCCCATTTGTTTGTGATTTTGTCTCTGTCGAATGCTGCTTCAGCATCATTGAGAAGGAGAGGGCTTGGGCCAGCTGACATCGCTTAAAAGCATGTCTTCTGTAGGCGCCGTCAGACGGCCCCAACTGGGACCCGGAGCTTGAACAACCGGCGCTGATTGTGGATCGGGTAGACGAACCCATCAAGCTACCCGAAGAGCGGATGCCTGGCCATGTCACGTGCAATGGGTTCCTGGTTGACTGCTATGAAGGCTTAGAAGCTGGGCGCACAGAAGCTCACTTCGCAGCAACGTATGAAGAGTTGCTATCAAAGGATGCAGAGCGAGGCCATGCCAGGTCTGAAAACAGACCGACAGTTTTGGCAAGTTTCTACAAAGACCAGCTGACTCAGCTGGCCGAGGTGAGGCACTGGCACTCTGACATCTTGTAGCACGGCAGCCTACTTGATCGATATGATCCAGGCAGTCTCCCGTAGGATGTGTCAACCATACAAAAGTAAAACCACATTTCTAAGGTGGTCAAGATCCATGAGATTTGCGCTGGGACGATGTAAAGATTCCCATGCACGTCGACTGAGACCACTAAGGTGGTCTTAATTTAGATCTTCCTCTGACTCTGCAAACTTCTCCATTGTATGGTTCTGTGTGTTCATATGGTGCTCCTTGCTACGAGACTCTCTTCATGTGCTTGAAGCAAGCGGTCTTGGACCTGCATGTAATTCAGTAGCTATTGAGGTCTCGGCTTTGTAGACAGCCCAGGATTGTAAATAGATAACACGGGTGCTGAAGTCTCTGAATAACCTGCAACGCTTGTGAATACCCAAACCATGAATTGTTGCGTTCAAATTAGCGAAAGCCTTCTAGAGGTCGGCAAGTGAACAAAGAGGAGTCCGATTCCTCGAAGTGTCCTTTCTACCCTCTTGGCAAACTCAAAAGCAACGATTCGAGAACGAGGTCCAATGACTCCTTGGGTCCTATGGGCGTTTTGCAAGTGACGAGTGTCTTTCTTTTCAGGTCGAAACATTGACGCTGCTCGCCAAATATGTTCCCGGATTCCCAGCCCCGCTGTGTTACGGCGAAGCGCAGAATGAGCGACTTCCTTACTTCGTAATCAAGCGGGCCTTAAAGAGGACGGTTGGTTCTTTCCGGCTTCTGTCAGATGCAGATAGTGTTCTCTGGGGTGCTCGTCTGGAAGCTCGAGAGCGGGGAATTGAAGACTTCGACGAACGCTTCCACACCATGCGGGGACTGGCACTATCGTATATCTCTCTTGCTTGCCGAATCTAGCGCAGCGCAGGTGGACTGAATCTAGCGCAGGCGCAATTTCGATTGCTTCACAAATGGTGCTGGCCGGACCTTCAACGATCAGAAGAAGGGAACTGATGCAGTGAACAAGGTTGGAGTGATCCTACTCACACAAGATTGCAAGTCGGGCCTCGCTGGATTATAGAATTAGCCACGATATTGGCACGGTCTGTGTAAGCAGGCTTACGTAAGGGACAAAGATTGTCTCGCGGCGTTGTCTGCCGTGGTAGCTCACATGCAAGAAACCCAGCATCTTTCGATAACGTGTACTTCAGCAAAGTGGGAAGAACGCCTGCACCATCTGATTGCGTACTGTAATCCACGGTCGTCATCACTCCGCTCTCGGCCGCGCGCAATGTAGTCGCGCAGGAGCTGGCCGAAGTTGGTAGACTGTATCATGTCGCTTTTGTTTGCCCCGAGCTGTAAAGAACCAAACCGTACGTACTTCAACCTGATAACCTACACACTGGCGCACAGGACCATCCGTTAAGGCAACAAGCATGCAGGCTGGGCTGCTGCATAGACATCGGTGTCGTTAGTTGCGGCCATTACATGTAATCATGAGAATCAGTGAAATGATCGTAGGTCGATCTCGATACTGATGATACATCTCTGCTTTTATTGCAAAGTTTTACTGGAGCAATGGTAGTACTGTATATACGCAAGCGTGTGGCCGACAGATTCTTCATGAGTAGACTATATAATACGTAGCCACCAAAAATGAGGCATCTCTCACATGATTGTCGGTTGACGAACCCCTTCTCACTTTAGGTGCAGGGTCATGTTATGACGAGAACGTCATAGGTGGAGTAAAGTCGTGAGGTGCAAATGCCGCAACGTACTATACATGTCATAATCTGCGGAGAATCTGATGCTAGATCGACTTCGTCGTAATGATCAGCAACATTCGGAATCACAGGAGGACGTGCCTCCTCTGAATCTGGCCAAATCAGAGCCGACTCGTTCTCACTCGTTGTCACTTGTTGTCGTTGAAGCATTATTTGAGCTGATGTGGCACTTTGTGATTGGTCGAGTCGCCGGAGAAATGCGACACCGGCCACTGTGCTGCCAACACAGCAAGTGACGGTCATTCAGGATGTTTACTATGACGATTGACATACTGAGAGGCAAGTTCAGACCTCCAGTTGTGCATGCCTCTGGACTACAATCAGCCTCCAGACTTGACTGTAGCTTTTGCTGGCGACTAATAAATCTCCATGTTTGCAAGGGTCACTCCGTGTGTGTCCAAATTTTATCATGACGCACGCGGACGGCTCAGGAGACCCACAATACCCATGTAATATGAAAATCCAGAGAACCACGCCCACCTCGCGCATTCTAGGAGAAAGATGTTTAATCGGGTTGCTATAAACAGATTAGGAGTAATCATGGGCGGGAAGAATAGTCAGGTTCACGAACATGCTGAGAGTAATTCCAGGCGCAGGGTCAAATGAGGGAGGTGATTCGACTCTTTGGCGACTAGCGTCGTTTCAGCTTTGGCAACTTGAAATTGTCATTATGTCCGTCTCGTTTCGGCCAGGGTTGCATAGACACTTCTTTGTTGTCAATTCCTTCTGTACAGCAAGAAGAGGGCTGCAATCAGCAAAGATGATGGTACTTCCATTGGGAACTTCAAGCCCCGTTCAAACGATTGAAGATACACAGGTAACGTGAGTCGTCTAGTGTGGTATTCATGCACGGGAAGGGCCCCAGCTATTGTTCACTCCTTGTCAGGGATACGCTGCAGCTTTGTCAAAGCCAGAAAGATTGCTCGTGACCTTATCGCCGCTCCTCCAACGACGAGATAGTTCGGAAAGGGTGCAGACGGCCAAGCCTCCGACGCCTTCAGACTTGATCTTAGTTCACCACCGGGCCAGTGGACGAGGTTGTCAATCTGCAGATTCGCAATGGTTTGTGTTGTCAATTTGGGATATGGTCGAAGAACTAGATGGGCACCAGGCAGTAGCGTGTTTCTGCTCCTTATCTGCGGCCGACTCTTCAAGGTCGCAGCCCTGATCGAGGATCAAGTGAAGGAATCCGCTTTTGGTTTCTTCTGTTGGAAAGATGAGGGAATCTGCCGCAACATTCAAGGGCAGTATGAAGCAAGATTGACCTTCCTAAATACTGACTCTGAGAAATTTACTGTCGCAGTTTTCTGAGACTAAGTCAACGTTTGTCTTGAATATCTAAATCTATTACTGTTACCCCTCAAGTTCGACCAATCAGAGAGTCTTTCTCACCGCTTCATTTCGAAGGCTCTCGCTCGCGTAAAAGGCGACGAACACCTCCTGGTCCTTCCCGGAACCCTCGCCTGTCTTGCTGCCTCCCGGAGCTTCTCTCCCTACTTGTTTGCCCTTGAAGATACAATAGCCCGACACTTTACTCCAGGCCAGATGGTCGGAGTCTGTTATCGTTGTAACCGAATCCCTCAGCTCCATACACCTCGGCCACTCGACGTATCCCAGAACGTAAGTCGGTAGATACAGCACCTCCCAGAGCAGTCGGAGCGCCAAGTTGTCTTCCTCAAACTTATCCAGATCCAGGGGGAGGCTGAACAACAACTGATTGCTGTTCCCATGGAGCGACCTTTCCATCCGCCAGATGTCAACCCGATGCTCATCCGCGATAACCGAGACGGCGAAATTTCTCTCGGGCTGTTCGTCGAGCACCCGACCCATACTCTCACGCGCTTGCGCAAGGGCAACGCTGTAACCCTCCCGGTCCAGCCGGGCAATGAACACCAAAGGGGAGACGACGCCCTCGTATCCGGACCCTGACTCTCCTGTGTTAATGACGGTAGCTGCATCTCGTTGGTATTGTAAATTACCGCGCCACACCAACCGGCTTCGAGGTATGAGCTGGGTTTTCGGAGGGGCCCAGTACATTGAGTAGAGCAGACCGAACAAGATGGCCTGCGTTCTCTTTTCTCCTTCCAGATCAGTAACATACGGAGCTTTTTCGGGTGCCTTCCCCCGCTTTATCTTGGCGGCTGCCCGGTATGCGTGATCCGCGTAGCGCATGAGTAACTCTTCGAGTGAACAATCCTCTTCCCTCAGAAAATGTTCGATCTCGTTGAGCCACACTCGAAAGCCAGCCTCCAAACTCCGCTCTAGCTCTGTCTGGGCGCGCGGATCATAATATGGAAGGCCTGCAGTCAAGATACAAAGCAATAACTATAAGGGTCTCCCAAATAAGGGAGAAGATGGAAACCCTCGAAAGTCTTTTATTATACCCGCACATTATTGCTGCCGTTCAGCGTGGAGAAGACTGGTCGAGCACTTACAATGGAATCGGATGCTCTGCTGAAAAGATATGGACTAAAGAGAGGTATCACGACAACGTTTTTAAATTACGTGTTAGCCTCTTTTCTCCAGGTCATGCATCCCTTCATTAGCACTGGCAATCATCAGTCCATCCTTTCCTGTAAGCCTTAGAAAAGACATGCTTCATTAGCGGCCCCTTGTGCAAAGAGTCTGGATGAATCATGGAGCTGGTAAACCGGCTCCCTCCTTTGCCCACACAAGGAGAAGTGCTCGATTGGGGCCGCTACCAAGGGAAGGAGGCTTTCTGGATGCCTGCCCTCAAATCCGTTGAAGATGTTTGAAATAAACGGAGTAGAACTTCTGCAGCTTTTAACACGCGTTACCGTGTTGCACCCATACAGAACCGATGCCGAAGAAGGAAACACTGAAGCCAAATACGCTGTGCTCTGAAATCTTGGCTGCTTTTAAGGCAAAAGGAATCGGAGAAACGGTCTGTTTTGTGGGCGCTACTTTTTCACACGTAAAGGCTAGCTTTTAAACATCAGAGTCATTCTTAAGGTGGACGAAACTCTTCCTCGTCAAGCCCATCAAGAAACTTTTGGAGAAACACTTGCAAACTGTCGTGCCGTGGACCTTGTTGTGACAGGGAGGCCATTCGGTGTAAACCTTCAGATCTGGTCGCATGTAGGTCCAGCTTCTCGGTGCTCACCGGCTTCTTCTAGCCACTTAGAAAGCTCCACAGCCAGAGACCAGCCAGGTACGCTCCTGGCCAAGTCAGGCTCTTCGATGCCTTCATTCTTGCCCTGCGCTGCCGCTCGAAAGAGTCGTCCTGCTCTCAGCGCTATCTCTCCACTAAAGCTTCCACGGAAGACCTGCCAACAACAAAAACGTCGTTGCTTGAAATGGTTAGAATCATTCCGCCCAGATTTTAAGATGATTCAGAGCTGATTGAGAGATGTTGAGAATTGATTGACATAGAGTGATACGAGTGCATGTTACAAATTCAGTAGTCTTTGGGTCCGTTCAGTTATGTCTGGTAAGCTGCAGAGCTACAAATTGCACTTAACTGAATGCCCCAAGTCAACCAGTCGTCAATATGACCGTACCTTTGTGAGACTCATCCTTGCGCTGTTGTCTGCGAAGCTGGTCCCGGCCCGAGCTTGACCCGGCAAGGAGACCTTCCTTGCTGGAATAAGGCCTGTCCTGGACCGCAACTTGAGCGAGGCAATCTCACCGGTGAAGCCGGAGCCGTTCAATTTTGTTAAGTGTGGCCCTTTCAACGCCGTGCAGGCCATGACAGTTCGACCACCATGCAGAGCGAGGCAGGTCTCCATGACAAGACCTGTGAAGCCTGCGGAAGTTGCTTGGCTTTCTTAGAGGGTGTGCAACGAACTGTCTTTCCAGAAGGCCAATCTTGGGTGCAGGAGAGGTTTCGAAAGCTTCTGCAGTCACCCAGCTGAGCCCATTTCCACCACAAGCCCCCTCTTCTAGCACTTCCTTGAAGTCCAAAGAAGTGGGGCACCCGGTCTTCCTACTTGAGGAAAAGCGTTTCCGCCCAGCACCTGATTAGTCCGAGTCCTGTTATGTGATGCAGCGGAAATGAGAGAGCAGAGATGGCAGCTTCCGAATACATCCGAAGCTACCAAGGAAGCGTGCGCCAGCTTGTCTTCGCTGATCTCTCTACTAGGGTCTGCCCTCCTTAATTTCTCGACCTCCTTGTCTGCCACTTGAGTGCTATATGCCTGCAAGACGTGACTAGCTGGAAGAGGCACTCTCGACCTCCTTCGCGCTTGACCTTCGACTAATCACGGAAGGCACCCGCATGCATGGTCCCATTGAATCCTTAGACATGACCATTTCCCGTGGTTCTAGGAAATAGCATTGGCTGTGCCGTTGGATGACCGGGATTCGCTGCCTCATTCCAGGATCGAGTAGCGAGTACGTCTCTCCCAGTCCTTCTGATGTACTCACCAAGATACAAAATGACGCTTTCCCGTGTAAAGAGCAGATGCTGACCCAACACGTACCTTACCTGCCGTTCAACCAGATTCCTGTGCTTCTTTTCGCCAGAGGGACAAGAGCTCGCTATGAAAGCAAGGCGGCACGGGGCATCGGGCGTGAACTGTAAGGATTGGTTCCAGCTATCTTACCAGCGATGTCAAACGGCCATGAACAAATCCTTCGATAGAACTCATTCCCAAAGAGGTTCTGACGTGTTTAGAATGGGTTCAGATGAGTCGTTTTCCTTGAGCAGCATCATGCCTCGGGGCTAGGAACAACAGGACATGCTGGACGGTTATTCGTGCCTGGCTTCCTTCATGAGCATATTATCAGAATCCGGTCATACACGTCGGGTCTCGTTGGGTTGAACTTGCTTCCGTCCCTCGACGACGGGCTGTCAACTATTTGCAGACGCTTCACTTTCGTACTTCATAACGTTCGGTTTGGTATCTCGCAGTCGCGCTGGGAATGGACCGTTACTTTGAAAGCTTGTCCGTAAGTGATTCGCACATTGCTTGCTTTAAAAACTATGTCGTAGCCCATGGCCCGCTTTTTGGCAAAGCAGTGCATATCCACCATATTTGCGTCGTCATTGATACATTTTAGCTTTATGCATCAGAAAAGTGCACCGACGAACTTCTAGCTCCGTGAGCTAAGCAGATCTGCATAGCCAGTACGGATGTACACAAAAGCGCGGAACTCAATCAATGTTCGAAGAATGGTACTGTACAATGAAGCATCTATCAAACATCATGGTCATGTGGGTCCGTATCACCACTCACGCAAGCATTTCTGGGTCGGGTAAGACTTCAACATCAGTCGATCAGTCGTGAGTCAAAAGGAACATATAGCCATCAAAGGCTTATTTCTACCTGACTTCCGTCCTGTTGAGAACCACAACTCTTATCTACAGTCGGATCGAATCAGACTTCGAGTTGGAAACAATTCGACCTGGAATTGATTCTCCGTCCAAAATCACCCTAGAGCTACACACAGAAACAGGTTTCTAGGAAATTGGCACCGACCACACAATCGGGTCTACTGACTTACATTAACGTACCAGCTGAAGATCTAGTCTTTATCAGTATCAGGGGTGGGCTGAGTCAGCATCGTCAAGGCCGCCAAGGTTGCAGATGATGCCATTGCCGCTTCTCCAACGACGAGGTAGTACGGAAGGGGTGTAGACCCCCAAGTGCCCTTCGTCTTGAGAGTCGTTCTCAGTTCGCCACCGGGCCAGGACAGTAGGTTGTCAATCTGAATATTGCGATGGATTGACATGTCAGACTCAGAACGTTTGGTATACAAGCCTTTTGAGAGGAGAAAGGGGCTCTAAAGTCACATTCGTTTATAGGGACGAGCAAGAATGACTACGTTCAACTGAGTCAAGAAACAGAAGTAGAAAGAACCAGACGGTAGGGACTCTCTGATTTGCCCATCAGAGAGTCTCTCTCACCGCCATTTTCCGAAGGGGCTTGCTCTCGTAAAAGGCGACGTACACCTCCTCTTCCGTTCCGGATGCCTCGCCCGTCTCGCTGCCTCCCGGAACGGACTGCGGACTGACTTTCGGGGCTGCTTTTTTGCCTTTGAAGACACAGTAGCCCAAGCTGCCCCAGCCCACATGGGCAGTAATCGTGATAATTGAATCATCAACCTCCATCTGCTTTGGCCAGTCGACGCAACCCCAATCTTTAGGCGAGGAACAGAGCACCTTCCAGAGCAGTCGGAGCGCCCAGTTGTCTTCCTCGAAGTAATCCAGATCTAGTGGGACCCCGTATAGAAGCCGATCGCTGTACTCATCGGGCGACTTTGTCGTCTGCCAGAACTCAATCCGCTGCTCATCCCCAATTATTGAGACAACAGATCTCCTCCCAGGCTGTTCGCCAAACACCTGAGCCTTTCTGTCTTGCTCTAACTTGATCGTATCAACACTTTCATAATCACGGTCCAGCCGAGCTGTGCAACCCAAAAGCAAAACGACACCGCCGTATCCGTCCCTTGGATCTCTCTCAGCGATAACAGTCACTGCGTCTCTATGATTTCGTACAAGACCGTGACGGGGTGGGAGGGTATGGGGTCTGAGCTGATGGCTCGTAGCAGGAGCGCGGGACATCGAATAGAGCAGACCAACTAAGATGGCCTGTGTTCTTCTCTCCCCTTCGAGATTGACCAGATGCGCGGCCTCTTTAGGCGCTTTCCCCGGCCCCATTCTGCCGGAAATCTGAAACTCGTTATAGAAGCGCATGAGCAATTCGCTTATTGAGCACTTCTCTTCTCTCGACCAAAGTTGTAACTCGTGGAGCCACACCCGGAAACCAGCCTCTTCAATCCGCTGTAGCTTTTCCTGGGCGGGCGATGAACGATCGGGAGAGCCTGCAGGAACCAAGCAATGGGGCTTTCGAAAGTGAAGATATATAGCAAGCCTCGAACAATCCGTATTCAGCCCCAACACAGTGATGCCGTTTCGATTTGAGTGAAGCTGTTCAAGCAATCACACTTGGGTCAGATTATGTGCAAAAGACGACTGAGGACTGTGAGTGCTGAATAGCTTTCTCTCATCTGGGTCATTTCATTAGTGGATGATATGCCCTCAAAAGCTGCTGACAGGTCTGTAGTGGGAGTTAGCAATCATCAACTTTGTCCTGCTACAAAACTCGCTGCAACAGCTAGGCGGTTTACAGAGGTTGAATTCGAATCTTGTCACATCTTAGATCCAAAGGTTTTCAGACGTGCTCACCTTCTTCTTCGGCGGATACCCACTGATCAGAAAGATCCCCAAATAAAGACCAGTCCGATTCACTTCCGGCCATGTCGGGTTCTGGGATGCCTTCATTGTTGCCCTGCGCTGCGGGTCGAAGATGTCGTCCTGCTCTCAGCGCCTCTCCTCCAGGCCTCTCAGGATTGACCTGCCAGATAGAGAACGTCTTTGATGTCTTTGAAACCTTCTGAGACAATGTTCGGACGTGGTGTCAGTGCTTGTCCAGCATCACTAGCTCTTGCGATACTATTCCCCGGTTTCACCAAGTATGTTTGAAGCCGATGAGAGCTAAAGGTGACGCCCTTTCTGCATGTTTGTAAACGCCTCACCTCTGCAAAAGTCGTCCTTGCTGCGCTGAAGTGGGAGAAGCTGGTCTCAGCCCGAATTTGACACGACAAGGGGCCTTCTCTTGTTGACATAGGGTCTCTCCTGGACTTCAACTTTAAGGGAAGCTTTCTAAAGGAGCATTGTGAGTGTTGCCCACTCAACCCCGTGCAGGGCCTAAGTGCTTGAACCCCACGCAGTGTGAAGGCCTCCATGATGAGACCCGGTAAAAGCTTCGGAAGTTTGCTTGGCTGGCCACTAATTCATGATCATGAACTCAAGGGTGTGCTAGAACCAGTCCTGAAAAGGCCAATATCTTAGTCTTGGGTGCGTTCCTGTCCTCAAACGCTACTGCAAAAATAACCCAGCTGAGATGCGTCTCAGCACAAGGCCCCTCTTCTAGCTCCTTATTCAGGTCCAGAGAACTTGGGACGCCCGGGTGGTTCTCTACCTATCCGAGTAACTGGAGCGTTTCCGCCCAGCAACCAAACCCGAGCCCGGTCATACGCTGCAGCGAAAAGGTGACGGTCTTGCTTCAGACGCCTCCCAAGCTAGATAGAAAGGGTGCGCCAGCAAGTCTCTGCGGAAAATCCTACGCGCGTCTGGCCACCTCTCTCAGTTTCTCTGCTATTGTTTGCCACTCGAAGGGCAAGGCTTGCACAAGACGTGACTACATGGGGGAAAGTTCTCTCCTTCGCGCCTTTGACTTGCACGGAGAACACCGCTTTGTGGTCACTCTGAAAGTTTAGACATGACATTTCCCGTAATATCAGGGGGATCCAATGGCGGAGGCGCTGGATCATAGATCGGATCCGTTGATTCGCAGCCATGCGAATCGCTTACGTGTCTCCAAGTCCTGCTTGATGTATCACCAACGATACGCGATGACGCATCCACGTGTACAGAGCAGATGCCGAACCCAAAACGCCAAACCTGCCATACCAAATTCTTGTCGATTCTTATCCAATAGAGAAACAACAGCTTTTTTTGAAAGCAAAGTACGTAGGGCTTGATCCCATGTTGCAGATCTGTGTTGGGGTAGACTGTAAGAAGGATTACAGCTGTCTAGTACCAGCGATCTCGAAGGCCATTGAATCAAGTAACAAGAATTCAACCCTAGAAAGATCTTGACGTATTTGATCGGGGTTGAATGAGAGTCAACTCTGCTTCCTCTGAGCTGCATCAGGCGTCAGGAGGACGAACTCTCCTTGCTCCTCCAGAGGACCCGCAAGAGGCGCTCCGTCGGTAAGCGCGTGGGCGCCTCCGAGTTGCGCATCGCACACGCGAACGCAACGTGCACCTACCTTCTGGATTGGCGCACGTATTGGCTCATCCGAAAGAAGAACAGTTCTAAGCTGCCAAAACGGTCGCCTAAGTATGCTTTACGTTTAACATGGGCGGTCGACAGGACTGCCCCTCATGTCCATTTACCAATAAGGAAGCGTCAAGCGGAGGCCGTGCACGGTTCAATGCAGTGGGACACCTGTGTATAGCTGCCTTCTGGTAAAGCAGTTTCGCTGTTTGGGAAGATGGCCGTAAGTTTGAGGCGCGAAGCTTTCAAGGCCCATTCCAGGGCACCTTCAATCGGACGGAACGGTTCGGATGCATCTGAACGGATGGTCTCAACAACGCTGTTGGCAACAGGGGACATGCAGGAAGGGCAGCCCGGAAGCTTTGTCTTATCTTATCTCATCTCGGTTGCACTGTGACAGGTGCAATGGCTTCCCTCCTTGTCGGTCGTTTCGCTGGCAATAAAATATGAACCTGGTTGTACGGTGGGAAATAACAGCTGCCGCGTCTTGTCAGAACGATGAAAGGACTGGTGATCTGACACCCATCTGAGTCGCAGCTTTGCCTAGCCCCACTGCTATAAGCGGCTTTACTTAACCCAGCCAGCTGTCCGACTCTTGTCTTCCTCCAAGCAGCCATAAGCGCGGGAAGCGAGAAGTCAGACGTGGCAACACCAGAGGAGTAACACGTGTCGCCCCACCCTGGAGGGATCCCCTTGAAGCGTATAAGGTTCCCCCCCGCTCGACCACGCCAACCACGCTGACAAGGAAGACACATCTTGAAAAGCCGGGTAAAGGACCTGGCCGCCGGCCTGCATGCGCCAGGGGCCCTGGCGGAAAGTATTGAGGACCGTTTTGAAAGGACCATTATATCTTCTTGTGTGCTGGAATCCATTCTCCAGGGTGATTGATCTCGCCCTTGGAGACGAAGCCATCTTTTGCGAGCCTGAAAGCTTGCCGCTTTGCATCTGAGTCTGGTCTTGTGAGAGAGAAATGCTCCAAAGATCAGTGAGAGTACTTTACCCGATGCCTTTAGAGGACATGCGGTCCGCTCTCTGGCCAGGCCCTATCTTCCAACCAGCCTGATCATGAAGAGCAACTTGGTTCTGATTTGATTGTTGGATTTAATACCACAACAAACAATTGATACGTGCTTCAGAAAGCTCAAAGACGCCCGAAAGTATGTTCAACCGACTTCGTGAGTCGGCTGCACCTGGAAGGCCGCCGTGACTTGAATCCGCAAAAGATACCAGGCACAGTAATTTGAGAGCATCATCTCGAAGCGTCCCCAGCTGCTTTCTGCAAATGGTAAATCTGGGCGGTGCATACCGGTCGATGTCCGCCCACTTAAGCATCCAATTCAAGTCCCGTAGCTTCTTTGGAAGAGGGAGGCGGTCTGTTGTCCCACAGGCTTCATATTTGATCACAAGATATTCGAATTTCTGCACTTGCTTTCGAGTTCGATCCGGAATCCGTGAGGCAGAGTACCAAAAACCTCCGGGAAATGCGATCCTTCCGTCTGAGCATTTTGGAGGAATCTCCAGCATATGTGCTCGAAGGCTTGGCCAGCTACTAGCGGTTTCTGCATACACGGATTCTTACTTCGGTTCTGATGACTACCGTGGATTCCGAGGGCGCCGGCCGCCTCCGATACAACATCCCTCGGACTTAGTATTCCATGTATTTGAGCTAAGACCCTTTCAAGAGGCAGTATTCCATGTATTTGAGCTAGACCCTTCCAAGAGGCAGATCATTTGTGTAAGTATGGCGTTGAAGTTCGAGTATGCTTTTGTTCAAGAAAAAATGGCGAAGCTCGCCTTCCGGGGGCTCTGACCCACAAAAAGAGAAAGTGTAGCAACGGTGACATGTTGTTCCGTCTGTGCTTCAACGTCATCTACGCCATCGAGATCATCATCATGGGGCTTCTCGGAGGCTTGTTCAGTGCGGATCATTGGCACCAAGTAGAGCTGGTCAGAATCATCTCGAGCATGAGACTCCGAAATGCTCGTTCGACCATCCACTTTTACGCTGCTCGATCGAACGGTGCGACGTTTACCACCGAAGTGACCTGTTCATCGTCGATCAAGATATCCGCTAATCGAACGGTGGATTGCTGGCGAAGTGCACACCTAAAATTTCAACTTATGTTCTCAGTGCATGCAGACACTGTGCAGCAGGATGAGCTGCGAAAATCGACCGAGGTCTAGCATTGTTTGAACTGTTCGAAGTGTCGAGGGAAGGCGCTGGACAGCGGAGGGACAAGAAGGGATTGCTTTTACGCAGAAGCGGCTTTGGTTGGCTAGATTCTGCGCATGGTTGTCCTTAATCCAACGCGCTTTGATATGCGCCCTGGCGCTGCGGTTAGTTGCGCCCATCTGCTTTCACCAGTTTTGAGCTTCTTGATCACTCTATGTTCGAAGAACCCCGCTAGGGGGGTGGTGGTATGTGTCAGTAAGGGGTGAAAAGTGGAGTAGCAGCGGCCAACAAGAGAATGACATTCTCCAAACAGATCACATGTCGCATATTCACAATCCCATTGGAACACACCGGAAGGAGGTGGGCCTTTCAGGTGCAGAGTGTTCCTGAGAGTGTGACTGAAGCTGCTGGCCAGACAAGTCTGTCCGAGCTGGCAACCAAGATTCAGGGCAAAGAGAAATTCAATGACCGCCTTCAATTGCTGAGCGCATGGGGCACTGCAAAGGTAGGCTGCAATGGAAGCACATGGTGACCAAATGTCCATCAGATTGAGGTGCCATTGGAGCTGGGCTATCAATGCTGAAGAAGTCTAGCTGCCAGTACTTTTGCAGCATTTATTAGTGTTGGGTGCATGTCCTGTGATAGACAGTTGTGCAGACTTGGAAAGCCACTGCTTGTTGTGGGGTTCATGGCAATGCTGATATTTGTAAGATTCGCAAGCCGCAACTCAGCCTGGGGAGTTGATTTATGACTCGGGAACTTTTGACAACAGATCTCATTGGAACCACCATCTATAAAGAGCAGTTATACCACCCTGATCTTGCAGGCTAAGGCACAGTGGGCCGACCTGGAAGGAGCTCCCCCAAAGAGCCTCAAGAAGCGCCTTGCAAACCTTGGAAACTACCTTCTCAGCAAGATTCATCCTGCGGAAAACTTTTTGAAGAGCATACCGCCTGAGTTCACCACACTCCATGTTGTCCACCCTGCTGATGTGCACTCAACTCTGGTACGGCGACGGATCAGGCTCATCGCCAAAAGGTGAGGTGACAGCCAGATGTGATGGATCTATCTGGAAAGAGGATATGGCAGGGCCGTTGCCAACCTTTTCGAACACTAGGCACTGCGAGTTGGAGTCAGTTCAGCAAATTAGTCTCTGGATGTAAGCTTGACTTTTCTGGAAGGTGCGGCAACACCAATCTGTGCAGACATATGAAGCTGGCTGACAGTGCGTGAACTCGTATATTCAAAGGATTGGGGTTCTTGTACAGTAAAGTTTGCAATAGATCAGGAAGCCAGGTTTCGCTTATTTAGCCTAGACTGCATTGGTAGCCATCAAAGGTGTCAGAAGCTACTCCCGACGGTTGAACCGGGTGTGCTCATTCACATTACTTGGCATCAAACTTTGGCCTGCACATGTCTATTGTCTTCTGCGCAGACCCTTCTTTACTTCTTTATGCAGAGGCCCCAACATCCACCGATGGTGGACGTACGCATCCATAAGCGCGTTGCCCGTGACTTTCTTGCTGCCAAGCCCTGTCTTCTTCTACAATCTCTTCCGTGTACATGCAAACTGGTCCAGCTGGAAGGTGAGTGCTCTTCTTCGCATCTTCTCCTGCCGTCACCTAGCAGTTCTCTTGGATGGAGCGTGGAAGTATCGCTCAAAGCAATCAACAGGCAGTCAGCAAGAGGGTGTGACGTACCTACGAGTTTTCTTATAAGCAGCCATCTAGAGGCGCAGACTTTCAACAAACTCGTCTCGTATCAGACCACTTGTTTGGGCTCGTGCCTTTTCAATTGGCAGACACTTGAAAGAATGGTGAGTGCTTTCAAAATGTGCCTACTTTCTAGCAGTCTCTGCAGCCCTTCCATGATGTGTCAAATTTGTCTGCAGGGCGGAAGCCGACTGTTAGCTCACCTAGAACAGTCTTCTGCAATTTTGCGAACTTCGTCACAGATAAAAGCAAAAGAGTTGAAAGGTCTTTCCCATCCAGAGAAGGAGAAAGGGAACGCTGGGCAGACTAGTATGCCCGTGCTTCGGTTTGAATCTTCGAAAGAGCTTTCTTCCAAAATTATCGCGTCCAAAGAGAAGAAAAGGAAAGCCGGAGACAAGGTTCCGAGTAAACAAATCATTGATGAGCAGCTCGAGATCATATGCAAGAGACACGGGTTGGATCTGCCTAGCATACTAAGGTGGAGAAACATTTCCGTTCAGGCATAAGCGTGCAGCGATACAGCGCAACTGGAGCAGATGCTCGATTCATTACAATTATGCAGGATTACAATCATGTCAAATCTGTGAAATCATAATCCCCACCTATTAAGCGCGTTATGGGTAGGATTATGCCGCCGCGGCTGCGCAGTAAGCTAGCTAGGGACTTACGGTCATCCTGGCAGGAGGAGCCTGGATTTTGAATGTTACTAACACGTATACCTACTCGTATATTCATGCACATGCACCTTACTGAGTGCAACTCAATCGCTCCATATATATGTAAGACGTAATCTGGCGCTGAATCCGATTAGCCTGCGCATGTTGGAACGAAAATTTTGAGATGGAATATGTATATGCGCACATTTCAACCATGCACGTTTATACGTGGGAAGCGGGGGTTACTGAATTCTCATATGATTTTGGCGGCATGCGCGCGTTTATCATGATGATTGATCATTCTGCGAACATATTTAGAGTTGCCGACACACGTCTGTCTTATGAAGAGCGACGGTTCAAGCTGGAGCTAGCGAATTGTTGAATCGGAACAAGAATCCAGAATCAGTCTCTTGCAAGGATTGGGTTTCGATGCTATACGATATCCGTCTCGTGATGATGAATTGGCGGCTGACCACAGGAAGCTGCGCCGCTTGACAAACTTGATATCAATCCTACTAATGTTCGGCATATGCAGGCCCCTGGACAGGGTACCAATATAGCACGCAGATTGGCGGTCGTCATATCCTTAAAACTGGTGTCATTTGCACGTACGTAGAGATTGTCAGTGGCCAGACGGTCTGAGGACGGTGCCCGTCCAAGGCTCCAAACTCGTTCGAGAACTGTCACCCTCCTTTCTTCCCATCAGCGACTTGTGCGGCGTCCCTCTGATCGCTGCCGAGGCTGCAGGTGTGCCGGCCTGCCATGAGCACATGATACCCACTCAGCATTGGTCGACCGATATCCGACGCCGTACTTTAGCGATGTGCACAGATATGTCAGGAACTTAGTTCCAACATCCCGTCTATTCCTTACTTCCTCAAAGTCTCGAGTTCGCCGCATCGGAGAGAATGCAGACGACGAAGCTCTTGCCTCTTGGAGAACGGGTGATCTACAAATCAACTGGTCAATCAAGCAACTTGCAGGGCATGTTCTTCAGATCCTGACCGGAGCTCAGCGGAGCACGATTTGCAACGCACTGTCCGGTTTGCTGCGAGATGCCGGTCTTACCTTTGCGATGTATACCGGGATGCCCTTGGCTGCAATTTCTGCGGCCTCTTCAATCTTGGTGGCCATTCCGCCCGTCGTGTCGTGTGCAGCAGCCGCCATTTGTACGCCTGAAAGGGAAAATTAGACAGCATCGCTGCACCGGTCAACGTATGGGAGTAGAGGAGACGAGATCCGGTGCGCTAAGCCTTCAGATGTTGAGACGTTACGAGAAGAGGTTCCGACTTAACTGGAGCGGATGAGCTGTTAACCAGAACAAATGAAGTCAGAAGCATGTCAAAGAGCAGGGTTTCGGCATGGCACTCAATTAAGGAAGATTACGGCTTTACAAGAAAGAGCTGTAGGAGACATGGGATCCGAACGCGAAAGGCATTCAAACGTTTCGCTTCGGCTACGTGCCTTTACGGACGGCGGATTCTTGTGCGAAGGGCACCCGCACAACTGGAACTTTCCGAACATAACATCTCCTGATTTCACAGCTCGAAAGAACGAAGCGCCAACCTTGAGCCAGGTCGTTCGGGTCAGTTATCGTCCACGTCCCGTCGCCCGCAACAGCTGCCGGATCAGATCGGGTAGGAACAGTTTGGGTCAGCGAGGTGCAAGCACGAAGCTACGACCGTGGAGGTGGCTGACTCTAGCACAACCAGCCTTCGACCAGCCTTCCATCGCTCTTCTAAAGTACTTTTCTCGGCTTCATCGATGCCTCCCGCAACACAGAGCAGTGTCAAAAGCATTCCTGTTGCCGCCTGCCAAGACAATTTAAAGTCCGCAGAAATGCATGTTTTGCTTAGGGAAGGGAGATTGATTCGCACCTATTTCTCGTATCAAGCGTGCTCCGTCCTCCGACGGCGGCTTGTCGTAAACGCCAGCAACGTTAGTCTGGCTTTGTCAAAGAAACGCCCGCTAAAGGTCAGGCAAAGCGAGCACCAGAGAGAGAGCAGTCTGGCATCGTGCTCAGATAGTCATATCAGGTTGCCAAGACCAGAGTTGTCGTCCAGACCTCCTAGTATAATTTCACAAGACTTATGTACAGGGCTCAAAGAAGCCAGCAATTAGGGCAGCTTTGCGCGAATCTGACTCCCTGGAGTGGATGCGAGAGGATACAAGGAAGACCACAAAGTCTGGCCGGAGGTCTGCGGCAAGCTTTCGGACAATGACATCACCACTAAGAATCGTACAACCCTGCGGAGGAGAAAGCTCTGTCAGTCTGACGCGAGAAGGCACGTTTTGCTTTTGAAAGGTCCGTTTCATGCTTGGCGACAAAACATAGACTTGACAACAGGTGGCTGAGGAATGTCAAAGCTTTGAGTGTCAGAAATAGTCGCGAGCGAGTTACGCTGGCGAAAAGGCCTTCCTACAAACAAGCGGCTTGAATGAAGGTGGTTTCGTACCTGCCCACTGTCCAAGACTGCGTCGCCATGTAGTACCTGCAGTTTTGCAGATAACGTCAGCAAGTACTGTAAGAGAAAACGAATTCAGAAGCTATCCTGGCGCGAAAATGACTCCAAGCAGTCCACGCACAAGTGCAAGGCGAAGATGCATCAGCAGACTTTCTATGGTGGGCTGAAGATAAGAGACTGTGAGACTGACCGGCAGGAGCCCCGCTTCGAGAGTTTTGCGAACGCTGGCAACATCGGAAGTGGCCAGCTGCAAAGAGCCAAGCAGTCAAATCACAGTCAGAACGGACGGAACGTAAACATGGCTTCCCAGCCACTCAATATGAGCCCGTTGGGCTGTACTTGACATTCAACGAAGAAACCTTTCTTGAACCGTTTATTTAAGAGGCAGTAGTTGAGGGGGGTCCTCGAAAGCTGGCCGGGAGTCCACGTTTTCCTTCCATCCATCCTGTCAACATGCTATTTCATGATTTCCAAAGATTGCAAGGAGCTGACAGTGGACCCACTTCCAAGGAGCCCCCTGGAAATAATGTAAACTCTCGAGACATATAAAGTATCTCATTTTCCAGATTGCCGGCATTTAAGCTGTGGACACCAACAAGGTCTTCCTGTACACGAGCTTATTAGCCTCTCACCTTTCTGTTATGAGTGGTCCATCCGCCAGCAAATGGGGATAGTCCACAAGCTGCAACCCCTCCTGGAGTCAGACACAGGGGGCACCATGAGCTTGAAGAAGAGGATGACAAGGAGCAATCTAGATATCCTCTTGATGGACAGCATTGCACACTCAAGAGTCTCGCTCACAATTTTCCAACTTCTCTTCAATGAATCCTGATTGACCATTACTTGAGAGCGATTGTGATCAGGGATGCGCGTCAGCAAGAACTCCAACCACTACTACGTAGACCATACAAGAAAGGAGGCGTACCCTCACATAGCCTTCTGACGACCTCGTGGTTCAATTTTGTGACAGACACTCTGGTCTCCGCAAAGCCTTGAAGAATGTGTGCTGTCGAACCAAGGCCCCCTTTTGAGACACCATACTTGCTGGCTTGGAAATGTCCAAAGGAACCTGCCAGCACAAGAGGGCGCATCAGTGCTCTGTTCTTCAGCCGAACTCACCACCTGAAAGGTATGTGCCGACTTAGTTACGTACTCAAGTTTATAGCCATCCACAGACGCTCTTGAGGACGAAGTTGGCTCCCGCTCTTTGAATGTGCGTACTTAAGTTGCAAAAGAGGGATCAGCGAGCAAAATAGGATGTGCACCTGTTGTTTTCGAGCTGACGCCAAATCTGGATCAGGCTGACAACTCCAGGATTGGCCCTTAAAAACTGTCGACCATCAATGCCTTGCTGAGGCCCATCGTATAGTGCTGCATATCTGCTGTCAGCGATCCGTCTGCCAAGACTTGGATCACAAAGCTTCATTGAGGATGCACAAATTGCCACCCCATTGCCACGCGTTGTCTTACCTGCCCCATGAACGATCACAATGTGGTCTGCCTCCTTGTCATTGCCCCCAGCCCGAAGGCTGTCTACAATGTGCTGTATCGTGGCTGTGAGCACAGTTTCATGCAGCGTTTCAAACTCATTCTTTTTGGTTATTGCTGCACCTCCCAACTTTAGAATGCAGCGCACCCGGGGCCCTGCTTGGTCAGAGCCTCCAGCCATAAGCGCTCTCGGATCTCAAAGCTGTACACTAATTGTTCATGCTGTTTGAGCTCCAGACGGATCAATGCGCATTTCGTGGGCCGAGATCCACAATAGCTAAAGGTTGCTATTGTGTTTCAGAAGCTTCAGAGCAGCCTTCTGTGGCTTCAATAGGTCAGTACAAAGCTTCAGGCCCTATGCAGCGTGCTTGCAAAATGCTTTGTGACGCCAAATTGCGCATTGCATTCGCTCCCTGCATGCTAGCTATGTTAGCTTTATCGGACTTGGTCTAGCTTTAAAAATTCAACCAGGGCTTCAAGCCTGGCCCTGATCATTTTTCAGAACTCGTCTTGAATACTGTGAGAACCGGCACTTTTATCCCAAGAACCGGCTGATACTCACAGGCAATTGTGTGCCGTTCCCTTTGCAGTCAAAGACAACGTTAGGAAGCTCTTGAGATTATTTCCATTAAACCATTCCCAAGCACTTTCAATCCAGCAGCCTGAGAGGAGCCTTCGCTGGCCTTGAAGTTGATGTACAGATAGGCATGTCAAGCTTGCTCCCAGAAGGCAGGTGTAAGCATGAAGGTGCACTCTGAACGCCTACAATCCTCTGCAAACGAGCTTCACTGAATTTTGGGTGAACAGCTTCTTTGATGAGACCGGTATGCTCAGACGGCACCCCTTTTTGGATGAGGCCTAGGAAGAACCATTCCTTGTGACCCCGGTCCCTTCGCAAGCTGCCATGGCGGTTCTTTCGAACGGCCCCGAGGAGGGCGGCGGCGACAGCCTGGACCGGGATGTCCCCGAGAAGCTGATGAATCTGTCCCGCCCCCATATCGAGTCATATGACTACTTCATTGAGAAGGGCATGCACGAGGCCGTGGCGCGGCTGGACAACATGGAGATTACGCATCCTGTGGACAAGAAGACGCTGGAGATGTGGGTCGATAACCTGGTGGTGCACCAGCCAGAGAAAGAGTACACGGACGTGTCAGAGAAGCGGCTGTTTCCCAATGAGGTGAGTTTGCCCGATGGAGGGTCGCAAAAGGGTGGTGGGCGAGTGACCGCCAGAGAGAAGGGGGCAAGTTAATGAGATGTGCCGTCCTGACCGGAGACTTGAACTTTTTCTTGGAAATTTTCAAAGAAAAAGTGCAGAGAAGGGATGCTATGGTATTCCGCAGCTATTTCTTCCTGGGCGTCAGCTTGCTGCAGCTGACGGCTTGATTTTAGACAAGATGCAGTGCATCTGCGCCCTTGCTGCAGCATACGGCAGTGGCGACCACTTTTTCACACTGCTTTAAAGTGTCCTCACACCCTCATCCTTCATCTCGTTGCGATTGCTTATGAATGTCTCTTCAGTCCTGTTCCCCTCTCATAGTGGTGGTGAAAGTCTCAAATCATGATGTCCAGGCAAGGGATTTTTGGTGGTCTGCTTTGTGGCGAAAGAAAAATAGAGTGAGCGACGGAGCTTTAAATGTAATGCAACCTCTGTCAACAACCCCATGCAGTGCCGGGAGGGTGGCTTGACGTATCGGGGCAAGCTGACGGCAGACATCTGCTACCGGGTGGGAGATGGGCCGGTCCAAAAGTTCGATCAGAAGACGTGAGCACGGGAAATGGGGACTGTCCTGTCAAGGTTTACTTTTTACGGTCCGGTCGTTTGAAGCAAGCTGGCTTGATACCAGAACTGATTGCGTTCCGTAGAAGAATGTGAAGACTCTAACGGAGGGCTCGAAGTCACCCCTTACTTAGATACCTCTTGCGTCTGTTGTTATGCGAGAAGTATTCGTGGACCCGTATCTGCGGAAACCAGAGTGGGTGTCATTGTTAATCTTGCGTCAATAAGTGCAGAATCCGAAACCATGCCACATCAGTGTATGTGGTAGGAAGATTGAGCGCCTGTGATGCCGTTTTTCACATTGTGAGCGATTTTTGCGAGCGCCAACCAAACATTCCAAAGTCAGAGACTCTCACAAAGTCGAAGGCAGTGGACGGACAAAAGTCTCCAATAACGGACGCCGACAAGCTAAACCATTTCCGTCTTATGGCCCCTCCGAACTCGTATCGCAGAGATATCTCTGTTCCGTCCAATCTTTGAGCTCCGAAATTTTGCCACACCCTGCGGATTTCACTCTTAAAACAATCATAAGAGACTGAACTTTTGATGAGACGAAGCTGACAAAAATAAAATGACAAAAAATAAACTTCCTAGACGGAAAAGTTACCCCGCTCCGCACCTGTGCCCACCCTAATTCTCCGATGCCTACCGCATCCGTCCCGGAGAAGGCGTCCGATTCTTTTACACCCATGATGATCAACGAGCTAGTGATCACGTGCAGCATTGGGTCCGTCCCGATCATGGTCCGCTCGAGCCGGTGCCACCTGCAGCACCTGACGCAGCGCCATTTGGTGGCGCGCCACGAGGAGGCGCTCGAGTTCGGGGGCTACTTCATCGTGAACGGCATCGAGAAGCTGATTCGCATGCTCATCGTGCCGCGCCGCAACTACGTCATGGCCCTCAAGCGCTCCGCGTACCTCAACCGCGGGCCCATGTACTCCGACAAGGCCACCGTCATCAGGTGAGGGGCGACCGGGAGGGGCCCATGCGGTCAACCGCGCTGTGGATTCTTTAGATTTGAGCTTTCATCAGAAATAAGAAGAGCGACGAATTACAGGAGGCAAACAGTAGGTGGTCGTCTGTGATCTACGGAGTTCGCAGACATTTTGAGATTGCAGCGTTGTTCGAAGTTTAGCTGGCTTATAAGTTGCTGCGTAAGTTCGGCGGTAGCCTACTCGATATTCACCCAGACAATATCAAGTCCCATGTTCTGACGATGGATTTGCCGTCTCACACCAGCCGTGTCGACTTGCAGGTCTGCACGCCCCGACCAGACGACGATGACCACCCGGGTGCATTACCTGGTGGACGGCAATGCGAACGTGGCCTTCACACTGCGCCGCCAGGAGTTCTTCATCCCAGTGGGCATCGTGCTGAAAGTGAGTTTCGAGTGGCGATTTGCGACTTTATTTGCGGTTCCGAGGGGGAGATTTCGCATGTTCGGGGAGACATGCTCGTGATCTGGTATCTGATCACGGTGTAGCACGCTAAAGGGATCAAGTGAAAAGAGCCTAATCCCATCGCTCGTAACATATTGGTTAGCGATTGGGGTCTGCACAAGGTCGGGTTTGACGGCTTAAGAGCAGAACAGCGCGTCGACCTGACTCGTATGTTGCAGCGTGAGCTCCCTAAAAAGAACTAAGAATCTGAGACTTTCATCGACGGTTGCAAAGGCTTGTGACTCTGTCCGGTCAGTGGTTTGACGATTTGCCAGAGCGAATGAGCTCATGGGACCGGTGAACTTGAAAGATAAGAAGGATCAAATCAGATTTGGACACCTGGATTCTTGCTTACAAAGTCGACATCCTTTGCTGGAAAGGTGTGCTGAAGAAGTGCATCGTTCTGCTGGATTTCGATCTTTTGCGACGGTTCGTGCCATCTTGTTTGCCGCAGAGTCTGGTGGAGGCGAGCGACAAGGAGATTTACGAGCGGCTGATTGCGGGGGGCGGCAGCCACTTCGTGGCGCAGAGAGCGGAGCTGGTGCTGCGGGAAGTGCACCGCTACGCGCTGCGCACCAGGGCCGAGTGCCTCGCCTTCCTGGGTGAGCCGCTTTTATCGTACTCTTTTGGTATTTTTGCAGGAGTCCGAGAAGCCCTCCTGCTTCTGGCCTCTTCAATACTTATCGTGTGTGCTCTATACTGAATACTTAGTTCGGCTGGGTATTGACACCCTGTCTTCGGGATTGGGCTCTTCTAAAGGCACGTTCCCCTATTTGTTCTATCCAAGTGCTACAAATTTAGCGTCCCTTAGGAGGAGCAAGTTTCTCACCAGAGTTAAACCAAAGAAGAAAAGGTTCGACTCAATCGCGGGGTGCTTCGTCGGTCTCTCAATATCCCTAACGGTGCCACGTGCTTGCCAGGCGAGCGGTTCCGCGCGCTGCTGGACTACCCCGCACGGATGTCGGACCGCGCCGCAGGGCAGAAGCTGCTGGACGACAACGTGCTGGTGCACCTGGAGCGGCCGCAGGACAAGTTCAACCTGCTCGTGTGAGCCGTCAAAAGAAAATTCCGCTTTCGGTCTGCAAGACTTTGAGGCCCAACACCATGAATCTCAACTTCTGGCTTCTTGGATGGACCCGCCTCCTTCTCCTTACACAGCCCATCCAGTAGAAGGTTGTTCGTGGTGCCTACCAAGACAATGTTGACCTGTTCGAGCGAGCCGCCACATTAAGGGCTCCCCAGCCTGACACTTGTCCAAATCGCTGTAGTGCACTTACACGGTATACAGTAGCTCAGTGTCCGAACGGAATTACATCCTCCTGTTGCGCGATGCAATCAAGAGAAAAGAAGAACGCTGCTTTCGTGTTGCTGAGGGGTGACAATTTTGGAGCTTGGTTCCAGCTTGTATTGGTTTGTTGTATATAGCGAAACGAACGGAAGGGCCGGTGCGTAATCTTGCTCTTGCTAGCTGATATTGAATCTTCTGTCATGTCGCCTTGATATCGGCTTGTTATCAAACTGCAAGAGAGTCTCTCCCGCCAATAGTTTAGCAACTTCCGATCACTGGACCGTCCCCGCGGCGCAGAAACTCCTCGTCAAAGTCTTCTGAATGGCGGCCCTGTTCTCAGCGAATCCTGACTGCTCGCGCGCGCTCGGTACACAGGTTCATGGTGCACAAGCTGTACGCGCTGGTGGACGGCGGGTGCTGCGACGACAATGCGGACGCGCTGGTGCACCACGAGCTGCTGCTGCCGGGCCACCTGCTCACCATGTTCCTCAAGGTGCGCGCGCAGTCACTCTCCGCAGGGGTTGCTCTGGGTTCAGTCTCAAGCGATGTAGGGTGCGAATCTTAGGGGTGAAGCGACCTGGCTTAGCCTGTGCACGCAACGAGTTGGTCTGAGTGGCAAACAGATCGAAGAATGAAGCTTGCTGGTTGGAGTTGCGTTGAAGATTTAGGGCCTTGGTGCTACGATAGCGGCTGCTGCTACGACTTCCCGCTCTCACAAGTTGATCCCGTGTTTTAACAGCTTGTACCGCTGGGCTCAGAAGTGAATCTGAATCGATTTGATTTTCCCCGGAGATTATCTATACGGTTCAAGGTGGACACATCGCTGCTCCTGCCATTTTACGAAACCACCGTCTCGTCATGAGCCAAAAGGGGCTGGAGCTGGGACCATCATTCCGAAACTTGCTCGAATGTCTACTGTCCTGACACTCCTTGTCCCGCTGGTTTCCAGGAGCGGCTGCAGGAGTATTTGCAGCGCACCAAGGCTGTCATCGAGAAGGACCTCCGCGAGAACAAGGCGAAAGTCGACTTCTCCGACTCTACCTACCTCAAAAAGGCGCTCGACAAGAACGGCGTGGACATCGGCAAAAAGATGGGCTACTTTTTGGCAACGGGCAACCTGGTGTCGCAGTCGGGGCTCGATCTGCAGCAGACGAGCGGCTTCACCATTGTCGCGGAGCGGCTCAACTATCTGCGCTACGTGTCGCACTTCCGCTCCGTGCATCGCGGGGCCTACTTTGCGCAGCTGCGGACCACCACCGTGCGCAAGCTCCTTCCAGAGTGAGTGGGTCGCGTTGTCTTTGATCTGGAAGCAAGAGATCGAGATCCTAGCGTTCTGAGTCGTTCAAAGATCTTCTCACTTTCTACGAAATCAAGGGAAGCTCTTAAGTGAAGTGATTCTGACGGGCATACTCAAAGCCCGCTGACTGGGGCGGTCAAAAGTTGGGCTGGTCTGTTGTCGGCGGTAAGTCCAGGTGTATGTTTTGTGTTCTTTGGAGATCTCTCGGTGAGCTCGTTTTCAAAGCGTCGCCCAGAAGGAAGCGAGCGCAGACGACTTGGTTGTTCATCGCAGGTTCGTGGCGAAACGCCTCCTTAGTCGCTGTCTCCGAGGAGAAGATTCTGTTCACAAGTTCGCAGCTTGCGCAGAAGACTGACTCTGTGGTTGCACCAAAGCTTTGGTTGACCTGAGCAAGAATTCGCTTTCGTTCCCCCCTCCAAGAGTTTCCCGCCACTGCCCGCCAGTCGGTTCGTAACCCCGCCCTCTCCCGCCCGCAGGTCGTGGGGCTTCAAATGTAGGAGTTGTAAGCCTTAAGGTCTAGTAAGCTCCAAACTTAAGATCGAAACCATGACCCTCAAAAATACCTGCGCCGCATTCTTACTGAATTTAAGTGTCCAAAGTAGGCCCACCCGTTCCAGGCTGGTAGTCATTTTGTTTTTTTGACGCTTAGTTTCCTAAAAGCCAAACTTTACCCCTACAGGTCGTGGGGCTTCATGTGCCCGGTGCACACCCCCGACGGCGCCCCCTGCGGCCTGCTCATGCACCTCACCATGCACTGCCGCGTCGTTACCACCGATCGCGCGCGCGAAGCGGACACCATCGCGGCGAATCTGAACAACACGCTGCTCGAGATGGGCATGCTCCCGGCGGCCACGGGGCTCGTTCTGCCGAGCCCTCCCAGCCACGTGGCGGTCATGCAGGACGGGAGGGTAATTGGAGCTTTGCGAGCAAGCGCGGCGCCCGGTGTGGTGGCGCGCATGCGGGCGCTCAAGACGCAGGGAGAGCTGCCCGCCGATCTAGAGGTGGGAAAGTGAAGAACTTAAGGGTATCAGGCAATCTAGGGTATAAGGGTTCCAGCTTTCAGCTTGATGACGTGCTTCGACAGCGTGGAAGCAAGACCTGCGTCCAAGGCAATGTGGTTAGACAGCCTTGGGTAATCTGCAGGCTGCCAAAACAAATCGATGCACCAGTGCTGGCGTAACTTTCTGCGCGGTTGCGAAATTGTCCTGTCGATAAACGTCGACGAGTCCTTCATCAATTTGGTTCCCATGCCTGTGGTTGTTTCCGGGCTTTACAATGCATCCAGGGGATTGCCAGCCTCAGTCTTTTTCGCTGCCTTCACTGCAGATTGCTCACATCCCGTTCGAGGAGGGCGGTCCCTTCCCCGGGGTGTTCCTGGCCACCAGCCCCGCCCGGATGATCCGGCCGGTGCGGCAACTAGACAGCGGCGAGGTCGAAATGATTGGCCCGCTGGAGCAGGTATGTAGCCTTTGAACTCTGGAGAAGGAAAGATGTGTGAGCCCACCGCCTTTTGACGTTGATTTACATACCCGAATGCTTTGAGATGATTGGATCGCGATCTGCGCTGTTACTAATTCACTGTCAGACAACAAAAACTGTAACGAGATTCCTGGAACTTTTCATGAGTTGCTCTCTATCGATTTAGCTACTGATTCCGAAGTCCGAAGCATGGTCACAGGCTCCAAAGGTCAACAGCATCATTTCAAGGCACTTCTCCCTTCCGTTCCTCCGAGTCCGAAACTCTGTTCCTCGCCTGTGTCTGGATGCGAATAGACGTGCCGTGACCGGACTGCTTTGCTAGAGCTCTGCTCATTCGATTGTAAGACCTGTTCACTTGTTTCCCTTGCCTCTGTCCAGATGTACATGGACGTGCGGTGTCCGGACGGCACGACGGGCGGCGGCGCGGACGTCCGGTTCACGCACGAGGAGCTGCACCCGACGGGCATGCTGAGCATGGTGGCCAACCTGACGCCCTGGAGCGACTACAACCAGAGCCCGCGAAACATGTACCAGTGCCAGGCAAGCGCAACCCACGAGGCGCCCGGGATCCTCCGCGCATGTTGACTGTTTTCTAGAACTGGTCATAGCTGAGAGGGGCTGGACGGTGCTGTCAAGGTTCACGTTTGGGCAAGCAAGGACGTTATGTTGCTTTGAACCTCGTGGGCGTTCCAAGAGTCAGCATTTGCACAAATTTGCCGAGCGTGTCCACGGATATGTATAATTCTTTTCTTTGAAGAGTCAATCAAGAGACACTAGGTGGTTCAGGCGAGATGTGCTTCTTAAGAGCTTCAAACCCGGTGCGCTCTGTTTCTGGGCACCCAGACTTTCAAGGAGCTTCTTTTCATTGTCAGCTTCGTGTCCCTTGAGTACCAACGCCCCCAACTCCTGGCTGATAAGCACTGTCTCGTGCCTTGAATGGGCACGGGCTGATGTGAGAAGCGCGCATCACAGTTGATTGACTCGCCCCCCCAAATTCCTGCGCAGATGGGCAAGCAGACGATGGGCGTCCCGTACCACGCCAACACGCACCGGCCCGACACCAAGACGTACCGCCTGCAGACACCGCAGAAGCCCATCGCCCGGACGGGGACTTACGGCGACTACTGCGTGGACGATTACCCCCTCGGGACAAACGCGGTGGTCGCCGTGCTCGCGTACACGGGGTGAGCAGGCTGTTGCATTTGTACCCCAGCAGTCCAAAAGCGACTGCCTACGAAGACTTGCTGCTTAGAGGCGGGTGTTTTGAGTGCACCTTGAGCCGGCGGCGGCGTGCGGTTCTTTCTGATAAACGTAGCTTGAGTGTCAGTATCATCACTTGACGGCTTTGCCACGGCTGACGAAGTACGGAGACTCGCTGCTTGTACATGTGTCGTCCTCAACCAACACACGGACAGGACATTCAGTAGAACCTTTCCATTGCCATACTGGCAACTCCCCTGTCTCCTAAGATTCAGAAGCCCCAGGCACCAAAATTGAAAACTTTACCCCAAAAAGTACCCGCTGCGCACCCCTACACGCCTACCCACCCACCAACCCTACCCATCCCCCGGCCTATGACCCTCACGAGACAAGCCCCTTACAAGGCAGGGGAGTTATTACTATCCCATTGTCTTCTCCGTCTCGCTGCTTTCCACTATTTCAGGGGTTATACTCACTGCAGGCCAGCCTCTGGTGCGCTCAGCTGGATTTTGCAAGCTGACCTGGGCCGTTCGTCCCAGGTACGACATGGAGGACGCGATGATCATCAACAAGTCCGCGATGGAGCGCGGGCTGTGCCACGGCACCATGTTCAAAACGGAGACCATCGACCTAAAGCCGCTGCGCGCGCGCGGGGACGCCATCACCACAGAGTTCCGCAGGGGGTCAAAGAAGGCGCGGCCCTCGGCCCCCGGCAAGAGCGGGGACCCCATCGAAAAGTTCATCGACGTCGACGGGCTGCCGCACGTGGGGCAGGTGAGCCGTTCCTTGAGGAGATTGGAAGGCATACGGAGCCTCGTTGCCGTGTACAGATCCGATGAGGATTGGTATTGCTGTACTGCCGCTTTTAATCGCAAGGGATGGGGCGGAAGGAGGGGGGCGGGTCGAGGAGAGTAGATGGTTTTGAAGCATCGCTCTCAGACGGGTAGAAGGAGCATCGCCCCGCTCCGCCTTTCGAGGATTTCAACCCTGTAGCGCGCAGGTCCAGACTGCTACAACTTCTTTTAATGTCAGCATTCGATTTCGGCGCTGTCCTTATGAAGACTTGACCCCCGTGTGTTTGCTACGTACAGCCGCTGCAGTCGGACGACCCGTACGTGAGCGCGGTGAACAAGGTGACGGGGCAGGAGAAGCTGACCAAGCTCAAGGGGAGCGAGAACGCGGTGGTGGACCAGGTGAGGAGCAGCCACCGCCAATGTTGCTGCAACCTTCAGCTTCTTGCTGCCTTGAAAAAATGGCCCTTGCCTTTGGCTTGGAAGGAGTTTATCACCTTTCAGTGTCAGAAAGGAGAATATTGAGCGCCTGCAGCTTTGCAATAGCTCCTATCTCGTTTAAGCCTCGTTTCCCCAGGATTACAAGCCAGCGCTAAAGCTGCCTTTGCGAGGAGCTTCTGGACCGTCCTTACTTCGCAGCTTGTGCCGGAAACTTCAAGCTGCTGTGTCCGATGCTGCCCTACTCTCGCCTTGTTAGCAATAGCGGCCCTCGGTTGTAGATTACTCCGGTGCGAGTCCCTTTCCCGCCGTCTTCGTGCTGTTCTCTTAAAAAACTCTCGACCAGCTATTTGTATCGGTGAAACATGGTGGCATTCTGCATACACTTGGCCAGCCTTCTCGCCACGACCGCTGACAACATTCCCCCGCAGGTGACGCTGCTCGGCGGCGCTGCGGACGAGCCGGCGCAGGCGGTGTCTGTGAAGCTGCGGTACAACCGCAACCCGGTGATTGGGGACAAGTTCAGCAGCCGGCACGGGCAGAAGGGCGTCCTCTCGCAGCTCTGGCCCGACATCGACATGCCCTTCGCAGCAAACACCGGCATGCGGCCAGACATCATCATTAACCCGCACGCCTTCCCCTCCAGGTGACGACTTGTTCTAAGTCCTTCTTAGCCGTTTGAAAGAAGATTTGAAGACTAGTAATTGTAGTCCTGACGCGGTTTTGATGGACCTGTCTCTGTCCCTATGCTGTTTCCAAGACCTTGCTTGGTGACGAAGGTACTGGGTGCAGCTGAAACCTTATGAAAAGGTACTAGGAAGGATAGTTTTCTCGAGCAAAAACGCTCTCTACGGGGCCGATTTCCAATCACGCGAGCCACCTCTCACTTTGCAAAGGCGAACTTGCAGCCACAACCCACACTTCACTGTGTTCGTTATGCAATGTACTAGCGATACCACAACACCGCCCACAACTTTTCACGGACAAGCGACACCACAGCCACAAGAATGTAACCAATATGCTTACGTCTCAGAAGCAGCTTTTTCGATGAACCAGTCTCTAAGCTCGCCTGTTTTGTTGGTACAGAATGACAATCGGTATGCTGGTGGAGAGCATGGCGGCCAAGGCAGGCGCGCTCCGCGGCGAGTTCGTGGACGCGACGCCGTTCCGGTCGTCAGTTGCCCGCCAGGACAAGTCGATAGTGGACCACTTTGGGGAGCAGCTCGCAGCGGCGGGCTTCAACTACTATGGCAACGAGGTGCGCACAAATCACGCTACTCCTCTGCCGGCAGAAGATTCGGAACTTTGGCGCCAGGGTTGCCTCTGCAAACCCCTCTTTCCTATCTTGCGAACCAGCAAGCTGTTTTCGTGTTGTAGAAGCGTGCCATTGCTCACAATGATTGTCGCCAGAACAAAGAGAGAGTCAAACTTGCGAGACCGACGAGCAGAGACCGTTGCCTTGTGTGTTCGGTACTGACCGCTCGTCCTGCTAGTCAAGGAGCCGTATGTTTAAGACATGTAGGCGTAATATCTCCTTCACCCTCAATCGAATTTACGTCAGCAAAACGAAGGTTCTCCATTCCGCCTGCCATACTCCTTGCGTCGCTGTCCGATCACCTCTGTTTTTCCGCCCGTCTGCAGACGATGTACAGCGGCGTGCTGGGGACGGAGCTGACGGCCCAGATCTACATGGGCGTCGTGTACTACCAGCGGCTGCGCCACATGGTGTCCGACAAGTTCCAGGTCGGTCCGCGCGCTCGGGATCGCCCTTGAAAAGACAATGCAGAAAGCAGGCAGTATGCATGTTGAATGCGGCGGGTGATTGTTCCAGCGTTTGGGGCGTCTGATCTTTTCAGAATCCTCCACTGCTTCTTCGCAGGAACTTCATCAAGGGGGCTTTGTGGTAATCACAAACGTTCGGCTTTATGTTCTTCGAGAGAACAGCTGGGTGGCGTTTTGTCCTTGCAAAGCGATCTGCGGTCGAGTTGGGCTCGGGGCCTTCTACAGGATGCTCTTCCTGGAATGCCGCGCCATACCTTCTTACCCGACTGTGGCCCACCTTACGAATCAATGCACTGTTCTTAATGAGCCGGTCCTTACCTCTGGCCCGCCATGTGCTTTGTTCCCTCGTGCAGGTGCGGTCCGTGGGCCCCGTCAACAACCTGACCCACCAGCCCGTCAAGGGCCGCAAGGCCGGTGGCGGCATCCGGTTTGGCGAAATGGAGCGCGACTCGCTGCTCGCGCACGGCGCCGCCTTTCTGCTTCACGACCGGTTACACGCGTCGTCGGATTACCACACCACGGACGTCTGCTCCACGTGCGGGAGCCTGCTGTCGACGCAGTTAAATGCAGGCGGTGTGAATGGCCACCCGGGGGGGCCGCGAGGGCCGGGCGAGAAACGGAAGGTGGAGTGCCGGGTGTGCGGGACGAGCCGGGGGGTAGAGCGCGTGGCCATGCCGTATGTGTTCAAGTTCTTGGCCGCGGAGCTGGCGGCGATGAACATTAAAGTGAAATTGACGCTCTCGAAATGAATGATGACGAAGTTCGTGCGCATGCAACCACTGCTTGATCATTCCATTTTTTACTTAGCGATCCCTGAAAGGTTGATGTTTAAGAAGTGCATCAAGTGAGGTGTAGTCGGGCAACGGTTGATTGCTCCATGCATGCACAGAGTGAACTGCCAGAGCTGGATGGGGGCCCTTTGCAGTGCTTGAAGCATGCCCGCAGTGACGTTTCCATGTAAGTTGGATCCGATCAGGCACCCTCGGCGGTCAGCAAGGTTTGAGAGTACCGTCTTGTCCTGAAACATACGAACCACATGCACGTCTCATGCAAGTTTATCTGCCGCAGTGCTATGGCTCATTGCATGCCACCAGGTAGCTTTTACCCATGTAGCCAAAACAGGCACATGATCGAGCATGGTCTAGCATTTGCGTCGACAACATTTACAAGGTCTTTCTATGGAAGTAAACAATAGCAATTGTGACCACAATGGAGTACACAGTACGCCATACTATGATGTTGCTCATGCATCCGAAGTCTGCCACTGAGGACCACAGCTTCGCAACGGGTTCGCAACCCCAGCAGCGCTCGGTACACAATTTTGTGATTAACACTTTGAGACGTTCCGACGTTAAATTATCGGTACACAACTGCTCTCTGCTGTGAGCTCAAGATTGAGCCATTCCGTCACTTCCTCGGGAGCCTGCAAACCAAAAGTTCAATGCAACGCATGCCAGCAGCCCAGCCACTAGGGGCGCACTGGCAGGGGCCGCCGCCGCCCTGGCGGCGGCTATGTACGTACCAGTGCATACCTGAGGCGGCCCCGCGCCATGGGCCGCGCCGCACCGCAACGCGCACACCCCCCATACGGGCCCCCGGGTGCCTGACGCAGAGACGCCTCCACAAACGTTGATGCGTGGCAATTGCCAATTATGAATGATTTATTGGAAGCACTGCGTACCGGTCACAGCTTCCGCTTGCTACTGCCAGTATCTATGCTCGATCTGTTCAGTGCATGATGGATTTGTACCTGCCCGGGTGGAGGTTTGACATGCAGTGCATAAGCTATGTAGTTTTCCGTAATTGAAAGTCTTGCTTTGACCAGTATCTACTCTCCGCATCTGCCTTGAACTCGTTGAAGTGGATATTGCCGGAGTGTTGAAACAGTTGCAGAAAGCACGGAGGCGCTCTGAATGTCAAGCTGCAGCCGCTCTCCTGTAGCCAGTGTAGGTGGTGGTGAGTGACAGGCTCGTGGCAGGGTGCGGCGATGACTCGCGTCGAGGAGCCTCTCTTGGGGTCCAGCTCCAGAGCTGCGCCTGATCACGGATCAGATGAAATTCGTGACTACAATGGAGCAAGGAACAAGCTCGGGAGCCAGACCACTGCATCTGGGGTGAGTGAAGAGAAGGGGCTATTGTAACATGGTGGCACTGCTCTTGTGATTCAAGATGTTTTCAGGGGTGTGGGCATGTCTTCAATTGGCGGAACAAGCAATGGTGCACAATGTGGAAGACAATAGATGATCAATTTCAGGAGCTGGCAGCCCTAGATGCAAAACATCCCTGCTGGCACTGCGCACTAGCTCAGCACAGTGGGCCACCATTGCACGAAGATTAATTCTCAGGAAATCCAATGGTGGATTTCAGTTTGCTGAGGAAGCTTGGGGCTTCAAGATAGACATTCATGAAGAGTCCAGCCATGGGCTCAAATGTTTGCTAAAGATGGGGGAAGATGCACATCCTCCTGCTGAATGATGAAGTTATCTGGTGATCAACCGGAGCAAGCTATAGAGCAGCTTCAGATGTCCCACGTGTCCCACTATGTGATATATAGCTAACACTCTGCCAAAAAGATGGGCAGACATTCGCCAGATGCTCATTTCTTGGCAACCATCAGTACCTCGACTTGTTGTACCAATGCAAGCCTGCTGATAGAAGAAAGACACCTCCTTTCGCCACAGTACTTTTGCAGCCATTGCTTTTCCTTATGCCCCACTTGGGAATCAACAAAGCACCCCTTCTGTGCAGGCATCGGTCAGCCGCGCACAGGCCCTAGCCTCCGGCAGCACCATCGAGCGTGCAGCGGCCCTGGTTGACCTGGCAGAAGACGGCATCGGCCTGCCGCTGGACCTCATACACAGTGCAGACTTTGGCGAGCGGACGCGCCTCTACTTTCTATACAACACCTTTGACCCCCTCTGGACGCTCAACATCATTCTTCTCCTGGTGCTCAACTTCATCGAGGTTCCGTCCTGGTGTTCTAATGCCTGGCCGCATCCGTGCGGGGGCGACAACACGGATGCTTACCACCTGGGCGACGTGCCTTACCTCCACCCAAAGGTGTTCAACATAGTGGAGCTGGTGTCGCTAGCACTGCTGATTGCACAGGTAAGGCCAATGGGAGTGTGGGGTGGGTTTCTGAAGTCCTCACCGCATAGTATGGGCCGCCAACCAACTTCCTCAAGGAAGATTCTCTACAAAAAAGGGCGCCTCCTTTTGTGGCTCATCATTCATCTCTCCTAGCATTGCCCTGGCATTTGCTCCAATGTTGCTCCTGCCAGGAGCTGGTTGAGATGGGCCCCTTTCTTATTGTTCATGTTGGATTGATAGATTGCTTGGCTTTTCCTTGAGTAATATCGCTTCTCCGTTTCTGCTGGCAGGTGCTCTTGCCTCTGACATTTGAAGGCCCAGAACACTTCTGGAAAGACCGGCTAAACAGGACCTTTGTGTTCCTGAGCGCCCTGCTTGCCGCTGATGTCATCCTCTACAGCATCGGGCTCTGGGCAGGATTCTGGAGTCTGCCTGCGGTCCTCTCATTCCGATTGGCTCCATATCTAAGGTGAGAAGTGCAGCAAGAACGTACTGAAATTGAAAGCAGACTCGAAGGGACCACACTTTCTGCTTGGATCGCTTGACTGTCGGAACATCTTTTGCAATGTGTTTATTGTTGTGGAGTTGATGCCCTTCTCTACAAAGTGTTTGGTTTTTGAATATTCGCAGGGTGGTCACGGTGTGTTGCTCCGAGTCTGAGATCCGCAAGGGCCTGCGCATCCTGTTTGGCATCATCCCAGGGTTCCTGGACATGATGACCCTCGTTGGCATCTGGCTTCTCTTCTCCGCGTGGCTTATGTACCTCCTTTTCGAGGATTCCCTCCAGGTATGCACCCTCTTCGCTTGCAAGGGCGGAAGTGCTCATTCTGCGTGCCTCGCAGAGACATACCCTTAATGGACGGTTGCCTGTTCAGATTTCGTCCTGAAGTGATTGTCCAGCTGAGCTGCCCCAGGTCGCCTGACGAATCAAGATTCCTGCACCAGAGTTGTTCGTAGATGGAGCGGATCAGACCCGCTTGTGGTGCGACCTTGACACTTGCTGCAGACACCACAAAAGCTTACAATAAGAATTGCAGTCCCCTAAGTATATTGACGCAACAAACTAGCCTGAGGGGAATCGCCTCAAACGTCTCTCGGATTGCTTCCACATTTGTGCAAGTTATGGACTCATTTTCCAACAAAAACCGGGAGGTCAGAGGTTCGGTCCCTCTATCAGGAGCACATGTTTTCGAGCACTTGTTTTCGAGCACTTGCTGTCGGAAACGGTGGACGGATCGTTTGAAAACAAGTGAGGCTGGAAACCCAGTCGCTCCATGCTGGCCGCAGGGCGAGCTGACGTTCACGAGCTACCGCGCCACGCTGAACGAGGCCATCATCGCTATGTTCACGGGCAGCAACGTGCCCGACTTCTGGATGCCCGCCTTCAACCAGAACCGCATCGCCTGCCTTGTTTTCATGGGTGAGCGCCACCTTTTGCCCCGCTCCAGAAGGCCGCTTTTGTAAAGCGTTTTTGGCGTGGATGATGTAAGCAAAAGTCTAGCTGTCAATAGCACAAGCGGATACAAACCGGCGCAAGAGCTTCGTGCAGAACGAACGCGCTTTATTGTCGGTGTCGAGGTTGAGGAAGCCCCTCGCATTCGGACCACCTGCGTCCCCTTCTGACTGGCGCTTTCTGGCCTGTTTCGGTGCAGCGTTCCTGTTCATCTCGACCAACTTCTTCATGAGCCTGATCCTGGCGGTTGTGTACAACGGGTGAGTTGACGTCAGTCAGGCACCCTTCGGGGACGTTGAACCGATGCACGGATTCCGTGATCCGACTCTGAGGAAGCTGAGGTGCGGGAAGAATTGTTCCGTGCAGGCATCTTGAGCCCTTGTCGTTTGGACCTCCGAGCACCTCGAAGCAAGAAGCCCTATCAGCAACGCATTGAAGCCCGGCAGCGGAGGAGGTCGGGAAATGATTCTGATTGCGCTTCTGGCCAGGTACAAGGACCAGCTGACAAGCGAGTACAAACAGAGCTACATGCAGCGCCACTCGATTCTGTCAGCCGCGTTCGGCCTGCTCGACGAAGAGAACAAGGGCCACCTGGATATTGGACAGGCACGTACCGACCGTCCCGTCTGTACGGCGTCCGTTTGAACAAACTTCAGGGGACTGCTTCATGTTGCCTCATAAAGGGGCAACCTTTGTTCTGCCGTATCAAGGCAGACGCAGAATACCAATCTGCACCTGAAAGGCACCAGTTTCGTGTGCGAAGAACGGAGTCGGACCGGTCAGCAAGTGTTGCTTTCCTCACAAGCTTCTCGACGATTGCCCAGCTTTCTCTGGGCTCCGTTCCGGGCCTCTCCGACACGTTCTTTCCGTATGAATCATCGGCGGCTGTCCGTGTGCAGGTCAGCAGCCTGCTGCAAGCCCTCAACAAGTACCGCAACATGCCCGATATTTCCAAAAAGGTACTCCTTACCTTTCTCCTTGCTACGCCTACCGACCCGACTTATGCTGCGCCTCGATTCTTCCGGATCGTACCCTCATCTAACGTACTTCTTGCCTGCTCTCAGTCTGCATGAGTCCTTCTGCATCAATTGCCTTTCTATGCTGTCCTGGTTCTTGGTCCTGATCTGTACAGACTCCCTGGCGGCTGGCAGGAAATGGAGCACATCTTCCTGGCGTTGGACGACTCCGGCGACAACCTCATTTCGGAGGACGAGTTCTCGGACCTGTGCGTCGCCATCCGGCTGCGATTCGTCAAGACGGACGAGCCCACGCTCCTCGAGAAGTACCTCCCCCGTGAGCCGCCTGCTTCGCTGCATCCTTGCGTTTCCGTTCTGCTTCTGTGCCCCGAACGAAAGCAGAGGCTACCCGGAACATGTGACCGCTGAACCGATAAGCGAGCCAAGAGTCGAGGTGTGAATTTCCAGATTGCCTCAAGAGTTCTCGAGTTGCCACGCTTCGGATGGCGGAACCGAAGATACTGCTTTGCCGAGAGGCCCATCCCTGCATTCTAAGCATTTGATTTCCCACATACTCTGAGTCGGACCTAACTTCGACATCAGCAACCAATATCAGCAAATCGCACGTTCTATTCCGACGCTCCTTCCAGGTGTTGCCGCCTCCCGCTCGTACGCCGGCTTCAAGGCGCTTGTGCAGAGCGCGCGCTTCGGGCAGCTGGTGCAGGGCGTGCTTTTGGTCCAGGCGGTCATCATCGCCATCGAGTCCGCCTTCGACGTGCAGGACAACACCAAGTGAGCACCGCTCATGCTCTTGTTGCGGCGCTCCTAGAAACCATGCGAAACATTGTTTATATTGACTCGGAGGACAACCGGATGTGCTGGATGGAATATTGGACCCTTTACCTGGCCACAAATGGAGGACAAGGCCCCTTTCAGTTGAGGCGTGGCAGCTCCAGTGCGCAGCGAGTTCGCCATGTTCGCGCTTCAGGACGCAAAAACCTATTTTGGCCTTATGGGTGTGCACGTTCTTGAGTGTCTCGCAACCGCAAACGAACGAACAGTCTATCTCGCAAGCGAAAACCAATCGCTCTGCCCTGACCGCGGGCGGTGCACGGTATCTCGCCAGGCTGCAGGCGGTGTGGCTGAACATCGAGATGGCGTTCGGGTGGCTGTTTTTGGTGGAGCTGGCAGCCAAGCTGCTCGCGCACGGTACCGCCAACTACTGGCGCAAGGGCTCCAACCGCTTCGACATGCTCGTCACCCTGGGAGTGGTCGCCACTCAGGTCCGGCCGGCAGCGCGCAAGCTCATTGTCAGCCTTTCAGTGGTTTGGATGCGCAAAGTTGCTTTTCCTGACTTCAAAAAGGAATGGGTGATGGCAACACGTGGTCTGCCATATCATTCAGATACCTGGTCTTCCTGGCTTGTGGCGCCAGAGAGAGCCGTTAAGGTTCTCCAACCAAAGTTACTCACTTCTCGTCAGGCTGTAAGTGGGAATGACAACGGTATCTGCTGACTTCTCTGACTGCGTCCAGCCCACACCTCGCCAAGAGATTGCCTTTCTTTCGTTCCCTGGTCTTACAAATGGTGACTCCAAAAGCCGTCTTTCGCTTCTCCCCAGACCTGCTTCAAACGAATCCGTTATCAGCGGCAGCAAACATGCTGTTTCATTCGTTGACGTTTACTTGCCACGTGGCGCAGCTGCTGATCCTGAGCGACGTCCTCCCGGCGGAGAGCATCCGGTACGCGCTGATCCTGTGCGTGCTGCGGCTGGGCCGCGTGCTGACGTCCGTCGAGCGCTACTCCGTCATCATGTCCGCCTTCTTCAGCCTCTGGCAGGTCGTCTTCCCGGTGAGACGCCCCGGGGGGCTTCTTTTGAATCACAACCTCAGCTGCTCTGCGCTACTGAGGAGACCGGTCGCAAAGTGCCGGGTGGGCCTAAGGAATGTTGGTTTACCTCAGACCGCTGTCCCGACTACTTTGAGTCATCAAGCGTCAAAAAATATCAGGGCCCCGGAGTGTTCAAAGATTGGATCAGAGGGGCTGAGCCCTGCCTTGACGTGGCGGCCAATAGAGCCAGCGCTTCCAACGAAGCCGGCCGAACAGCTGCCTGACACAGCGGGTGTGCTGTGTGCTTCTGGCAGGTGATTGGCGTCACGTACTGCTTCAGCTCCATCTTCTGCAGCATCGGCATCGAGCTGTTCGGAGGCAAGGTGTTCGACGGCTCGCCAAGCATCCGAGGTGAGGAGCATCAGCCGCTACCTCCTGCAATACTTGACACAAAGCCCAATGAAGGAAGAGCAACCGTTTGGAGAGAACTAGCGGTTTCTTGTTTGAAGTAGTGACTGTGGTCCGTGGGGCTGCAACCCTTCTCAGCCCAGTTTATAGTTCAGTGTCTATAATAGCTTCCTCTTTTGACTAGATAGACTACGAGCCGCGGACAGGTTCGACGTGGTCGTTTTTGTACTCGTTCAAACGAGGCTGAATAAAGTGCTGTTGAAACATTGAGAGTCCGGAGGGGCCCGATTCGATGTGGCTCACGGGCGCAGCTTTTGTTCTCATACCGCCTCCGTCTTCGCTTGACAGGCACGTCTTACGAGCACAGCAGCTACATGGCCATGAACTTCAACGACTTCGCCTCAGGAATGGTGAGCATCGATCCTGGCGAGTCCTTGTGTTTCGCAGTCCCCCTCAGAAGCACAGGATCGGGGAACTCGATCAGAGAGCAAAGACCTGTGTTCTTGCTCGCACCATTTCAAAAACATCGCAGGTCGGGTCCCAAGCCACCTTCTCCGCGATGCGACGTCCTGTTTCACAGTCTTTTGACGCCGTTCTGTGTTTTGCAGGTGCTAATTTTCCAGTGGCTCAACGGCACGCTCTACTCGGACTGGCAGTCCATCGCGTCCAACATCTACCCCTCCCCCTGGATCCGCGCCTACTTCGTCGCCTTCCTCGTGCTCGGGTAAGCACACGCCGCGCACAGAATATCGAAGCCCGATTCTTCCTCTACCATCTTACGTTATTCTCTTCCGTCTTGAGTACGAAAGGGTCGTTCGTGTGTTTACGAGTTTGGCTGGTCTTCATGCGTTGCTGAAAGTCGGACAATCGGCAACGTGGTTGGAAGTGGCGACTGGGAACACCCCCGAGGCAACGAGCTGGGCGGCTGTGCTTTATATCAGCATGCTTTCATTCCGGAAGTCGTGATCCGACCTGCTGATGCCGTCCTCTTGATATTCTTAGCGGAATCTGGACACGCAACGGGCAGAAGAAAACTGCTGCGTCAGTGCAGATTGAGCGACGCCAAGCTTGCATATTGATGCTGCGTGCTCGAGCCCGAAAGAGTCGATGGGGTCTAGGATTCAGCGGGCAATCCAAGCTGAGCAATGGCACTGCTCCTGAAGTATGTGGCCTTTTGGATGGGCGTTCCCGCAGTCTCATACTTTCGTCTGCCTCCCGGAGCACACGTCGGCGCCCCCAACCGCGCCGCTTGCCTGCGGGGCACGTTGCACCTCATCTGCCCGCTTTCTACGTTCCTCAAGAGTCGCTCGCTACGGCGCTGTCCGCTCCTGCTTTATACCAGTGACTGTGCAATTTGTCGCTGACTGTGCGCTTCCCTTATTGTGCAGGACCATCTTCATCATGAACGTTTTCATCGGCTTCGTAAGTGGACACGCCTTCCCGATCCGGCTGTCGCCGCCTGTTGTTGATCCAACGTGCCTTGATGTCTTCAATCACTCACCGACCAACCGGAAGCTTGACCGAGTTTGCTACCTAGCACTCTGGCCGGAATCAAGCACGGCCTGTGCTCACTGTCCGGAACACGTTGCAGTTCATTCCCGTGTTCTTGCTGAGACGAATCGCGGGTCAAGCCGCACTTGTTCCTAGCTGGGTGACCGGCAATTCACCCTGCGTTTGTGCCCTTCCAGGTGTTTGACGCGTACTACACGCAACAAGAGATCATGGCCAACAAGGGCGGCAACGAGCGGAGCGCGCTGCGGCTGGAGGGCGTGCACGGGGCGAACGTGGAGGTCGAGCTCAGCGACCGCTTCCAGCAGGTGCGCAAGCACTTTTGGGCTGCTCCTCTGTCTTCCGGTGCAAGTCTTGAAGGAACTTGTTTAAGAGAGCATTCTGCATCGTTTTTGCGCTGGGCCCCTCATGCGTGAAAATAGGCCCTGGCTTGTCGAGGACAATATTCATGTTGATCATGCAACGTCTGTTGACGCATTGCACATGCTGTAACGCTGGAAGGAGGAATAAGATTGGGAACTGAGGACAAACAGTTGGTTTGATGCGGCAGACGAACCACTCCCTCTTGTCGTAAGGTTTTATCATCGCTTTTACAGGTTATGGACCGGATGCTTGGTGGCGAGGAGCTGAAAAAACTAACCTCTCAGAAGGGCATGGCACAGGAGGGAACTTAACGGCTCCCACTGTGATGCAACATTGCTTCTCACTTCTTCGTACCTTGATGAGCCCAAACTTTCTTCTCCAGACTGTGATGCCAGAAGCAGACTGGCGATACGAATTAAGGTTGTACTACCTGCTCAATTGTCTCGCTATCGAGCTCGCAGAGAATCATGAATGATGTTGTAGAAGCTTTATGGATGCACAAGAGGCCTTTTGATCAGACGTGTTTGTGATTGCACGGCAAAGACGACGACTCGTTTTACTTTAGTGTCTCGACCACATTTCGACGCCGGCCTGCTTCCTTACGTGTGATTCTCCTGAACGTAACAGTTCGGCAGACCATCCGGATCTAGCACATGCTTTTGCACATGCCGATCACTTCAACAACTCATATTTTGCACGGGAATGGAAGAATGCACAGGGTAGTACTCTTGAATCTTGGGCAGATCTCATGCATATACACGAATGCAATAATTGGTGCAGCCGTACAGTGACATATGATGCATGATCCAGTATATGGTACAGAGCTTCCATCTAAACTCAAATGCTGAACAATCATACATCTTCACTCCGTCATCCTCATACTCACCATCTCGCAAGGTCCTTAGTAGGTCATCGATCTGATATGGATTGATCTGCACCGTGTACCATATGGCTTGATGGAAGGCAAGTTGTGCATCCACAAGTAGCTGGCTACCTACTTGTTTTGCATCTATAGCCATGTGCACAATGTGCAATGCTTTGGCCGACGAACTTCCTTAAGCACTCAGCGACGTGTAGCTAAAAGAATTTGGCAACCCACCAAATCAGTAGATCAGTCTACGGTACCCAGGGCTCTTGTGATCAATCACGATCCTTGTCGAAAGCACGCCATGAGAGGCCATCGCATAGAGCTGAAAGCAGCAGCTGGTCCGACACGCCTACAGCACGAATGCTGTATCGTAGTGTTGGCGGCCCGCTGGCGGCCGCCCAGGAATCCAGAACGAGTGCGACCCTTCTTATATATCTTCAGCACTCCGACTCGGACGTGGACTCTGCTAGGACCAGGGCCCAGGGGATTGACAGTGTCAGCTGGACGCTTGCCATACGTGCAGAAGCTTCCGCCTAAACCTACAGTTTGAACGCGTACTTTAAACGCCGCCAATGATGGAGCTCGAAGACTGGTACGGTAGCAGGTAGCTAGCCTCTAGGTACCGTATCCAGAGAAAGTCGGAACGTAGCGTACTATCTTTGGCATGTGACATGTACGGTCTGCCAATCGGCAGACCGTACGGAACTAATACCTACGAGGGACCGAGGGTTCAAACTTCAAACTTGAACGCCGGCGGCCGGACTCCGGAGGCCAGGGTAACCGCATGGTGAATTGTACTAACTCAATCCACCGGGATGAATGATGTGAATGGTGTACCATTCGATTCGAACGGTTACTGAGTTGACCCGAGTTGGTAGCCTGAATGACTGCTGATCATATGGCTGTTTCTCAGTTAACCCTTGACACTTGCCGATATTCCCAGGGCGGGAGGTTTGATCTGAAGAGATTCTCACTTTTCCAGTGCTCTCATATGTTGATAGCTCGCTACTCATACGAGCATGACTCAAGAGCATTTGCGGGAATCGCGGTTTTGAGAATTTTCATCTACCGGGCATTAGTTAAGGCCCTCAAAGCCCAGAGGCTGCCCGGTGGCTACCATTCTTGTACCATTCACACACCATTCAATCAAAACGTGTTGATTGGTATGCATTGATATCATCCCAAGAGCCACAAAACACCATGCGGTTACCCTGCCGGCGGAGGCCCGGAGGCTGGAGCCCATGGGCCGCGACCCGTAACGTACCGATAACCAAGACCGTACAAATGTTGGTACGTGACCTGGGTCCTTGAAAGTTGAGGTGCCTGGTCAGGTCAAACTACCTCACCTACTACCGGCAGTACAAGAGGTACCAGGGTCCGGTACCTTTACCGGTATACGGTACCTAGTTTCAATGATCATAATGGACGGTAGTACCGGTAGGTACCAGGGTCCAGGTACCTGGCAGGTAGTCACTAGTGTAGTGTTCTGCTGTTATACGCGATGCATGCGGGCGGCATAGGTATGAGATCGCACTCATGAACACCGCCATCTGTACGTGGTCATTGTAAAGTCGAATCCGTCGCAATATGTGACGTATCGGATCCTGCATTTAACGCAGATCGATAATCGTGATTACTCGCATATACCTACTTCCATATCGAACGTACGCATATATGCCATATATGCCGTTTGATGCTTCACCGGCCGCCGTCGGAAGGCCTTCGTTCCTCGCCGGCTGCAGAATATCAAAGGGTATGCAACAGCCATAGCTCACGTACCAGGTGAGCTATGGCTAGAATAGGCTTGACACTTATGATCGAGAAGCTGAGAACCGGGTGCTGCTGGAGTATACGTCGACATCCGGGTTTTGTAAGTTACGCCGCCACGGAAGGCAGACATCGGGGCTCTGCTACGGTACCGTACCGCAGCCGGGGGTTCCGTTATACGTTTTCAACTAATATCAGTGCATTTTTATCGTATTTGGTAAAAATCCCGGATTCTAAGAGATTTGCCGGCAACCGACGTCATACTAGTGACGTAGGTGCATCGCCGGCGGCTAATGCGGTATACAACCGGTGGTTAGGACGCGTCGTACGGCCCGTACCCCACTTACATGAAACGTTGCACACGTCATGTTGAATAAATGACCACTTTCTGGATCTGCCAATTTGCTGATTCCTGATTTCTGCAACCTGATACGGGGTCTGTTGAACTGGAAAGTGCGACGAGCCTCGGGGCGGTCAATCCCAGTCCTCAGGCTCCTATGAGGCTGTATGAAAGTTGCCAGATGCATGTAAAATGCTGATCATCTGCCCTGGCAGCGGTGGCGCTCGATGTGATCCTGCAACTGGAATGAGTCAGGCAGAGAGGAAGGGAGGTTGTCCAATGCCAGCTTGGGTCCCCCTGGCATAGTCTAGACGGATAATGCCGCGAGGGGCACGTCGATAGTTCAGCTGTGCACCATGCAGTTTCCTCCAAGGATGGAGGAGATTGCACCCACCGGAGATGATGGCCTGCACCGGGGCCCATGGGCCGAGTGGGAGGATGAGCTGCTAGTCAAGTATGTGGCCAAGTACGGGGAAGGAAACTGGGCCAGCGTCAAGGAGAAGCCAGACATTGGGCTGAAGAGATGCGGGAAGAGTTGCCGGCTGAGGTTTTTGAACCACCTCAAGCCCGGTTTGAAGAAAGGAGCGTTTAGGTACGGCGGAGGCATTGGTGTTGCTTTTGTGTTAAAAGTAGAGCTGACTTGCTGAGGAAGGTATTATGATAGATGCATGCATGGAGCGAGCTCGCTTGAATGTTATGCTTTCAATTGCATTTCAGCTTGTTTTCTTTTTTTGCCATGTTGCTTGTAGATTCTTGGCTAGCAAGATATCTCTTGCAGCAATGAAAGTTTTGTATTCCTTGCTATTATTGAAACATGCTTTACAGCGGCAAGTCCAGTCTATTGAAGATGAAGGATAAGGTGATTGAAATGCCTAGAAAGCTTGAACTATTTTGAAAGCAGAGCTGGTTTGCCACAGGGCATGGGGTCTGCATTTGATCGCGAAGCGCCTTAGTGTTGGACACCATCTATCTGACGCATTATCGGTCACATCAAGGCCTGATGCAGTTGTAATGTACACCGATCCGCTGACAATGACAGGGAATCCTGTCTCGTGGCTCCATTTCAAACCACCAAGATGTGGCAGCAGTCGCTGTCGCTTCATATCTGGGCTTTAAGGCTTGCGGTATCAATGCCCTGATGACTGGTTCTCACAGCAGCCTGCCTTTCATCTGCAGTGAGGATGAGGAGGACCTTATTTTCACCCTCCACACCTACTATGGAAACAAGTAAGGGCAGATTGCGCTCCATACAGCACCCAGCTTGCTTTGAGAGTGCGAATTGTTCCCCTTGATGCATTGACACCTGTGATACCTGTGAGACAGTCCTCTGTGTGAATCCCTCGCCCCACCTTCGTGACTCTTCTGATGAACCTTTCTCTCTCCATATATTTTGATTATTATGAGGTCAAAAAGTTTCTTGGTTCTTATTCATGCCAAGCCGTGTCACATCCTCTCAGTGCTCCCGCTTCTGTCCACCCTCAGATGGTCAAGAATCGCGCTGGAGCTCCCCGGACGCACAGACAATGAGATCAAGAACTTTTACCACTACAAGTGTAAGAAGCTGGAGAATGCCAGGCTGTCGGTGCCGGGCCAGTCCGCGCAAGACAAGGTTCGGGCGCACGAGTTTGTGCATAGCAGGATGTCGACCGAGGAGCTCTCCATCAACCTCGCCCCGCGCGAGCCCCCTCCTGCGAGCCTGCTTGGCAAGCGGGACCGGGCAGATACCCCCGATCGTGACGTCAAGTTCCAGAAGACCGACTCCGCCCGGCCTGTTCCGATGCCGCCACTCCCGCCCCAACAAGGGAACAGCAACATAACGTTGCGCGTGCCCATCATTGGGCCTTCCAAGCCCTTGCAGTTGGGGGACCATCCCCCGATTGAGAAGCCCCTTCCGGTGCAAAGAATCACTTCAAACAAGAACCTCGAGTCTGCTGGCAAGCTCGCCCAGACTGCAATCGACGCCGCGCGCGCCTCTGCGTCTGCGGGGGGGAGAGTGGACGAAGCAGCCCTCATGGCGGCGGCGGCCTTGCATAGGAACAGCACAATGGACACAAAGCCTTCAGATGCTGTAACAAACATGATGACGGGGGTAGCTCGCCTGGCGGCCGAAGCGGTGCTCCCACGGGCAAGCAGCACAGGGTTCGACCTGGGAGGGGGGGGTGGGCAGTTCCCGCTGCAGTTGCCGGCGGGATACCTGCAGCAGCAGCAGCGGCTCGAGCTGCTGTCGCAGCTGTACAACACCTCAGAGCAGCAGGGGATGAAAGTGCAGCAGCAGGTGGCGGCGCTGTTTCCCGCGAGCCCCGTCTCGATCCTGGACGTGGCGCAGCTGGACCAGCACCAGAGGCAGCTTCTTGAAACACGGGTGCGTGCGCTGTTGGCGGCGAGGCGGGGGGGGGACGTCCTGAACCGCCAGGCGAGCGAGCCTGCGCGGCTGGACCTGTTGCGGCGTGCCATGGAGATTGAGGCGGCAGGGCGGGGTGCTATTGGGGCAGCGCGGCCGGTGGACCAGGTGGAACAGACTCTAGAAAGGGCGGAGGCGTTTCTGCGGCCAAAGCAAGAATTGGGGGCAGGGGGGGTGGGAGCCCCGGAGCACGGTCTTGACAGGCAGGAAGAGATGAGGCCAGGCGGGTGGAGCGATGAGCCATTGCGCCAGGGGGGTGCCGGTCCTATGGCCGAAGTCGGGCCCAGAGCAAAGAGCAGCGAGATAGCGCCAAGCCAGACGACGGAGGGGGCTTCCCCCTTGTCCCACATAGAGAGTGTTGAGAAGGAGGCAGCAAACCCCAAGGGGCGGGAAGACGGGGGCTCCATTGGGTCAGAGGAGGTCAGGGCACAAGACTCGAGTGGCAGCTTGCTGGGTCCCAAGATGAAGGCCTTCAAGGAGCTGCGGCGGCCGCAACTGGACATACTGGGCCAGGGAGAGGATCCGGAGCCCGGCCCGCTGACCGCTGCGGTCGGGCGCCACATCAGCCCCTCGGAAAGCACGGCGCGCACGCCGGCGTGGCTGTGGTCCCCCCGGCTGAGCGCGGGGCGCAAGAAGTGGGCAGGCCCAATCTGGAAGACGGTGAACGGACACTCGGTGGACATCAGCGAGCTGAGCCCGGACTACGTCAGCGAGCTGTGGGGCCTGGACGCCGAGACGTTTGCGTGCAAAACGCCCACGCTGTCACTGTTCCCGGGGGCGGTCAGCGACGATGAGGTGAGCAAGCAGAGGCGTCTGGCAAAGTCCCCACTGCACGGCCTGAAGTGGGCAGCAGCAGGCCCCTTGAGCGTTTTAGGAGTGGTGACATGTTATGCTGTACCGAGTTTTACGACGAACTTTGTGCACAGCAGTTAGTGTGCACAGGGCTCTGCCGCAGTGCCAGTCTCCCTGCTCTTCAGTGTGTCGTCTCTTTCTTTGTTTTCACAAGAATGTGGCACGGCATCCGAGCCCTTCGCCTGTCAACTTCGCCGTCCGACCCTGACCCTTTTTTTCCAGGCCTTCAGCCTGACCGACCGGGGACCCAGTACGGCGCGCTCCCCGTCCACCAGCGACGGCCCCCCCTGGCTCCCGTGGCTGCCACTGGACGGCAAGGTGGTTACTCGGGATGAGGTGTCGGGCAAGCTAGTGTCCCCTCGCACCGTTATGGAAGCCATCGAGAGCGGGCCCCTCAGTCCGTGGTCCCCGCGGGACTTGTTGGAGTCGCCCTCGGATGGGCAGCTCACCAGCCTGGGGAGCAGCAGGGGCAGCGGGCGGGCCCACCAGTGGTGGCTCTCGCTCATCGGCACCCCCCGCGAGCAGCCGGCGGAAGAGAAGCAGGACAGGGCAGGCCCGGGGGGGGGGTTCCGGGAGGGACCAGCTAGTGAAGCGGCACAAGGGCAGGAGGGAGGGGTGAAAAGTGGGGGTTTGGTTCGGGAGGCGAGCCTGAGAATTGAGGGCAAGGTCGGGGAGTCCAAAGAAGGGGGCCTTGTTGCTGAGGGGACTTGGCCGTCGCTGGAGGACAAACGTCGGCCCACCAGTTCGTTCACCTTCGCCACGTTCGCTTCCCAAGGGGACCAGACTGGGGCTGGGGACGACCAACGAAAGGACGAAACACCCGCAGAGTCTGCGCCTGAGTCAGGGTTGAGAGGTGGCAGCCCCAAGTCGGCCTCTATGCTGGAGCAGGTACGCAGCCTGTTCACCAGACCCAGCGGGCCGCGACTCGACTCAAAGTAGCGCTGCTCCCGAGTCCGGCATTAACGTGCACGCGCAGGGGCGAGCAGCTTGCGATACGAGCAGTGACTACAATGTCCAAGGGGTGTCAAAGTTCTTATGGGAGAATGTTTTCTAGGACGACCGGAGTTGGACTGCATGGTGCTGACAGCTGTACAGAGCAGGTTCGTTGGCTGTTCGTATCGAAGTGTCTGCAATCAGGACGTTCAAAATTGCTCGAGTTGCCAGCCGCAAGATTGACCTCCAGGAAGCTTAATTTAGCTGTTGGTTTTGTATCTAGTCAAATGCTCGCAAGAGACAGGAAGCGTCAATTTTCACTAGTGTATGCGGTAGGTAACCTGTGAGGTATGGCAGGCCATCTTGCGGGACGGGCTGACCGTGTAAGGAATAAACGTTAGAGCGCTTTTTTGAAGGTAACGCGAGTGGCCTAGCTGCTGTCGCGTCGATTCTTGCAACGGTAGGTGTGTACCTTAGCTTTCAGCACAGTAGTCCGTATTGCAGTGTAGGGGATTGACAGCCTTAGTCAATCACAGGTCCCACACCAAAACTTACAGGCATGTCACAAACTGCATATTCCACATGTACGTTTTGCATTCCGGCATTGAGATATCCCAACAAGCTTAGTTCTCACAAACAATTCATGAGAGCACAGAGCTCGATCTGTGCAAGTCTATGAATCTAATCATGTGCACGCTCTCGATCACAAAGTACGTCATAATTCCACTTGTGCATGGCGGCCCGGTGAAATTGGACTCCCTTAATTGTCTGGAAATGACGGTTCAAGTGCAGCCCCATGCAACTACCTGCTTAAGCTTGGATGTTGTCTGGTATACATAGTTACATTTATGCTCATGTCCAGCTTGATTATCAATCTTCACGACTCCATCATTGCTCTACTGAGAGCTTAAGGGTGTACTTACATGAGCGGAGTCACCCAAGTGCAGCATGCACCGTCGAAATTCTAATCATATTGACCGCGGTTGCATTTCTTGCAACTTAGATGTAAACATATCATAAGGTTCAGGCTGGCTGGATTCGAGCGGCTGTCGATCATGTGCATGCGGTCATTAATTGATCAAGGGACCGGTCTAGCCAGGCCTGACATGCGCGTCTGCTAATGGCCTCTTGAAGCTTACGTTTAACGGGATTGCTTCTTGGTACCGAAAGTTGCTGACAAGGGCAGCGTGTATGTATTTAAAGTACTGGACCAATGATCACAGACAAGAGCCCTGATCTCACGCGGCGTAGCATTCAAGGGCAGATTCTGTGTCGCCCAAAAACTAGACTCCCAGTGTTGAGTCCATGGCTGTCCTGCAGCCTTTTAACCGGATTATCAAGGAGTTCTTTCCTTCGCCTAATATGCAAAATGGAAGTCATTGTCTTAGACAAGTGGCAGGAAACGCACGGCACTTGCGAACCCTGCCTGACTGGAACGTTGGAGGGGTACCGGCTCGAATCAAGCAATCGAAAAGCGCTTTTAGCCCTCATCGTCTTCCGCACTCCCAATCTTTGTGCCCAAAGGTTTGCGTCGCGCCCTGCAAAAGGCAAGCTCATTGTCATTGGGTGCTCGGCCCGCTCGCTGCCTACCGCACTATCGAGCTCCTCGCGGTTGCCTGCTCCTAACCTGAAACCACCATTTGTTTCAACGGTGCATAAGTCTCATGCCTGATCAAGCATCACAAAAAAGAGGCGACACAATCTACAGCTCCAAGAACGAGAACATCGATTATCGTGGGAAGGTTCATTCGGCATATTTCACCTCTTTGGCATTGGCCGTCCTCCTTTTTTGACTGTAGGAGCTGTCGCCGCTGGGGCGGGTGAGGTAGAAGCAACTGCACGGAGCAAATGCACAAACTTCGCCAAGTTCGACGGTCTGACAATCTCAACGATTTCGTCGCAACTAGTTCTTGACTTCAGGGTTGCAAGCAGGCCGGGCAAGATGTTCTTTTGTTTTGTGAATCGTTGCACACTGACTGAGGAAGAGAACAAAGCTGCCTCCTGACGCCACTCTCACGACGAAATAAAATAAAGCATAAAAGGAACCTATGGGGCTCAGACGAACGAGTCTGGACAGAAAGCCGACTATCAAGTCCCTATATTACGTCAAAACGTCAAGCTGATTTTCCTCCTGTAGAGTAAATGCAAATCAACTCTGTTAAGCACTGGTATTGACAGCCTGAGATCTGGCTGGAACTTTTTACATTCGACGATCACATACCCCCTGTCGTGACAAAGGGCATCTCCTGCTTTAGTGTCTTACCAGGCGGGGGACTGCGGGGCTGTGAACCAAGAGGTTGCGATCCTTGAGTCTGGGACTGTGTAGCAGGGAATGGTTCCTGAGTTCTGGCTGTAGCTGTCATTGTGGGGGCCATGCTAGCGCTGACAGGCTCCAGGGGAGAGGCATCACCCCTGCGGGAGCGACTAGAATGTCGGCCCCCCAGGATTCGGGCCTGCATTTGTTCAGCACGAGCCTTCTCTCGAGCAAGCTCCTGCTCCAGCTGAGAGGTGTGCGATTGCTCTGCAGGGGCCCGGGAATGACTGAGAAGAAGCACTTGAGAACATGCTCAAGGAGCCACAAATCAAGGCTGCCAGAGAAATTTGTGGTCCTCGTGAATTGCTGGCCCGCAAACTGAGAAGAAATTTGTCAGAGGTGCGAGACCGCCAGGTCAGGTTGTAGCTTGAACGAAGGTAGATCACTTCCTGCAGCTTCATGCTGTGCAGGATCCCTTTGCCTCCAACAGCACCTCACTTGGAGTCACTAACATGGCAAGTTGAACTTTCTCTGAGAACACAAAGCTGCTCACCAAGAAGACTCTGGATGAAAGGAGATAAACATATCTTTCAAATTTCGAGGATGAAAGGTCACCTTTTCTAGCTAGCTAGTTGGTTGGATGCCTGGGCTTACCTTGCTGAAACTTGCCCTGCAGATCCTGGAATGCTGAATGCAAATTGATTGCCACAGCACTCTTCAGATCATCCCGCTGGCCAACAGCAACTGGAGATAGTTCAAGGTCCACCTTCAGTCCTGTCGCTTGCTTGCGTCCAACAAGCCAGGCGGAGGTGGCACCTGCAAACAGCATTGCGGTTAATGACATAGCATTCATGCAGGGGTCGTCACAACAGGATTGACTTCATTTCCAACTTACTACCAGCATGTGATATGATCATGCATCTCCAGACACCTTCTTCAAGCGAATCAGGTACATGCGATTCTAGGAAGAGGCATCCAGTGCATCAGTCACAGAAGGCAAATGGTGGTGACCCCTGCAATGCTAGGCTGTCCAGGTCCGGCTGGTCATCGCTGTCCCAATGCTGCGCCAATGCTTCTCTACCTTCTCCTCCAATCGCAGACGCTGGCCCTCCCAATTGGACCACCACATGCTCCGATGTAAAGGCTTGGCGCAGAAACTGAAGAAAGTCCTCCCAAGTCCCCCCCACCCCGATGTCGTCTCGGAGGTCCAACAACTGTTTGGGGCTCAGCTCTGTGGTCCAGCTGTGGCTATGGAAATCTGTGACCCTGGCTTGCAAAGCGCTGCCATCGGGAGTCAGCTTAAGCGTGAACAGGAAGTCAAACAGCACCGCAATTTCATAGTTGGGGGAGGAAGGGCTCAGCCGACCTTTGGCACGATTGAACACTGGCAAGAAGGACGCCAACGACTCCGCCATCGTCCTGTAGCAGCTGGCATGCAAGGAGAGACGAAGATTCTCCAATTGCTAACTTGCTGGCAGCGTTGCCATCATGAGCTGATTGCAAGTCGTGCACATGCTAGAGAGTGACCGAGAAGAGCAGAATTAAGGAGCATTCATTCATTCATTCATGATCTTGAATTTGCAGCATTCTTTTGAAGCTCCCTAGCTCTACAGTCTACTGCGCCACTGAATCAGATACCTGGCTTCAGCTTCAGATTGGCTCGCTGTGACCGCATAGCCGTCCGATCAAGACTAGCTTCGTCCCGGAATCAAGCATGGACTGCGAAGCCGTACGCACCGGCGCCTGGAGTCCGCCGGATTAGGCCCGCAACTAGAGAACATACCAAGTCGTCCACGTAGAAAGCTTTGACTGGCGAAACCCTAGATTTCTTGACTCCTGCTTTGCGCTCTATGCACTATCCGCGAACCAGGAAAAAGAGCTTTTCCTACCCGATGTTCCTTTCCGTCCTGCTGTTCAATCTTGGAGTCGCTTTCTTATATTAACAGCGTCAGCATTTTGACGTACATATTGTGGACGCAAGTCCAGGTCCGATGCTACCTACAATTCTGGTCAAGACAACGTGAACGGATTCCAGACAAGGACGAACAGGCCCACTGCTTATTGCGGCTTACAAGGAGGACACGCTTGTGACGTTCCTGCCTCCAGCATTCGCCAGTGGTCAAAGGGCCAAGGCCTTTTCAATTGAAAGATATTTGAAATAGACCGCGGACTGCAAGGTGTCTCTGCAGTATCCACGAAAATCTTCAATGGCTCCTGGCAGTCCAAAGCCGGTGGAGGACCTGGAGGATGTAGGCCCAGGAGACATGGCCAATTATGGGCTTGCTCTTGACGGCGACCAGCAGGCGGAGTTTGAGATTGAGGAAGAGCAGGTGCGTATGCTCCAGCCCCATCACAACTTGAGTTCAGATGGTGATACTAGGCAGTCAATTGAAACACCCTCTGCCATCGTTACAGTCCATGCCAACCTTCTTAATGCGAGCACCTGTTTGTTGTGATGGGAAAGGCGCATGCGAAGAACAGTGGACATGCATACAATTTCCTTGTCTCTGAAATGTTATACTGATGTATTCTAGTGGTATGTTTATGAGTTTCTTGGGTTCTGGCCGCCAGATTGATAGTAGAAGGAAAGCAACGACCCCAATATCTGAATTTGTTTGCACTATCCATAAGCAGGTGTTTCGATACTGAAGTCGCTTAATACAATCGATGCCAAACCAGCAACGCCTGCATGAAGCTTTATCCTGTCTTTAGACTGTGGGTACATGTCATTTATCACCATTCCGGCACGCTCAGCGGTAGAGTGTACATCAGTTGCAACAAACGAGAAAATTGATTGAGTCTGCTGCTTGATCCGCAGGTTCTTCAAGGCCTGGCCCTGCTGTTCACAGAGAAGGTGCAGGAGAGTGAGCAGTTCTTTGAGGAGCTCAAGACAGGCAACGCCCGCCTTACGCTGCATCATGCCGAAGTGTCCGCTCTGAAAGCTTTGGTTGGCTTCGAACAAGAGGTGAGCGGTTGAATGAACTGCGATGTGATAGTCCTTCTCCAAGCGATTAAGTATCAAAGGTACACAACACAATTTGCGCCTTGCAATTGTACAGAGGGAAGGCTGCAGTATCTCGTTTGCTGTGAGCAATCGCATCCCTTGACGACACTCCCTTTTGGCAATCTTGATGGTCATCAGAATGCATTATGAAAGGAGCTTGGTCAAGATGTAGAGTCTGGACCGATTGAAGGAGGGATGACCAGCTATTGCACTCGTCTTCGATATCACATGCTGTTCCTTCGACCTCGTTTCAGGACATCGAACGAGCCATCAGCCTGCTCAGTGAAGCCTACAACTTGGCAACACAGGCAGAAAAGCAGAAGCGCACTCACAGCAAAGTGGCCAAGGTGAGACATCTTGGCCGTCATGCGATTTTGGGCGTGCTTCGTCAGTTCATGTATGCAAAACTTGAATCCCGAAACATTACTCTGCCTGCTAAACCGAGGTCTCCTGACGACCGTGCAGAGCTTTCATTGGTAGGTCGAAACATCTTCGGTTTATATCCTACAGGTGAAAGGCTTCTTCCAGTGGGCCACGGGCCAGCGCGGCCGGGCCGGCAGTGAGGCGGAGGCGCGCATGGAGGGCACCGAGAAGGCCGGGGACACGGCAGCCCGGCTGCAGCGGCAGCGGCGCCAGCGGCTGCGCGCACTGACCGTGCAGGCTGAAGCCGACCTGGTACTGGGGCTGCTGCACCTGGTTGGGGGGGGCGAACTGTCCTCGCAACCCATCAAGGCCGGCTTCTACCTCCGCAGGTATGAGGAAAAACCGACTCGTGGTCATCTGATGGCAGGCGCTTGGAGGATTTTGAACGGGTTGCGTTGAGCTGAGTTGTGTTCCAACTCCGCTCACACAATCTTTGCTCAAGACGTCGATTGGTCCTTGTTCTACTGTTTCGGCGTCTCTTCAGTCTTTCGGCCTGCGAGTGCTGCCAGGCATAGTCTCAACTACGACAGCCAGCCTCGTCAACCTCTTGTGTTAACCCCTTGGTTCAGTATTGTTCGGAGATAGTTATCTGAGCACAGTTTGGCCATTGAATGGGTTTCCTCTCGTCGATTCCGGCTGCAGGGCCTGGAGCGAGTACGCGCACTGTCAGTCCAAGCTGGAGCAGGTGCTGCGAGACTACGCAGTCATGAAGGGGCTGCAGGCCGGCCCGGACATGGACGACGAGAGGCTGGCCGAGAAGGAGAGGGAGATCGGCGGGGACTGGAGCGATGAGGAGGGGGAGCCGGCAGATAGCAAGAAGACGGGGGCCAAGGCCAGCGCAACAGTGGTGCCGATTGAGGCGGCACCCAAGGGGACGGACGGAGAGGAGGCACAGGACGACTTCGGCGACTTTGCAGGTAGAGACGGAGGCCAAAAGGCACACTCAAACGAGGCTGAAGCAAGAGGGATCGCTAGAGTGGACAGCCTGAATGAATAGTACTCAGACTCGGTGTGCAAATTCTATTGTTCTTGGGCTGACTCGTCTTGCACTGCGCCCCCTCAATCATGCCAAGATAGGCAGACGAGGTAGAACGAGACGGCAAGCCAATCCTGACATGTCCTCTTGCTGCAGCTGCCGCCCCCAGCGCACAGACCGTCGCAGCAGGGCTGGCCCGCCTGGACCTCAGGAACGGCGGGGCTGGCAGCAGCGAGGACCCTGAGCTGGTGTCACTGCGGGCAGGGATCCAGTTTGGAGTGGGCATGCTGCACTGCGTCATGTCCATGGTGAGCAGAGGTTATAAGACAAAGAAACCAGAATATGTCGAAGACGCATAACTTAAGGAAGAGGCCTTGCAAACTACGGCATGGTTCTGACAGTACGGAAGAGCCAACCTTTTTCAGTGTTCCCATTCGAAAACACTGAAGAAATCAAGAAGAATGGTGATAATTCGAAGAATAGACTTCTTTCGATCAAGGCAGTGAGCGGCTGCTGCTTGTGCGCAGCTGCCCCCGGCCGTGCTGCGGTCGCTGGAGTGGGTGGGCGTGGCGGGCATCGACCGCAAGCTGGGCCTCAAGCTGCTGCAACAGTGCGCCGCCACCCACACCGGGCACGCCACCCTCGCTGCCTACGCCCAGCTGCACTGTGAGCACCTGCGTGACAAATCATCATGTTACTCTGACGGGAAAGCATGACTCAACTTGCATCATACCTGTCGATCAGGCAACTTGCTAGATCTGGCAACTCACAGCTTCTCTCATTGGACCACTGGCAGCTCGCAGGGTGCCTTCCCGACCCGGACATACCCGTGAGATTCGCAAGGGTCTCCTCGTTGAATTCCACTTCCAGGCCAGAAATGTGTTTCTATCGGCGGGGTCTTGTCTTGACTTTCTTCCTGCCAATTATCTCCAGACCGGAGTGTGATCATGGGCTTCCTGCCACGCTCGGAGGCCCACAGCAGCGTCGCTGCCGCCACCCTGACAGAATTGGCCGCACCGTTCCGTGAGTCCACTCTGTTTGGCATGGCACAGGTGAGGCCCGGACATGGTGTTAACATGTGAGATCCTAGGAAATTGTCAGCGGAGCTTTTCAGATGCTCAAGGACTGACACTTCTCTGTTGCTGCCTAGCCACATTCCCTGGCTGCATACCTCGAAAGTTAGAGGCTCAAGCTTTCAGTGCGACAGGAGACGGTCTTTTCGCGTTCTAAGCTGCTCTGTTTCTCCGCTGCCAGGTGCGCGCTCTCCGGTACTCGGCCCAGCTAGCCGCGGCGACCGCCCTGGCGCAGCAAGAGCCGCGCCGCGCGCCCATCGAATGCCTGCACCTCCGCCGGCACCGTCTCCACGAGCAGGCAAGCACCGCCATCTCCTCCTTCACAGACAAGTTTTAGCAATGATGGCGCAGGCATCCGATTGGATTGAACGTTCTGAATGAAGCTCGCAAGATAAAAGCTGATTGACCAAGGCGCTGAGCACGAATATCCCGGCTGTTCCGTCTCATTCGTTGAAAACGTCTTGCGAAAATCTCCCGCTGCGGGGCGTGCACTGTCGTCATCACTCGACATTGGGCTTACACGGAGAGCTCGCACGCCCTTACCCCGGAAACGAGCACCCATTTGAGGGCCAACGGAGGCTTTGCTGCTTGGGTCCAGGCGTGGTGTACCCTGCTGCGCGGCGACATGGAGACGGCCGCCACCATGTTCGGGGGCCTGGCCACGGCCACCAAGAGCGGCTACCGCAAGACCTTCTACACAGCCTTCCAGGTCAGCATACCCCCAGACGCAATACTCCACGATTTGCTGTCACGCGTCAGAGGTCGGTCCTAAATCTACGGCGGGCCGCAGACATGTTGTCCACGTCCCGCAAACATAAATTTCAAAGGCGGGACACTCCGAAGAATACTTTTCAATTGTGAATGCTTTTCCCTTTGCGAGCTCTGCGTCAAAAAGGATTCCCCCTTTCCCATTTGAAAGCGGGCAGACCTTCGCAACATAGCCTTCAAGGCACTATGAGCCGGATTAGCAAGTTGCGCCCTTAGCCAAGTCTTACGTGATTCTTCTTCCCTCCGACCCGACTGGGTCTTATTGTGCTCGTCTCGTTTGTGCTGTACCCTTCAGATCTCGTGCCTGTGGGAGTCGGGCCCGCGTCACTACGCTGCCGCGGCCGGCCTGCTGCGCGACAGCGTGCCCTTCATGAAGGCGACCAGCACGCCCATCGAGGCTTACGTCATCAACATGGCCGCCCAACTCAACGCAACAGACAGGTGAGGGACCGACGTACGGATATGCTCATCCGGCGACCCAAGGGTTGCCCGGAGCTATCCATCTCTTCTTACGAATGAGTGGTCAAGTGTTTTTTCCCTCAAAATTCACTCTAGAGCCGCTTTGCGACCTTGCTGCAGCAGCACGTCTTGGTCACTCTCGCCTCGAACAGTCGGCTACCTGCCCGGTGGTTTGATGTGCGGTCCGCCTGGGGCGTTTCGGAAAAGCTACTCGACTCCCATCCTTGCATAGATCCACCCTGTTTCAGATCCCTGCCTTCCCCTCTGGAGGTCATCTTGTACTTGCGTCTATTGTGCAGCCGCCCGCTCTTCCCCGCGCGCGAGCTGCTCGCGTACTGGAACGGTTTCCAGGCCATGGACGCGGCGGCCCTGGAGGCGCACATCCGGGTCGTCGAAGAGGCGCTGCACACGCGCTGCCAGGTCAGGCCGCGCATGAGATTGTTTATCACTGCGCTGAAAGCAAGACACTTCGTGCCAAGCGAAGACCTTTTGCATGATCAGATGAGCGCTTCTCTCGACTTTGTTTGTCTTTTGAAGTGCTGATGTGATGAATCAAACTCGAGTACAGGTCTTTGCATCCAACCTGCCTCACTGAAGGCCGATCTCTCCCCGAGTACGCAATTTGTCACTGTACGATCGACTACAGTAATCTAACGGTCCAAGATTCGGTACCGGAAGTCAAGCCTCGAGGGTGAGGGTGGCAAATCTGACGCAGACAGCTGTTGATTCTCCGTTTCTGCAGGACGTTGGCGCGGCCGCACCCGGGGACGACGAGCCAGCCGACGAGGCGGTAGCGTCCGGCATCCTGGCGGCAGCCAACGGACGCCCCACGGCGTCCGTCCCCGGCGCCGCCCCGCAAAAGAAGACCAAGGTGCGTCCAGAAGCTTCATAGCGGGACTTACATAAGACCTTCCGTCCGCGTAGCGGAACGGGCCGTGTGCGCGAGAATGTCTGGTCCCCGCTTGAAAACTGAACTCAATCAAAGAGTTGTCTCGTCAAGCATAAAAATGAGGATTTTGATGCTGCGAGCAAGTGCAGCTGTGCGAGGTCACTTTCTTTCACCGGCGTGTCAACGACTAAAGAAGCTGGCCTGCAATTTCGTACGGAAGCAGGGTTTTAAAACGTCCCTCGTAATCGGTGCGCAGGCTGGGTTCGGGCACGTGTGGAGTGAGCGCAGCAAGATGCTGTGCCGCTTCCTGCTGGGCGTCCTCCAGCGGCACGCGGGCCAGGCGCAGCGCGCGGAGGACGGCCTCAGATACGTCGTGGCGGCAGGCAACGTCGAGCAGCTGCCGTGAGTTGCAGACCATCTGATTTAGACATCAGCCTTTCTCGCATTTGTTTGGTGCGCGGAAGCCTGACAATGAGTGAAGCGGCAAGATTGGTGCCTGGTCATTCCGCCAGGCTGCACCTTTCGAGAGCAAAAGCAGCAGGGTCTCACATCATCTCAATCGATCATAGCGTTACAAGAAACTTTTTGGTTACTTACGTAGCTGTTATCTACGTGCTCCGCGGGTCGAATACACTGTTTGAGTCAGGTGTCCCGCTCCGCAATGGCTTTTGTTAGTGCGCACTTCAATCACAGAAGAGCTGCTTCTCCGTTGGTCCCATTCTGCCCACTCACACGGCGACGTGTCTCGTTGCAGCAACATCTTGCCGTATGCGGCATACGAGCTGGGCAGCCTGCTCATGACGCAGCCCGCAACGGCCGGCGAGGGCGTCAAGCTGCTGGAGAAGGCGGTCGCCTTCCCGCCCCACGACTTCCAGGGCCGCCTCAAGTTTGTCGTTGCAGAGCGGGTCAACGCCTACTTTGAGCGCAAAGAGTAGCCGTTGAACGACGAGAAAGACTGGCACTCGCTGCGCTTGATTTGGAGTATAACTAACTAACTTGAGTTGTCAGAGCACAAAGCTATCTACTGTAGTGCAGCTGGCTTCGTAGTAAACTCATTGATCCATCTAGTAGGCAGTAGTATATGATGCCTTTGCTGCATGTTAGATCGATCGTGAGCAACACAGATGCCCCTCCAAAGCAATCTGCCAAGCTTTTACCAATTTTGCCTAGCTAGCGTCTCCCCCGGTCCCCATCATGCAGCTGTTGGACGTACAGGATTTCATCTGTAAATGCAATGCGGTTTGATGTTAAGCTCTCAAGCAGGATTGATGAGTTCTAAAGTCTGACACTAGAATTACTGACTCAAGAACGCAAAAGCAGTGGAATCCGATGATTCAACCTTACAAACAAGCATGACGTCTAAGTACCTGCTAAGCACTGCAAACGTTAACACCCGATCGTTCATGCAAGGTTGTGTTACTTCATCTGTTCATTAAGAACAATCGGTATGATCATCTCTTTGCCGTATACCTACCGAACGTTGGTGTTTTCAAGAAAAGCTGTCGCTTGTACGCGTCATGTGCATATACCACGTCGGCCGCGGCCGGCAAAGTCCAACACAGCGCGGTGCACCGCCAAAGTATTTTTTTGACACCTTATTATCATCTCGAGTACGCCCGGTAATGACACATTTTATTCGTTCCCTGATTGGTCGAAACCCTTTACCATTGACTTCGTTGACCACGAAGTCACTTGAATCAAAGCGCACCCCACCCTAGATCGAAAATCCAAAAGATCGACACCGTCCAACTTCCAATCCAACGGCATAGAAGTACACCAATTGTATACCTATATCGATATGAGTCCTCTTGGCTACGCTAATCAGAAGTCGTGTCGGCCGGTCTCCTCTAACCCACAAAGGTTCATCTTGAAACCCCAGAAAGAAGTGTCAGTTTGGGCACAAAAATCGTCCCCACTTTAGTTTGACACTAGGGCCAAAAATCGGAGCTGGTTAGCCACGTGACCCGGCACCTTAACTTGGCATGAAACCCGAGTAAGGGGGGAGTAAGGTGGCCATTCTCTTTCTTCAATACTACGGTATGCATAGTTGACATCCGCATTATGTGAGAGAATTTGATCCGGCCGTCTGTCCAATCCAATGGATTGCACTGACCAGAACGCATGATAATCACACAAAATGAATGAAGTGTTAGGTATCAACCAATCGAATGTAACGAAACAAAGGCCAGATGATAAAAAGACGGGGGGCCTACGGGTGGCGGCATATCCTTGCTCTGTTTACCCGTGCCATGAACGAGGAGAGAGCCCAGACGGTGCGCATGAACTAGGAGCAACGATTAACGGAGAAGATATCGAGATGAATTCGTTTTCCTGTGCAGACTTTTGCGGCTGGTTCGTATGTGAATGCATGTATTTGAATGCATTTGAACATGTTCAGACTTACGACTGTTTTGCTTTTGCAGTTGCAGGCAGGGCATATTTGCCACTCAGCTTGTCCAAAAAAGACTAGATCGGTCATCCGCTGGTTTCAATCAAACCGGTGTTTTCTCCTACATAAGCAATTTGTTTCATGGTCAGTTGAATTGTGTTTCTTTCTAAAAATCCCAATCCTGCAACCAGCAAGCGGCCTTCCCGCGCTCCCCTACTCTTCCTTGAGCTGGCTGTACAGTGGCTCGACGTCCTTCTTCCAGCAGCTAGTGACGCGCAGGCGCCTAGCCTGCAGCTCTTGCCGCTCCTTTTCGATGCGGTAGAACAAAGAACCTGGCAAGAAGCGAGACTACTTCCTTTACAAGCATGTTGCACGCGCAGTTACAGCAGCCATTTCAAATGCAGAATAGTGAGAGAATGACCAGGAATGAATCCAAGCCGTAGCTAATATTATAATCCAACGGAAATGCGACAGAAGAATCGGATGTCTCGCGCAAAAAGTCTCGCCCCTTTAATATGACCGGATGCCTCCACCGGGTACTAAACGAGCACTTTGCTACTGGGGCGGAGGGCTCTGCGAGAGCTCACCGTCGAGGCACTGGCGGACGTTCTCTTTGTACATGAGGCCCCGGTGGTCCGCCAGCATCCAATACGTCAGCGCCCACTCCAGCTTCTCAGCGAGCCTGCACAGCGAAGAAGAGTATAAGGTGAGCTTTATCATGGTCGGCAGAATCAACTCGATGCGTCGTCGAGATAGTTCACGCCAGAGTGAATCAAGTAGAGTTGGAAACAAGATAAAGCCGTGCAACAGAGAGGGCCTTGAATCAAGTATTCCTGGGAATGTACACATAACGTTTTGAACAATGTGCCTGCGTTTGGTAGGATCAGCCACGACGACGGAACCACTCAGAACCGTGACTCCTCGAGGGCGATGATGCGGCTCACCAGCCGAAGAGGTCGTAGACGACCGCGTTGCCCTGCGTCATCTCGAAGAGTTGCGAGACGGTGAGCGCGCCCTTGTTGTCCCGGTCGTACTTGGACCAGATCTCTTCGAACTTTTCGGGCACGAACCTGGCAGGCACGCAAGGCAGGCGACCATGACCACAAGCAAACGAATGCAGGAAACAAAAGTGCGCTACGTACAGCTCAACGTCTGATGCTTGAAAGCATCCAATGAATTGGAGATGTTGACAACTGCCACCAAGGAACCAATCGAACTCTGCGTAAGCAAAGGATGGCACAATGACGAGCACGTAGTCAATTGAACAACGAAGACATACTCACAACATAGCAGCCTAGTAACGTTCCGATTTCCAACCAAAAGACGTCACATTCACATATGGTGCTCTGCCGTAACAGAACATTTCGTAGGTCACCGCAAAAGGTTGGATTACGCCGCAATCTCACCGGCCCTCTGTGTCGTACACCCCCGAGTCTCCGCCGTGCTTGAAGCGGTGGATGTTTTTGATCTTGATGCCCCACAACGGGTCAGGAAGCCAACCCTGCAATACGAACGAAGAAAAGTCCTTTGATCCACCTGCTGATGGCCTCAAAAGGCGGAAAAAGTGCTTCAACGAGATACTGAGCGCAGATAGGCGTGTTTGTCCGACTGCAACTACGAGGTTCTCCCTGATGAGGTCGTCCGACCAGATTTACAAAAAGCGGCTGCAGAGTATGTCACTTCTGTTGAATTTTCGGCAGGGCAAGCTTACGTCCTGAGTTGGGTAGCTCTGGGCTCCATTGATGAGGATGGGCGCCAGCAGCGAGAAAAACAGGTTGACACCGAGGGCGCGAAAGCCTGCAGCACGGGACCCGGCAATCGCATGTTCGATATCTACGAAGTTTGGAGACTCCAAGTAACTGCGCTTTCCAGAACACTGCCAGGTCAGCTCAGCGGGACTTACACTTCGAGCTTCGGAAGCCAAGGATAAACAATCAAGAAGACGGCTCCGACCAAGCAATGGCCCCATGCCATGAGCTCCAACCGTGACTTATATCGTGGATTGTGCTACTTGCGACCTTGATAATCGGTTCAACCTTCATTACATGTACGTCACTTCTGAGTCACCAAGTCACCAAACTTCTTACGGGGTAGGCGAAGCTTTACTCAAAATACAAGAACGATCGAAGCAAGTGTAATAGCCTCCAAGGAGAGCGTCTTTAGATAAATATTTCAGCTGCTGTAGAAGGCCTTCAGAAGATAAAACCGATCCGGCATACTAAGCATTGCAGACCGTATTACCTGCAAACGTCTCCCACGGCATAATGACCCCATCCTTGTTCCTGAAAGCAAACATATTCGCGGCTTCAGTGAGTAAGAAAAAGCAAGATAAGTTGAAATTTGCATCTGAAGCTCGATCAAGCCAGAGGCACTTCAACGCTTCCAAGTCCAGCTCACAAACAACACCTTGACCGTTGAAGGCTCATGAACAGACACACGTCCAAGCAAACAGGCAAATTCGAATATATCTGACTACTGAAGCGGTCGCAGCACCTGTCAAAGAACTCGACGTGCTGCTGCATCACGCTAAGCCCCTTGGGGTCGTAGTAGTCAGTGGAACCATGAGGCTGCTCGCGGCTGGCCGCTATTTGGGCTTGGGGCGCACCTGTACCACAGAAGTCGGTATTGAGTCGGAACTGCACACATTTCTGTGATGGCAGACGTTCAAAGAGGGCACACAGGATGCAAATGCAGGGAAGCTGGTGTTGAAAGAATGTGTAAGTGTTTACAGTCACAAATGCAAGGAGCAGCATGTGATCAGTGACTTGGAACTAGCTATGGACCATGGAGAAGGCGGGCAATAAAGTGAGCCAGCAGCTGAAAAAGCCATTCGACTGCCTCAGAACCACTTTTTGGGTAGTTGAGATTTTGAAACGGTACACTAAGAGGAAGAAGGAGGCAATGAAGCGCCTTGCATTGTCTTATGGGAGCTGACTAGCAGATCAGCAAGTCCTCTTGACACGTTACAAAAACATTGGGAAGTCGGTTGTGAGCATCGATTCCAAAAGTAACGCTTCAACAGATGTACCCCCTTGCAATCAATCACCGTTCCTGTTTGCCTCCGATACTGGCAACCTAATAGCCTCAGATCCCCGCATCCAGCCAGCAGAACCACTTTGAGATGGGTGCCACAAGACTAGGGGGTTGATGCCATTTTTGACTCATCGATAACCATACTCAATGGATCGAGCTGTCATTTATCCACCAGGTGAAGTGGTGGGCCAAAAAAGCACATCAAGCTGCTCACATAAGCCCTGCATGTAACACCATTTGCCATGTGGAAACTGCGCAAAATTTTAGCCTGTAATCATGGATTTTTCCAGTCCAGCTCAGCTGCCGGGTTACTAATTAAGCTCAGACATGAATCAATGGCATTGCCGCCCCCGCTGCCACGGGTCTTTCGAGCTTGGCACCGTACCTGGATTCCCCTCGAGCTGGGCCTCCAAACGCTTTGGAGCTGGGCGACGCGTCGTCACTGGGGCCCCAGGCGCGACGTCCGTGTGCATAATCTCTGCATCAGGGGCCATATTGCGTGCCTGTGGCCTAACTTTACCGCTTCCGCCCGGGACTCACAAGCTGCGCTGAAAAGGAACTCCGAAGTGCACAGGGATATACGGTAGCTCGTTTGCACACGAGCGTTTGACAACAAGGATCTACAAGTACCTACTTGCAGCTACGCATCCCCATCAATTCCAAAGATCGAATGCTGCCCATACGCCACTGTCTGGAGTACATGCATAATGTTTGCGTATACTTTCACGTTAGAAGAGAAAAAGGAGCTGCGACATTGTCGAACTGCAATGCACAGATCGATGCATCATTGGAATTGCGTAGTCCTATCATCTATGCACATTTCGCCGGGCGATATCAGTGCATTGCTAGCTTGCAGCTCTCGATCAATCCAAGAGCGCCACGTGGAGGCTGGCGTCGCTCTTTACATGCTGGCCATGTGGCACAGCAGATTGCGAGGTCGAGTTACTGTCAACTGATTGAGCCGAACCGTAGATTTGCAGATGTGTGCAACTTCGACCGTCCGATGCGAGGCCTGCCAGTCCCAGTCCCAGTCCTACGTGCAGGCTCAGCTAGCACTGACAGCGCGCTGCTCGACTGAAAGCGAGCCGGTCTAAATCTTACTACAGCTTGACAATGACCGCTTTCAAGAACATAATTGTGTGTGCCATGAGAAGCGGGGGAGAAGCGTATCGACAACCGCCGGCTGCATTGGATGGGTAAGGCGCTCTCATACTACCCTATTGTTTTTGGAGATCTTGGCGCTCTCTTACGTGTTTTCAAATGCCGTAGCCACATCGGCCATGGGCTTCATGACCCACACAAGGAAATCATTCGTCGACTTTATGATCGGTTCTATGGACATCTCTTTACGAAATAAATGACTGGGCAACTATTTAACAGTGTTGCTCAAGCGGGCACTCCGGTGCATATGGCAAATTTCGATCAAAAGACGCTCAACGTACGCTTTTCAAGGCCCTGCACTTCGAAGCCCGCATGTGACTAGGACGGATTCACAACACAAATCGTGTAAGTTCTTAGATCCTAGGATCTGCATATACATTTTCGGCGTTCTTCTCCATCTCAGCATTGAACGAAGTCCTCAGTAGAGAGCTGTCTATTACCGCCGCCTGCCGACGGCAATGGTCAATTGCATCTTACTTTTGCGACAGGATCCGAGAAGGTCGGAATTAAATACACAAATTCAAAGTGGGCAGCCCGCTCTGACTTAAACTCGTTTTCAGACAGGATGGTCTTAAGAGCTTGACAAATGTGGATCGTAAGCAGGAGCTGCATGATGAACTCGAATAGATGCATGATGATCTGATGAGCTCGACAAAAGAGACAACCAACCGTGGTAGTTGACAGTTGTAGGGGAAGAAGCTTTGTCGGACTTGAGACAATCATGATCTGAACAAATCGTAAGCATGCCACTGGCGCACAATCCTGTCTCCATAACCTGCGGCAAGAATGTTCCTAACGTCTTTACCAATATTTCGACAAGTGACCAGTTATTCTCTGTATGATACAGCTACGTCATTCTGACCTTCCAGCAAAAATCGACAACTATCTTGTCCAGGCCATACCTAGGATCGAATCGGCTGTACTCCGTAACAGGGGAGTGGCTGTGAATTCTGAGTGGCGGCTGCCAGCTCACAACATGCACTGGCGTCAGCGCACACGAATCATCCTACAAATTCTGTAGAGGCGGATTTACCGCGTTTGCTTATAGCGCCGCCCCCGTGATGGACGCCTCCGTCTTGTCTAGCTTCCGCACCTTGAGGTTCCCGATGACGACTTGCAGCGCGAGGAAGGCGCTCAGCGTAAAGGCAGCGGTGGCAGCAGGATTGAGCGCGCGCGCCGTCGAGTAGAGGACAGTGCCCACGTTGAGAAGCGTGCCCGCCAAGATGGCCTGCAAGGGGGAATGGATCAGAGCGTCAGCACCAAAAGTCAATGACTTCTTCGCACCGTTGACACGAAAGGTCGGACTCTTGCAAAGAAACGGCGACCGACCAGCGGGCAAAAAAGTGTCTATAAAGGTCAGCACGAGACCTTTGCTTAAGCAGGTCCTCTGCGCAATGCTCCGCCAATCTTCTGACCAATAGATGGCTTATCCCGAGCCGGAATGCAGAAGCTACCAGCATCGCTCGCCGTCCTTCTGACCAAACCGATTCCACGTGTCCTCTTGCGTCGCCTGCTCTTGCTGCGCCTCACCTTGCCGATGTTGCTCTGCACCTGCGCGACCCGCTTGAAGGCGCGCTCCGACTCGAGCGTGCGCACGCGCAGCTTGAGGTCCCCCTGCTCGAGCGCGGTGACGACCTTCTCCAGCTTGGCCACGCGGTCCGGGCCGCGGAACAAGTTCGCAAACGCCGACGCCTGCCGGTCCCACCGCCGTTGCAGGTCCTGGCGCAGCGAACAAAGGACGAGCGGTCAGAGGAGAGGCACGATGGAGAGAAGAACCAAAGTCATACAAAGAAAAGCTCATCGGAGTTGTAGGAATTAAGCCAGAGAGATGACCAAGAAAACATGAAGAATATCAAGACCGCTCGTTCTCAAATGTAAGCAGAAAGCTCCTCCTGGTGCATGCTTGTCCCCCACCTCACTGACGAGCGCTCGTTATGCTGAAAAGGACGGCACCAGCTTGTGCAGCGCCAACGCAAAGTGGGTTGTGGGTCGCCCCTTACCCGAACGAAGATCTGCGCGCCCGCCTCCTTCAGATTCAGCAGCTCCTGCGCGTACGGCTTCGCGATCTCCGAGATGTCGAAGCGGGGGTCCAGGCCCTTGCCGATGCCGTCCAGGACTGGCAGGACAAGCAACGAAACCGACGGTCAGGCGGGAACAAGACCAAAATGAAAGGAGCTCGAGGAGAATGCCACACGTCTTTCCATCGCAGCACGTTGCGACAAGAGCACGGCAGTCCCACTTGGCGGCAGCTTTCACACTCGACACCCAACCGTCGTCTACTGAGCATCCGTTGACATGCAGCCGACCGAACGAACTATCAAATCCAACGATCGTCGGCCCGTGCTTTCGCACTAAAACCTTTTTGAGTCCGTGCATGGTGGGCTCACTGGAGAAGGCCCTGACGACGAAGGTGAAGGTGGCCGGGAAGCGGAAGGGCTGGTCCGCAGACAGCGCGAGCAAGTCCTCCCCAATGGCCGCCAATCGCTGCGACCGCTTGGTTGTTTTTTCCTCTTTGCTCAGCTGTTTCTTGAACCATAGCCGCCGCGCCTCCTTCTCAGCGGCCTCCTTCTCTGCGCGCTGCGATTTTAGCCGCTCCTCGAAACTGCACGAGCATCACAAAGCGGCATCAGTCTCTCGGCCAGATTGTCCGTCGAAGTCTCCGACGACAAACGTCCAAGAGGTTAGATGAACGGCCAGTGCTCTCAGTGTGCAGAAAGAAGGTAGCAACTGACAGGGTTCTGAGATGAAGCCACTCATTCTTTAACAAAGTGACGCAGTCCAAGCGCTCAGCAATCCAGAGCGTCGCCGGGACCGTTCTCGCTCCTCCATTTACCGCTCAACAGGATGATGGCTCCACAACGAATCGGCCACAGCCAGACAGGACGTACAGAAACATTGTTAGCCATCCGCCAGCCAGTTAGCAAAACTTCTAACCTTTTTAACCTAGTGCTCAACGGCCTTGTCCAAATCCAAGAGAATATCGAAGTGGAGACCAAGCCTGTGTCTGAGCCGCCCACCTGTTGAGGAAGAACTGCGCGGTTCTGCGCACGGCGATCATGTCTCCCGTGGGTACCAGCACGCCCATCTGCACCATCGCGTCCAGCACCTGCACAGGGAGCGCCACGTGTCAGCCGCTAGCAGGATGTGGATGGAGCGCCTCCATAGAACGCGACGGCGGATCCAAAAACCGAAGGTTGAAATCCACGGTTGCATGCCAGCAAGAGGAAGCGGAGGTTAGGGCAGCGATTTAAAAAGGCACGGAACCCTTTCCCTCTATTTTGATAAGCAGAAACGCCCCTGGTCGCTCTCTACAGGATTTGTAAGGTTTGTTTGACTTACTGAGACTGATCAAGCGTTTTGAAACAGATTTCGTGCGGAACACTGACATTGACAAAACATGACAAAACATTACCGTACAAGTCTTTCAATCCATTACAGCTACAAAGTTTGACGCCCAAGAATTTGCATGCAAGGGCCAATCATGCATTGCGGCAGCCCGCAGAGGCACCGCTCACCTTGTCTGCACTCTTTTGGTAGACGCCGTAGAAGGCGTCCACGAGGCCCTCCCGGATGTTGCTGCTGATGCTGCCCATCATGCCAAAATCGTAAAAGATGAGGCGCCCGCCCCCCTGCGCGTCCACCGCAATATTCCCAGGGTGGGGGTCCGCATGGAAGAAGCCGTGCTTCAGGATCTGCTGCAGGTACGCCTCCACGCTGAGCCGCGCGAGCCGCTTGCGGTCGATGCCCACCTCGTCGATTGCCGCAATGTTGTTGATCTTGATGCCGGGGCAGTACTCCATTGTCAGAACCTGCAGCAAACAGGTCCATGCTTGAGACTACTCTGGGCTGATACGAGTGGAACCACTCCCAATAAGGAAACTTTGAATCATTGGGGTTGAATCACGTCCTTCTCCAAAAACCTTTTGTATCGCCATGGCTCAGTCGGCGAGCAGCAAAAGCTACACGAGTATACTCAGCGGCTTTTCCGTGCTTACCTGGGGCGTGGTGTACTCCCAGTAGATCTTGGGCACCTTCACCCAGTCGAACTCCGCAAAGTTCTTGCCAAAGCGTTCTGCGTTGCGGCCCTCATTGCTGTAGTCAATCTCCTGGAAGCCCATAGAAGACCTGTCAGTTCTTGAAATAAAGCCACACCTGATGACGGCCAATGAAAGGCCCTCATACCCAGCAGGAGCTGTAGGCCACTGGGCTTTGCCCATAGCGCATGCCATCGACCCCTACGCAAGCCAAAGATGATCAAATTGACCTTCGTAATGCGCAGTGGCCATTTAAACAATGACAATTACAGCCACCATGCTTTTGCTGCCAGCATGGGGCTGGTGCGCACCTGGTACAGCAGGTTGGCGCACTCATCGTAGATGGCCACCCAATCACGCTTGGCGCCGTCCGACTTGGGGTCGATCTTCTGCAGGTTTTGCGCAAGCACCTGCAGCCAAGACCCAGCTTAATATCAGCCCCAGGGCCCAGGTGTTGCCAGACAAGCTGTTGAAACGGCTTGCTTGTCCTCCTGATACCCTCTTCAAGACACCACTCTCTTCCAATTGTGCGCCCCTGCGACACTTAAATGCAACAAAGCCATCACCCAGCCACATGTGTCAGGCCTCTGCCTTTCACCAGCCACAAGAATCGACACACAGTGACTTGAGCAGAAAGCGGCCATCATGCGGCGAATAGAACATATCCGTAGGGGACAATGCCTGGCGGTAGTCCTTCAACACACTTTCCCAAAGCCACATCTCCCTGGGCCTCCAGCATTAACCCTTTGACAGGATAATGCTCGCACTGACAACGCAAAGCTCTCCACCAAGCTTCCTGACGTGCAGCGCATCACAATCTGATGGGGGTGCCACTAACTTTCACACCCAACAGCACTCCTTCCCCCAAAAACATTCCTTTCCCCAATATGAGCTCACCCGCAGGTTCTTGAGATCGATGTCAAACAGCGCCTTGAGCCCTGGCCGCTGCACCTTGACCACAACCTCGCGGCCGCTGATGCGCGCGCGGTGTACCTGCCCCAGCGACGCTGCCGCAATGGGGACGGGGTCAAAGCGCTCAAACAGCTGGGTCACTGGCGCGCCCAGCTCTGCCTCCACAATTGCCACCGACGTTTCACTGTCAAACGCAGGGACTTGGTCCTGCAGGGAGGCGTGTGGGGCCATGCTTAGCGAACGCGGTGGGGCGAGACAAAATATGGGCGGTAGAAACGGCAGGGGCAACTGGATCCTCTATGAATGTGCCCTGCCTTCTACAATTGTTGCCCAACAATGAGCGGCGCTCATGTCAAGCACACTGTCGGGTCGCAAGCGCAGGCAATAAGGGCAACACACAAATTCTTGTTGACACCGAATGGTGGAACAGCATGCTGGCGCTAACCTGCAACTGGGAGAGCTCGTCAATGTACTCCTGCGAGAGCACGTCCACCCTGGTACTGAACTGCTGCCCAATCTTGATGAACGTCGGGCCCAGCCGCAGCAAGCCCTCCTTGAGCCACAGCGCGAGCGCCTGCCGCCGCGACTTCTGCAAAGGGTTGTGGAAGATGGAATGAGACAGCTTTCTAAAGTGACAGGCTGCGCCGTTCAAGCGCTTGAACTTCTTGGCACCCTTATGCACTTTGAAGAGCCCAGAGTAAAGAATTGCGAGAGGTAACACACCCAACAATCACAGACTGGACTCCCTATTTTCACACACAGAAGTCTACAACCTGAAAATTAAAACCTGAATTCTAAAACATAAAACCTAAAACCGCAGCCTTTTTTTGTAGCCCTGCTGTAGGTGGCACCAGAAATATGCCTCAACTGGTGACTCCGACAAGCTGGCACTGGCATCCCTGCAGCCTCCAGCCTGACTGCCCCATGTGCCACCTGTCAGAGACCATCAGCCATTGCCAGTGAGCTTACCTGCTTCGCTTCCGTCATTCCCCCTCGGTACGACCGCTTCTGCTTGATCAACAAGAAGCGCACCACAAACGTGGCCACAAACGACCAGATCTCAAAGGTCCTCTGGATCGTCGAATAGGTCTTGAACTTGTTCCAGCGCCCGCCGGGAGTCACCGACACCTGAAGGGGCACAACAATAGGGAGTCAGACATGAAACTAAGAGCACTAATATAACATGATGGAGCTGCTTGAAATCAAGGCTTGGATAATCTTTCCTGCACAGAGCAAACTCACTGAAGAATGTTTTGAAGTATAGCCAACCAGCTGCAAACCGCCAGAGGCGGATCAGATACCGCAAATGCTGTGCGGTGATCCAGATGTTGCCACTCAGTTGCTCACTGACAAGAAGTCGACCCTCGCCAGTTAAGAACATACCTGCGGCTTTCTGGCTGCCTGGGGCCCCTCCTGGACCTCCAAAACTGGAGCAGCCGCAGGAGTCACAATGACCGGCTTGTCTACCTGTGCAGCCCCGTTCGCACTGGTCAGCACAGCCTCCACAGCTTGGACAGAGGTTTTGCCATTGACAGGGTTTGCCGCTACCTTGTTTGGTGATGCCAGGCTGGCCTTCTGTGAAACCTTCTGGATCACTGCTGCAAGCTCACTCCTCTCCCTCTCCACAGATGGATCCAACGGCTTCCCGTTCGCGCTCGGCCTCTCAAGCGCCTGAGCCTGGAGCTGCTTCTCCAACGAAGCAATGAGCTCGGGCGTCACGCTCGCCTCGTTAACCGCTCCGTTCTCGCTCTCTCCTCTGCCCCCACCTTCCACTATCAACTGAGCACGGGGCGCAGCATACCGGCTTCTTTTGAAGCCAGCCCCACTCGCAGCAGCCGGCACCAGAGTGCGCCCCGAGAGGAAACCTTTCTCTGACAGGTTGGGGCGCACCAAAGCTAGCTTTACTCTGGGGGGCAACAAAGGGCATGCCGCTGACGACGCCCGCACATGCCGCTGCGATACTGCCTGGCTGCAGAGGCCCGTGCAGGACGGGCCCGACAGTCGCGCAGCGTTGGCAGCCGCCATGACCAAGACGCCTATTTCCGCAGCCGGTCAAGTAGAAGCGAGACCCACCCCCCTGTTCAACGGGACGCCCTGCCCTTGCACTGCTGATCAAGCGAAAGGAGAGATCCGTCGACTTTCCGTTCGAGAACAGACGCTGAACCAGTGCCACAACCACTGCAAGGTCATGCACGGAGCCTGGACAAGTTCGTAGCCCCACGCTTGTGTGCTGTCCCTTGCTGATGTCACTGCAAATCTCTTGGTCGAACCTTCGCACCTTGCTGGCCAATACAAACCAAGATATCGATACGAACTGTGTGATCCAAAATGTCAAATTGTCCACGTGGTCGCTGACATGGCGTTCACTTTAGGGGGATCGGGATGCACTTTTTGAAGCACCGGGAAAAATATCGTGCCAAAATCTACCCATGGGCGCGAACATGACACACAAGATCTCGATCGGCTCTGATCCTCCGAGTCTCAGTCACCCCGCTTTCACCTAGCAAAGCACTTCCCAAGCAATGCATCCTCACGCACGACTTCGAAACTCTGTTTCGGGTCAATGGCCGGCCAATAGACAGACTCTTGCTACTTCTTTCCTTTGTCTTGTTGGAGCATTAAATTCTCCGCTTGAGAGTTTGCTTGATGGTCGACTTATGGCATCAAACTGATAATGTTTGAATCCAAGATTCATACGCAACTGAGTAGACAAGTGTCCTTTTTCACAAGACCGTCAGCCCGTTCGAGTAATCACCGACGCTATGGGATAAGGGTATTGCTGCTGCGAGTAGGAGGCATATGCAGGTATCACATGATTGGAAAAGCCACCATAGTTTCAACATATTTCAACAAGCTGCCCTTGTCGAGATCTCAAATGGAGTCCTTAAAGCTGGTCCGACAACAGGCTGCAAGCACTGGAAAAGCAACGGGTCATCTAAAAGTTACACCTGCTCGCTTGGATACCTCGTGTCCATCAAAGCTTGCTACCGTGCTTCGTGTTCAACAGCAGATTAGACAGAACGGCTACTGATAGTGGGCTCAGTCTTCTAACTTAAGCAACTCGATGTCAAAGAGCAACGTCTTATCAATGAGGCCCTGATTCTTGAGGACGAAGTCCAATGCGCGCTGGCCCTGTATTAAGAAAGGGAGCATTGAATCAGCACATTTTAACCTTTAAGTGCATCGAGTGAACGCTAAGTCTGCAATCGCTCTCATCAGACGAAAGTCGCTGCAGTTGAGAGACGCAAGCCTTTTCTTCCATTTCTCTAAGGACAAGAGAGCAGCCAGATTGTCCGTACTGGTCAGTAGGAGGCTTTCAAAAGCCACAGCCTCCTCGGTGTTGATCACACCCGCCATGCAAACCCTGGACACAGAACTAGCACGTACCGAGAATGTTTGGGGCTGCGGCCCAGCCTTGGAGTAGTCGTTGTTCGGGTAGCCAAGCTCGGGGGGCACAATAATCCTGCAAGGCACGCACAACCATCACCCTTATCATGTGAGCATCACCCGAGCTAGTTAAACGAGCCCATGATCCTCAGGTATTAGCAATAAGCGCGCTCGAGCACTACTACCCCTGCGCCTGGAAGCCGTTCTTTTTGACCAGTGGCTCACCTTCGTATTGACCCTACACGCATCCCAGCCACCGCTTCTTCAAAGGCTGGAATGACCTGCACCCAGCAAAGCCAGACCCGTTTTCTGTCGGCCTTGCACATGTTTGTGAAAGGACAGTCCTAACTTCGTGTGTGCTCTTGCAAGACGGCCAAAACGTGGTACAACACAGGGACGGAATACATTCTGCCGAAAACCCTGTCAGTACGAAACCAGATGATGGGTCCGCCGCAATCGGTCAGCTCACCTTGTTGTCCCCCAAGCGGAACCTGTAGAAATCCTTTTCAGACCCCTGCAGCCACAAGCATGTCGGGGGTGAGCGTCCAAACAGCCCAGCCGATATTGCCCTTCGACTTGCCAAATGTGGAGTCCGCCAAGGGCCAGGGCAACGGAAGGCGCGCACGTTTGCAACAAGCGTTCCTTGGGATCTATCTAAAAGATGTATCTAATCGTCTACGAATTACACAATCTTCGTAAGTCAGCCTTTGAATCTAGCAACTGAAGCTATCCAGCACAGGTGCGCTCAAACTCGTTTTGGAACAGGTCGCACGATGCGCCCACCTCGAAAGAGCCTCCCCTCGACTTATTCCGAGCCTCGAAAGGGCGGCCCAAGTACCCGATAGTGTACCCATCCCAGTCGACCTGAAAGACAGCAAGAAGGGCCTGTCTAGAAGGGCGGCAAGCCACATTTCGAGTGGGTGACTTGCCTCGAAAGAGCCACCTTTAGCCTTGTTCCTTGCCTCAAAGATGCGGCCGTAGTAGCCAATGGTGTATCCATCCCAGTCAATCTGCAGACAGTGCATCGGGGAAAGGCTTTCCCAGCAACCCAGACGGATGAAAGTACATAATGAAGAGGTGCAGCTATTACTGAGGTGAAAAGGGAAACATGCTGCATCACAGCCTGGCAACCTGGAGAGTACTTTCGCATTTACATCAGTACTCAATACTCGTGTCCTTAATGGCAGCCAAGCTGCAGCAGGGATGCGTTTGCTCACCACGGCTACTTGCCCTTTCTTAGCTTGTGGTCCAAGCCCTGGTTTCAACTCCTGCAGGGGTAGGGAGTCCAAATGTTGCATCAGAGTCCAGCTCAGTCCAGTAAACTACATTGAGCCACACAACATGCAGCGGGCATGTTGATAGCTTTCACATAACAACAAACCTGTCTAGAGCTGCATTTGCTTTCCCTTGCTTTCTTCAGATCCATACTCAAGCTCCCATGACTGTACTTTGGTACAGGCCGGAAGACTGTGAGCTTGAAGCTGGGGCTTGCACAGAAGTCCACGATGGGCCTCCGTAACGGTTAGCCGTCATCAATCCTTGACCAAGCGGTGGTTCAAGTAAGTACCATCGAAGGTTGTTGAAGACTGCAGCCCTCAACAGTTGGGGAAGCGGGGCACGTGCTTACCTTGTACTGCAACCCGGTTTCAGTCAGGATGTAGTCAGGACCGGCCCTCATCGCAGACTTACCGTAGTCTTTGCCTCGAATAGCGGGCACTGCACACGCAAAGAGCTATCATCAGATTTTTTTTCTGCAGAAACTTCCGCCATCCTCTCAGCCAAGCCAGTATCCAACCTTAAGAGCATCAAGAAAGATCACAAGTGCCATGGAGAGCTTGGTACAACGAGGACATATAGTACGGCAGTACAAAGGAGGGCGCCCGTTGTTTACTCACTATCGGTGAATTTCCGGTTTCCTTCAGCAGCATTTCCTTCAGCAGCATTTGCTCTTCCATAATGAGCTGCAATTGCCGACGCTGCTGCCGCTAGCGCCAGCAACACCTGCCGTCTGCCCTCTGCGTGTGTAGCAATTGGCAAGGCGCCCTTCGCCGACTCGTCTTGCCTGCTGTCGGCTCTTACTGAGCTCACACCTTTTCTAGAACACTGGCTTCTCAGATGTACATCTAATGATGGTCCCTTAGATAAACGAGCACATTTCTCAAATCGTTCTGCCGCCGTCCTCAAGCATGATTGCTTTGGAAGCACAAACCTGGGGCCACCCAACGTTAGAGCATCCGAAGCCATTCTGGGTCTGGGCTTGTCAACTCTTGACCAGCGGTCCCCACCTAGTCACGTCCAGAAACTCACGAGAGACCAAGTTCCATCTCCAGCTCTCTAGAGTCTAGTAGTAGATGCTGACGAGTGACAAGAGGTTTGCAGACGTGAAAGGACGTAGGTTTGCTAGTCTTACGATATGCGTCATTGATGATGTCACACAGGGTTAACCTCCTAACGCACACTAAAACCCTAAGGGTAATATTGAGCAGTAGCCCGGTTTTTAACAAACCCTAAGGCGTTCCGCCAGAGCGCACCCTTACCCACCCTAACCCCCCAGCTAACCCCACCAAGATCACAGGTTTGCCCTCATTGTAACCGGAATCTGCCCCGAGCACTTCACCGCACCCGGTGAAACCTGGCGGTACCAACCATACCGACAAGTACCGTACCCCACCACTGCTATCGCTGATGTCACCGATGACGTAGTTTTGAAGACTAGCAAAGTTATGTAGTCTGCTGGGTGAAAGCGTTCTCCAGGTGAATATAAGGGCTCGTGTCGACAGACTTCTTATGAAATCTCAACTGACGGTGATGACCCCGGCACTCCAAGCTTGGTACAATCTTGATATTAAAGTGAATTAGCGTAGGTAAAGAACGGTACCAGAGGAAGCCCCAATAACCCTCCGTGTTGCGTAATAAGCGTCCAGAGTGTTGTCCGCTTTGCCCGCGTATTGGAGATATATTCCAAACGCTCTGTTCTGCTGCAGTGAAGTTGCGAAATGTTGATCAACAGTGAAGAGCTGCAGGAGGAAGACATCATTTGTCATCTAAGCCTAAACCTTTCAAAGCTCCGAGCATCACTTTTATTTGCTGGGACCTAGACGCAGAGCCCAATCCTTCTAGCTGTTGTTGATCACTGACTTCCTTTCAATGGACGGTGTCTACTTCTCTTCGATGGCGGCGGCCGCCTCAGCAGCTTCCGACTGCATCACTCGCAGTGCTTTCGTAGCAGCCACACGGCATTTTTTGAAAAACCATGAGCATCAGCTGCACACCCAGCAGCCTGATCGACCTTATCACTCCAGTCCACAGACGCAGAGCAGCTCCTGTGGTGGTGGAGGGTCTGGCATGTTTGGAGCGGGCGTCGTATTAAGCCGCCGACGGAGAGGGATGCAATGCCGTGCATCGAGCGGAAGGGAGGCCAGTTCACTGGATCAAAGTAGCAAAGCATTGGTGCCTGGGCCAATGTCATTCGGACTATTGCGGTTAAATTGCGGGGTTGCGGCGCTAGGTGTTGCGACCATCGGTATGGCAATTCAAACCCCATTTTGCTTCTTCTGCCGGCTGACGTGATCTTTCTGGATGGCTCCATTTTTTGACCATTGATGGATTAGTGATGCCGCGGGGAGAGTCCTCTTTGCAGAATGTACAGCTCTAGTTGCTCATCAGAGTTCGTTTCAATTGCAGTACTTGCTGCGCTTAATCCTAGCCTGATGAGGCAGCTGCTCGGTTGCAGGAAGATCGAAGTTAGATGTGACTCGGGGGAAGGGACGGTCTAGCAGCTCTCGCCGGGAGTGGGAGAGGTCTGAAGACCGGGAGCCCCATATCCTGGAAAGGCTGCTGGCACCGTTCAGGGATCGGGGACGTTTCTGGACCAACGTGTTCCTAGCAGCGAATATTGTGTAAGTGACAGCCACGGCCCTTGTACAGTCTCTAAACTGTTTAGCAGAGCCTTCGAATATTCCCCCGCGGACGCTTGCTTAGCATCGATTCACATACTTTTCGAGAAGCACGTCAGCCGGCTCCTGTCCAATGTGCCTGGTTGAGTTTGTGCCAGTGGTTTCTCCAGTCAAAGCTAACCGCAAACATGTCACGTTGTTGCCCTTACTACAAGACGTACTATAAAGCAGGCATCCACCCCACTGTCTTTGCAGTGTCTTCATGGGCCAGCTGGCCTTGGGGAGCGATCGTGTCGTGATGTGGGGCGCAAAAGTGAACGAGTTCATAGACCAGGGACAATACTGGCGCTTCATCACGGCAAATTTCCTTCATTCTGGAGTCAGCCATCTGCTGGTGAGGGGCAAGTGAAACGGCGTAGTAGACTGCATGAATGTCCAAACAGAAATAAGCCAAGGATTTCACAATAACCGCACGTTGTGTAATTTTGTGTCATTTCTCAACTCGAGTGTCTCATGTTCAGCCCTGTTACTCATAGCCCGTCTGAAATGAAGTTTGCAAGGCAAGAAATCAATGGTGCCTCTTTGGAAGCCCCAAAGGACTCCCTCTTTCTCCAGATGAACTGTTACTCGTTGAACAACGTTGGCCCATCCTGGGAGCGCATTGCTGGGGCGCCCCGCTTCCTGACTGTGTATGCAGCGGCCAGCCTGGCCACTGTGCTGGCCAGCTACAGTTTCACCCCGCAGCCGTCCGTGGGGGCATCGGGGGCCATCTTTGGACTGGTGAGATCGCTGCTGGGTGACGAGAAAGATGCATGATCAGAACGGTTTAGCGAAACAACGGTCCAGCAAGTTTTCTCTGCCGTTGGTTCTTTGACGGACCAGTCATGTCTAGCTGAAGAACCCCACAACGTTGCCACTTTCTCTAGGGAGAGAGTCGTGCACCGCTTGGCAGTTGTCCCGCTAGCAAGTCATTCGGCTTTAACGTTCTAGCGGCTCCTTGTCCTGGCCTGCAGTAGTCGGTCTTGTCTTACAGTGACCTTGCATAAAGGGACAGGGATTCAAGTGGACTGAATTTGTGCCCAGGTGGGGGCCCTGACCGTGTTCTCCTACCGGTACATGCGCCTCTTTCGGAGCGGGGAAGGCCGCGAGCTCTTCAACTCGCTCGTGCGCACTGTCGCTGTCAACGCCCTCCTTGGGGTGGCCATCCAGCGCTGGGACAACTGGGGCCATGTGAGCATACCAGCAGTGTACGGCCATGAGATTGAAAATGCGGACTAAACACTTTGGTTCATCGTTGGCCTCAGCATTGCTCGTGATGGCACCATAAAGGTCACATGGTCAGCGTCAGCGTCCTCCGCTGGTCAGAGTCCGGCGGTGTGGGGCATGCTTGGGTCAGTCAGACATCTCTTTGATGTGAGCTGATGAAATAGAATGGCATGTCTTTACAGGCAGGAGGTTTCCTCGGCGGAGCAGCTGCAGCCTGGATCCTGGGGCCTTCGTATGAGGTGAGGAAACCAACTTCGAGAGTGTTGTTCATCAAGCGAGGGCCTTGGACAGCTTGCTATATGGATAGGGCGGTCTTGTACTCCGATCGCCCAGGAATCTCGGGGCTACTAGCTTCCATCTTTAAAGTAATTGTTTGGGTCAACAGGGCCGATTGCACAGGGGCTGCAACAGGTGTCTAGAGTGCCAGACACTTTTGCAGTGCTTGTCGCAGTCCACTTTGCAGGATGCGACCATTTTATGCGTCTACTTCGACCCATTTTGACAGCGCTTCAGGGCCTTTAGTGTTTCAATTGGATGCGACCATGTCTTCTCAATCCTGGCCAGAAGTCATCATTCGGTCTGGTCCAGGTTTCCTTGCCCTAGAATAGCATCTGGCGGTTTTTATCACAGTAGGCAACAGCTCTTCACGTCAAGCATCAGAGCTGGTCATTGTTCATTGTCGTGCAGGTGAACTACTATGCGGGTTTGATGGTAGACCGGCCACCCTTAAGAAGGCTACTGGATCAATTTGATAAAAGCAACGGGAAGAAAGATACGCCGCTGTGATAACAAATATCTTTAGCAGTAGGTCTTGTATAATATCGCAAATGTTGCCTCAAGCTGAGGCAGGCAAATAGTACCGATCAGCAGCTTGCAATACTGCAGTCCCTTTATGTAGAGGTGATCAACAGAATTGAAGCCACTACTGAAAGACGTTTACAGTTCTCTGAGGCTCGCTGGAAGATACCTGGAATATGAAAGTGTACATTGCAAGTACAAGTAAAGAGGGTCCCATGCGCCTCATGAGATCAGTCACGCCTTCCATTGCATGCGACTCCTTTGGTCGAAGAATTGCATTGTAAAAACCCACATACATGCATTGTTCGATAATCACAGCTGAAGCCGCGCTGCTTTGTCATGCAAGTCGAAGGGAATTATCGCTCCATTCGCTATAAGGCTTGTGCATGATCACATGCATCGTCTTTACTCAAAGGTCGCAATTTCGCTTCGCCGCCATGCCAGCAATCTAGTGGCGGATAGACATAGCTAGCTGGATTGCAAATCTCAATTAACCGGTACGTGCATGCGGGCCACTGCAAGCGCATGCATTTGTGAAGGTTGCGCGCAACTTTGCCCGATGGCTCATGGCATGATTTAGGTATTGCATTACGCGGATGGCCGACTCCCAATACATATACGAACCAATTTGATGGCCGATCTCACTAGGATGCACATGCAGGTCTTGATTTGACGCAGGCTCGCTTTATATAGTGATAGCCACTGAGTTAACGCATAAAATGATGCACCGTCGTTCGAAATTGCCAACAGATATAGCCCATGATTTGCACCATTCGTAAAATTAACATTCAGCCTTTTAGTAGACATTAGAACCGTACCGTCGTAAGCTTATCATGATATCAGTTTATACAATTGGGCCCCATGCAATGGTTGGCCGGTGGCCGGGCAGCTAGATTAACACATGCTCGCCAGGATCGATCATTCTGAGGTTCATGCAAATTGCTTCTTGATCTGCTATGCAACTCGATGTATCATTATACCAGCGAAAGACTGCATTTAAGAATAGCACACAGATGTGTGTAGTAGGCAAAGCAGATTACATGTGCTTGCGACCATAATAATCGCAGTCTCTGCATCATACAAAATTGTAGCATCCTCAGGTTTTATATCTGCTTGTACACAACGGTTCAAATTGAGTTTTCAGTAGGAGGAGGCTGACCACCTCCGGATCCTTTTTAAGTTTACTGTCATATGTACACCTACTACTTAACCACCATATGTATAGAAGTTCTAATAGGATCCGCAGATCTGTCTCTCGAGATATGTCCAGGAATGTCCGTTTATTATCCACAAGGCTAATGTGCTGCCGCTCATTTGCCAGCCGTACTGGAATCTTAGTGTTGGGTTTCCGACGAGCTTGATTCCGACTCCAGCATGGCCCATCCCTCATCTTCAATTTCCCCTTGGTCGAAGTGAGGACCGACCTGCTGCTGGAAGACCCCCAGGTATTGGCTGGTCAAGTTGCTCGGAGAAGGGCCATACAGGCCCATGTGAAGAGCCTGCGCTGACCCTACATCAAAGGCCTCCTGGCTCTCGACAATGTTCGAAGCAGTGACCCCGCCTTGGTTCTCCCGGTCTGCGACATAGTTGCTCGCATCTCCTCCCGGAGCCTGGCTCAGTCTCATGCTACTGTTGGTGGACTGGAAGTTGGACTGAGCAGACAGCGACAGGAGTGACGGGAGCGACGACTGCAGGGAATGCTCACTGTCCCCTGCGGTGCTGTCGGAACTGGGGATAACTGCTCGAGGGTGCCCCTCAGCGTGGTCGATGTTTCCTGCCGGTGATCCCCCCTCGCTGGCAGAAGCGGCACTAACTTCCGGGTGGTCCGTGTCAGCCTCTGTTTGCGGCACCGAGAGAGTTTCTATCTCTGCAGCTCTGCTTAAGATGGTTTCTCCTTGAGAATGCGAGGAGCGGCGTAAGGCAGACCCTGCCTGGCCGACAGTCAGAAACGACGACGGCGCGAGCGGGCCGCTGAGCCCACTGCCGGAGGCCAGCCGCTCAACAGCCGCCAGGTCCTCACGGAGCATGGCCACCTCAGCCCTGCATAAGACATGCGCCGTTAGACAACGCGTTCACCAAAATAATCTCAAGGCAATCTGCCGTGAGAAGGCCTCATAGCAGTACGAACGAACAGCAAGCAGCTAGAGATGCATGTGACGAGGCAGGTCAACGGGTCTCCTGTTCAACGACAAGCAGAAAAGCAACTCGGCGCACCACCAAAATGCCTGGTTCACGAGGCTCACAGGGCTGACTCAGCCCAACATTTCAGCAAAGCATACCAAGCATTATGAGGATAGAACAGTGCGAGCATTTATGGACCAGGTTGCTTACAGCATGGAATCCACCATTGTTCCTTTCTCCATGATGAAGAGATGCAACTGCGAGGGGAAAGAAGGCTTTGTCATATAGGACGTCCTTCACACAGTCCTCAAATATCTTTTGACTTTGCAAAGCGTAAATGAGACAGCATGGTCAAGAAGACCGTCTTTGATTTGCAGATGACAAGCTCGAACGTTTGAAGCCCCGCAACCATCATCACTTTTGAATGCTTACAAGAAGCTGATATACCCAAGATGGTCCAAATTCATGCATGATCGAAACAAAGCGCTTCTATCTGAAGATGGGAATCGAACCCTCAGTAGCCTGACCGCTACGACCATGCTCACCTTGTTGGCCTCAGCCTCTTGTCTATCAAGGTCCGCCTTCTCTACTTCTGCCTTGTCCAACTTGGTTTGCACAACCTCAAGCGCTGCCTGGACCACAGCCCGTCGCTTGGCCGCTTCTGCGTCGGCCAGTACAATGGCAGCCTCTGTGGCCCCCATCCTCTCACGCAGGCCCACTTGCAGCTGCAGGTCAAGTCACATCAAGAACTATAAGCTCATGTGTTGGTGGGGGGCGCTTTGAGGAGCTTACCATAGGCTGCTCTTCTGTATTTGACCATCAGCCAGCTTTCCCCACATGGTTGCAAAAACCCGGTAGTGGAAACATAAGCATGTGCGACACTTAAGCTGGCATCAGCAAAGGTGTGAGAGGCGCTCTAATGTAGGTGTGAGAGGCACTCTGATGTATGCCGGGTCCAGAAGAGGGTTGAAGAATTGACCTCTATGGAGAGGCACCTCGAAAAAACTGTACATTACCCAGACTAGACACCATTAATGCCCTTTGGCGAAGTGGATTCTTCAGAAGGAATGCCCTTACGTGCTCCAATGTCGTCCTGATGGCCCTCCTCTCCTCCTGCAGGAGGGCCAGATTGCGGCGCAGCTCCTTTGCCTCCGTTCCCAGCATTGCCAACTCTCCATGGACCTCCCCGGACCGCCGCTCATTCTCTTCACTTAATCGGGCCACTGCTTGCTGGGTTTGCTCCATGTGGCGCTGCTCTGCATGTCCTGCCACATTGGCTCTATCCCTGGCTGCATCCAGCTCGACTTCCAGTGCAGCTGCAGTGTTGCGCATCTGGGCATAAGCCGCGAGTTCTGCAGCCAGTCTCTCCTGCACGTTCCAGCGAGGAGGACAGGTCTAAGACTCAACCTGAAGGATTGAAGACTGAAGGCTGCCATAGTCGACCACCTGCCCTACATGAGATGCAAGCAAGGTATGCTGGTAACATTGTCCACAGAAGGTGATCATCAAAAGGAGTTTCCAGCAAGTGCATGACATGACCAGATCGTCAGGAGGTTAGAACAAAGTACAAACTCAAGGAGGATGCAACATAGTTAGTGAACAAATGACGACGCGATTGGCAGACCAAGGTCACATCAAAGCCAGCTGTGAAAGGAAGGGCATATGAAAGGGGAGGGCCAGAAAGAAAGGGGCACCTGTCAGTGGTATTGCTTACCTTCTCTTGCACTGACTGTTGGACGAGCATCTCCAGAGTAGGAGACTGTCCTTGGGCAACTGTCTCTTGGCTACCGTGAAGAGTCCTCTCTTCAGGGGGTTCTATCCCCCTGACAGCCTCTTCCAAAGGGGCTTCCTCATGATTCCTCAGCGGCTCACTTGAACATACAGCTGGCCCCAAAAGCCCCTCAGGCGGACTTTCATGGGAAATATGAGCCTCAACATCCTCTGCCGAAGTCTCGGCGTCTAAGCAAGTGGACTGGTTCGCAGCCAATGCTGCTGCTTCCAGGTATGGGTTCCAACTGTCGAGAGCATTGGTCCCAGTCTCCTGAGAGGCATCGTGACCACTCTGAAGTTCGTCAGTCCCTGCTCCAGCGGAGGGACTACGGGTTTCCAACGGCTGACCTGCAAAACATCCAATACTAGAACACTCAGTAAACAAAGCAATGAACAAACGCAAGCGATTTTGAGCACTTGCAATGGGTGGACCAAGAGCTTGACAAGCTTCAAAGAGAAGCTCTGTAACATGGCAGGCTTTTAAACCATGGCAAAAGTTGGTATCACATAGACTACGGTTCAGAATTGCTGAGAGATCATTTTTGTTCTGCAGACCTGAGCATGCTTCAAAGAGGCACTTACCTTCACTGCCACGTGACAAGCATGCAGGGTTCTCATGTACATGCGCTTCAGATGCTTCGCAAGCCAGAAAGAACGCAGCATCATCTTCATTCAGAAACCGTTCAGCTGCAGCACGAACGACGGTCCTGTCCAACTGCAGAGGAAGAAGCAAAAGATGAGGCAATCGCCTCCCCAAGCTTCTCTTATATTATTTGTATTAACAAGAAGTTGTGAAAAGCCTTGATGCTTGCAAACATGAGGTAACATACTATCCACAGACGTTTTCACTGTACATTCACCAAGAACACACAGCTCACGAAACTGTGATAACAAACGGCTGAAAGGAGGCAGAATAATGCTGCAGAATGCAAGACGCTACAGAGAATATTCCTCAGAGTGGAAGGACGTACCTGAGGAAAGCTTTCTCGAAGCCCAGCGTAAATGACACGCCATTCCGCCATTCCGCCACCTTGAAACCTTGCTAATATGTCCTCTTCAAAACTCCGACTTCGCATGAGAATGGCAATGCGATAGCAACTACCGTAAGGTCGTCTTCACATGCCTTCCTACTTCCCTTTAAAGGCTCTCATGTTAGCCTGGGCATTGCAGGCACCTGCCGCCATGGCGCTGCATCGTCCACTCGCGCGAGTCCCTAGTGCGTACACAGGCTACGCTTTGAAAGTGCTGTTGCCAATGCCATGCGTGACGGTGGTCACGGACCTGGTCACGTTCCGTTCATGCTGGAGCCTAGCTGGCCATGCAGCTCACATTTTATGCTACAGGTAGGTACCGTACCGTGTGTGTCTTATGCATACCGCATGGCCAACTTTTGACAAAATAGGCCGTACGATTCAAAAGCGATGCAATTGGACGATCAGCATTGACCAAAATCACTGATTTCATCAACCGGTTGGTACCAAGGAGTACGTACCGTACTGGGCAACTTGGCGGCTGGCAAGTAGGATAGGCGGCCGCGCATGATCCAAACCAGATCGCTTCCGGCGCGGCCGGCCGGCGGCCGCCCAGGCTCCAAACCAGCCTACATAAGTAGCTCGTGACTGAGCGGCCGCGCGCGCGCAGGTTGTATATAGTTGTATAGATGCAAACATAAGTTTGACGATCAGCGCCGACGCGCTTTCAAAGACTATATTCCGTTTCTTGGAACATTTCTGACGTGTCCAAGTGATTCTTTCGCGCTAGTGCCAGTAGTATTAGAATTTAGTGCTAGCTTAGTACGGTAAGTTTGTTGACCGGACTACCATCGCGGACCGAGCCCGCCCGCAGAGTGACTCTGGCAGGTGTCTTGCCACTCGAGCTATTGCCTGAGCTGGAGCAATGAGTGTCATACGTGAAATGAGGTGAATCATACTATACCAAAGAGCGCGTATTAGCTGATTCGAGGTTTGGAGGCTGGGAGATTGCAAGCGTTTAGACCGACCTCCTGCAACGCACAAAAGAGCTGTATGCAGATTTCAGAAGTTTACTTCCAACATACTACAGCAGGCCGGCAGCACGGCCGGCAGCTTGCCGCCAACTTGATGCACTTGAACGTACGTAGGCCCATTGTTTAAATCCACCGTTCTCGTTTAGCATATCTTGGCACTCCGGAGATGACGTCCTACTTGGCAGCGTCCCCTTAGACCCTTATTCCCTCATTGACAAGTTTCGAGGGTCTCAGAACACCTCTTTTAGGTAGCCTTGGGAGTACCGTAATAACATCTGGCGACTGGTTTGAAACCCGACGACATTGCATTAAGATCCCAAATAAAATCTCGAACGAAAAGAAGCCTAGTGTGCGCGTGACGGCTTGGAGGGAAGAATCTGCTGACGAAAGAGACATGCATGGACAAACATCGATGTTGTGGGGATAATAAAAACCTGTCCCCTAGGGCCATTACAGCAGTTGCTGGAGACTTCTCCAATATAAGCACTTACAGAAAAAGGCCGTCTGGTTGAGCGTTCATGAGAGCCTCCCCTGTTACACGACCTTGGTCTTTTCAAATTATGGGTGGCTTCAAGTTGCCTTGAATAGGGACACACACGCAACAAGAAGGAAGCACTGGCAGTACTAACCATCACGCTGCGGCCGACTCCTCCTCTCTGGATTCGGTCCCCGCACTTTTCAACTTAGCTTGGCAAAGATCCCTGACGTCAGGCCCGCAGCTTTCTAGGGGAGTGCCCTGACTTGGCCCTGCAATCCGGGTGCGCTCATAGCAGCCCCTGTTGTTGCTTCTTGAAGGGCAGAAGTAGTGGGACGGGTAAAGAGGCGCACACCACCAAGAATGACTTCCCAGGACGTCATGTCCCCATGTTCTACTAGCGGTCGTTCTGAGGGCCAGCTAAGCTCCCAAGCGGGACGCTGTCCCGTGTTTGAAGGGCTATACAACGCGAGCAAGCCAGGGCAGGAGCTAGTCAGGCTATGGCACGGAAGTGAACAGGACTTTGGCGCGGCATTTGAGCTTGGGGAGCTCGTGGGCGAAGGAGGTGAGGGCCTCTCGTTGTATTTGCACCCACAGACTTGGAGTGTTGTTCAGGAAAGTGAAAGAGAGTCTTCACAAGGCCCTCACTGGATGCAGGCTCTTCCACACCACAATCATGTCACCGACTAATGCCATGACGTGCTTTTGTCGATTTGTGCCTTTGACCATGTTTTTACGTGGTGAAAGGCAAGGAAAGCAGGCGGTACGAACAATGTTCTCAGCAAGCAACGTATGCGCCAATCTGAATCAACTCAGGAGTGGTGCAAGCAAAAAATTACTTCCCAGATGTGATAGTTGAATCGTGCAGGGTTTGCGGTTGTGCGGCGAGGCCGCTGTCCAGAATCCGGGGAGGACGTTGCGGTCAAAATTGTAGACAGGCAGCGCTATGGGAAACAGCATACGCAGAACCTGGATAGAGAAATCGCTATTCTGCAGCAGGTGGGTTGCTCCCTTGTTTTCACCAACTGCTGACATAATGCTGCCTTGCAACCGGTAGCGCGAGCTGCCCTCTAGCCCTCTTCGTCTTAACAGGTGGGAGATAGTAATGGGCTGGTTAAAAATGGTTGACTTTGTTTCCGTACCTGCAGCCTGTCCGGCTTTGAAGATAGATTGTCAAGTGGATCCCGTGAAACGTGTCCTTATACGATGGACGCAGATTTCTGTTTCTTTCGTGTGGTGTAGTTGGATCACCCGCACCTGGTGCGGCTGAAGCGCGTGTATTTGTCGCCCCCCCGCGTGTACATTGTGACGGAGTTGCTGACGGGGGGCGAGCTGCTGGACGCGTTGACGGTGTGCGGCAAGTACCCGGAGCCTGACGCGCGGCGCATGATGGAACAGCTGCTGCAGGCCGTCGACTACCTGCACAGCCACGGCATTGCGCACAGGTCAGCACCCGGCGCGTGGGGCTGCTGTGCCGCATGCAAACATCGATGCGCCAAAGTTATGAAATCCCACACAAGAGAAGTCCGGAGAGATGCGTAGTTCTTGAGTCTTGCTGACCAATGAGCCTCAATTTTTTTGATACTCAGAAATATCCTTCTGCTCCCCAAAAGACCGCTTCTGGGCATTATAGGACGTAAGATCTACGAGCAGTCTCCGAAACTGCTTGCTGAGGTTTTTCAACGGCTTTTAAAGTGATCTGCAAAGGTGAAAGTGATCTGCAAAGGTGAAAGCTTTCCGTTGGTCTCACTTCGCCCGTGCCTTCCGTCACGCCTCAGGGACCTGAAGCTGGAGAACCTGCTGTTGGCGACGCACGCGCCCGCGGCCCCGCTCAAGATCGCGGACTTTGGGCTGTCCAAGTCGTTCCTGGAGGACCCGCTGCGCACCATTTGCGGCAGCCCGCAGTACGTGGCGCCCGAGGTGCTGTGCGTGGGCCTGCTGCGCGCGAGCTACGGCTGCGCCGCCGACCTGTGGAGCCTGGGCGTGGTGCTCTTCATCCTGCTCGCCGGCTTCTCGCCCTTCGACGACGACAGCGAGGCGCTCATGTTCGAGCGCATCCGCGCGGGCCGCTACTCCGTCGAGGGACCGCTCTGGGAGGGCGTCTCGCAGCCAGGTCAGGGCGGGGCACGGAAAGGGGCCGCTTCAAAGAACAGAACTCTCAGGGCCTAGCTCGCCCTCGTTGCTCGATAGTAAAGCTTTAGTGAGTCCTCCTCGGCTTGTCGTTAGAGCAAGCGGCCTCCTCGCGATACGTTTCTCTCAAGAGTTTGCCACGCGAAGTGCCGTTCGGAGACACCGCGTCCGTGGTGCTCCCAAGTTTGTTACTTGCAGCAGTAGGTACAGAATGTACGCCGCCTTGCGCTTCACCTCTCTGGCTTCCTCTCCTTGCAGCTCGCGACCTGGTCCGTCAGTTGCTGTGCGTGGACCCGAAACGGCGGCTGACTGCGGCGCAGGCGTTGCAGCACCCCTGGATCTGCGAGCAGCACGTGCCCAGCAGCAGCCCCGAGGGGGCGTCCCCTGAGGCGGCCACGCGGCCCAAGATGTCGCCCAGGAGGCCCACCATCAAGGGCCTCGACAAGGTGGGGCTGTCATTTGGAGCCACTCGTGGCGGCGCAAGCTCACGAAGGGCGGGCTCCGGAAAGGAACCGGGACTCTTTTGCACACTCTGGACAACGGTTTGATACATTTGATTGACGCAGATGACGCAAGCTGGCGTCCTGAAACGTGGAATTCGATCCATATTATCCATTCGCCAATCATTATTTTCCTTCCCCTCAGTTTTTGGCACCCGGAATTTTCATGTCGACCACAAGTCTGGATGATAACTTCAGTAATCAGAAACAGAATTTTGACAAGCGTGGCTGTCCTTTTTCGTGCAGCTGGTCCTCCAGAGCCGCAGCCCCAACCAGTCCGCCCCCGACAGCCCCCGCGGCAGTCCCCGCCACGAGCCGCCCGTCAGCCCCGGGCCCGGTAGCCCCGCCAAGGGGAAACCCGGCTCCTCGAGCCCACGCTGCAAGGGGGATCCCCGGGATGACAAGGCCGGGGGAGTCACCGGCCGGCTGCCGGCTTCTCCCCGGTCTCCCGCTCCCAGCAGTCCGCTGAGCAGGCGATGGGACTCGTCAGATGGGGCGCATCAAGCCATCAGGGAGGTCAAGAGAGTGGGCACCCCGAAGGCGTTGCTCGCGCAAATTGGCAAACTGCTGCGGTAAAGGCCGCTAGATCTCACGATGGACTGATTGGGTGGGAGAATGGCGAATATGCAAGCGTGTTGCGAGATGATCGAGAGGCCGCTTCTTCCGAGCGCGGCTTTTATAACGGATGAAAGAGGGTAACAGGTACACAAGTTGTGCTGCCGGCCGCATCTTACTCTCAGTTTGAAACGTTTCAGCGTTGAACGTCGATCGATGTAAGTAGCGCGCGCAGAGGATGAGTTGAGTTATAGAGTCGGTTCCACCGACTTAACCCGAGGCTTCTTTTAAAGTCTTACTTATGCAATATATCTGGCCAAGGTCGATCAACGTGCACGAAGAGATCGCGGCTGCCTGCATCGAGTTCTTCCTCGACGTGCCAAAAACTCTTAATTTAAGCAGAAATGTATCCTGCACCCAGTGATGAGGGCCTTCTATACCAGAAGCCACTTCAATGTAAAAACTAATGCATTGAAGCTACAAGATGCATGACACTGTGTTGGAGTGACGTGAATTCGCCAGTGATATGCTTGAACGTCATGAAAGGGGGACGATATAGGCCTAGATCAGTCATATGAAGGGTGCAGCAAACTTAAAGCCTTTCCAGTTGCGCAGACGTACAAAGTTGCATGCGCTCCGTACATCAACACCGGGCTTTTAGGTAAATGCTGATCATATCACAGCGCATGAGTGATTTAGGCCTGTAAGCTCGCGCGCCAAATCGACCGAAAAGACTTCATTGAAGTCGGCATCTCTTATCGCACGATCTCTGCTCATGTACGGTAGACCATGCGGCAGAGCTAAGGTCAGATTGATGGGCCGCACCGATCGCCTTGTTCAGAGAGAGTTTATCGCGAGTTGCCAAAACATATTGAGGATCAGGACCACCAAACGCACATTTTGCGCCTACTTTGAATCATTGAAGTGTGCTGCAATGATCATTTACACAATAGCTGGACCGTCGCAGATTGATTGTGTGAGCGTTCGCATATGTACCAGCGCGCCAGGCTTGGACCACTTGTGCTAATTTCTCAGATCATGCATGTGCAGTTCCGCGCATGTTAAGCTGATGTCCATGTTCATCCGACCACACGAGCTTTTCTTGGCACCCACTGACTGCCTCCTTTGGCGATACTAGACCATATTGAATGATGCAACAGATCGATCTCGCTGACTAATGCTTGCTCAGGCAATCTCGCCGCAACAACGACCGCCTCCTCTTTCGAGGAGCAAAAATCTAAAAGCACGATCCGGCATTGGCGTGCAAGCAGCTACCTGCGATTAATGCACGTACCTGTCACCAAGTTTTCTGCAAATGGCAACGAATCAAGGTTACCGATTGTGTTTCTGGTTGTGACTATTATTCTGCTGTACGCTTAGACTTCTAAGCAAGTCGATGAACACAGCACCCCCGTCGTCCGCATTCCCGGCTGCTTCTTCGTCTCTGTAGTCCTCCGCAGCCTGAAATGCAAATACACCGCAGATAAGTGCGGACGTCAGAGTAGCTGGCAGTGCTAGCAACGGAAGGAGAAACTGGTACCCGTTCCAGCGCACTTACTGAGGTCTATGCGCAGCTTTGGAGCAGAAAACTTCCCGAATAAGAAATGCTTCAACAACCTGGTCTCGCATCTCTTCGAACTGAGCCCGAAAGGCAGCGGGCCCTGCCACCTGGCCAAAAGGCCTCATCTTTCCATAAAACATCCTCAACAGGGGTTAAGTTCAGGGGTAACCGTCTCTACTCAAGCACACTATGTGCTGGCGGCGATAGCAGCCGTGTGCCTCTCCCCCTCGCTCACCTGCTTGGACAGTTTATTGGTGGCGATGACGGAGGCGAGGTCGTCGAAGGCGATGGCCCGCGGCCGGCTGCTGCTGCCCGCCTCCTCCGCGACCGCGTCAAACTCCTTGAGGTAGTCCCGCAGCGGCAGGTACGCCGCCTGCTTCGCAATCTCCGTCAGGTCGCTCCCGCTGCATGCGCACACAGCGCTGGTCAGGGCCGCGCTCACCGCATCACCGGCCTATGTTTAGACGACCTCAAAGCGCCGGCAAGCGATCTTTTGCAGCAGTTTCGTGCGAAAGGCAGTCCAAAACACAGTCCGGAAGTAAGCAAAAAAGACATCGGAGATCGCATGCAACGGCTTTGAAGACGCAGAGCAGCCCCTTTGCGCGGCTGACCTGTACCCCTCGGTCATGTCTGCGAGCGCGTGCGTGTCGATGCCGTCCTCGACGTTCTCCCCCTCAAGCAGAACCTCCAGGATCGCCGCGCGCTGCGAGCGGTCCGGCATGCCCACCTCGAACGTGCGCGGCAGTCGCCGCAGGATCGCTGGGTCCAGGTCGTACGGCCTGCAGAGAAGGCGGGGGGAAACATGCCGGCCTTATGATTGGGATTAAGGCTACAATCATCCGGCAGCCACTATCAGATCGTCCCAGAAAAGTGGAACTTTAAAGCGAACAGGCTAAGAAAAGTAGCATCGGGTCTGATTTATATGTCACTGCTCATTCCCATATTTTGAGGGGCCCCGACCTTTCCATAACTGACTGCTCGTATTTGACCTCCTTATTGTAAGTTCTGCCGCCGATGAGTGAGCCTGGGGATGAGGCGGGAAGAACACGAACTCAATACCAGATGCCGTCGTAGTGGCTGATAAGAACGGAACCATTCCAACAGTCGAGGCTACAGATTTCAATCCTAACATGAAATCAATTCTCAACAGACGTCCATGCAGAAACGCGAGCTCACCTGTTTGTGGCAGCAAGCACGATCACTTGGGCGTTTGCATCGGCTGCAGAGATAAGGACCCCCAGCTTAGAAGGCGGAGTTGCATGCACAGTGTTCCCTGCATCCTATTTCCTGGCGCAGCTGCTGGCAGCCAGCTGGGACGACGGTGCCGGCGACAGGCGCAGAAGCAAGGCCAGCGCAGGCAGCACAACTTACTAACATACCGTTAGTTACATGGACGGCAAGTGATTGTTGGCCAACGTGCTGCGGGTAACTGTGGAGCAAGGTGCGAGGCGGCTCACTGTTGAAGCCGTCCCAGAGCGCCATGAACTCGGTCTTCATGAGGTTGGTGGCCTCGTGCTCGGAGGACACGCCGCGCTTGCCCAGGAAGCTGTCGATCTCGTCCATGAAGATGATGGCCGGCTGCAGCTTGTACGCCAAACTGAACACCGCGGCCACTGCACAGCCACACGCCCCAGTCAAGCCACTGCCCAGGCCATCGAAGGGTCATTGGAGCCGTCCAGAGACAAACTCAGTCATGTCCTCCGTGTCCAATCCTGCTTGGACAGACATGTTGATGGTGAAACCAACAAGACTTTAATACCGAGCTGTCAAGCATTGGGCCGTTCAAAGGCACAAAAAACTCCTCAGGAGAGGCTCTTCGAAGGGCTCTTTTTGAGCCCCAAGTCTGCCGCAGTTCCGGAAGAAACACGAAATCTCATGCCAAAAATCAAAACGATGCTTACCCAGCTTCTGCGCATCCCCAAACCACTTGCTGGCCAGGTTGGAGAAGCGCACGTTGATGAAGCACGCCTCTGACTCCTTGGCGATGGCCTTGGCCAGCATGGTCTTGCCCGTGCCGGGGGGACCGTACAGGAGCACGCCCTTCAGTGGCCGCAGCAGCTTGCCGCTCATGAACAGGTCGGGGCGCTGCAGAACAGGGAGTGTCAGCGGACCAGGCTTTCTACAACAAAAAGGAATATACACAAACAGGGCTCGTTGAGGTATTGTATGGTGAATTGGTGCAAGTCAGCCAGCTTTTGAACATCGTAACAAGATGTCGGCCTTGGACACTCATGAGCTTTGTCCCTGCCTGTCACCCCGGGGCCGGCCTACCTTGAGCGGCAGCACCACGAGCTCCTTGAGTGCGGACTTGACATCGTCTAGGCCCCCAACACATGAGAAGTCTACGTTGATGTCGTTGGAATCGACCACGTCGCACGCGATCACATCCTGGCAGGATACAAGTAAAAACCTCGTCAGAAGTGACATCAGGGAAGCGAAGTTTCAGTGGCAAGCAGAGGGGGCCTTTGGCAGACCGCTCAAAGAATAGGCACCTCACCACAGAATTGGTACGGAAGTGGCGAATGCCCACTTAGTGATCTCAATATCCCCGTGTCAATCAGGACATCAATCATCAAAGCCACTTGAAGCAAGCAGACCCTGTCAAGGATGCGCTGGGCTTGCCACGTAGAGCCTCCAAGGCCATACACACCTCTTTCCAGCATATGCAACTTTGTGGAAAAACCACAGTGCCTCCTTGACAGATCTTTCACCGCACTTCTACGACGACAGGAAACATTAGGTCAGCTCAAGGAGTGAACTTCCTCAAGCCTTCGATGGTTGACTTTTCAAAGGATTTCTGAGCTCAGTGCAGCGGCTGCATCTGCGGCCCAGAAACCTTCCCTTCTAGCCTTGCTCAATTACCTCGTAAGCGTTGAGCTTGATCGGCCTTCCGAGTCTCCTGCCTAGCTCTTTCTTCTTCTTCTTCGCGTCGGAGGCTATGATGCGGGATGGATCCAGCTGGCGCAGCCCAAACATTACACAGGACACACATAACAAGCCGACAACCGACGCTATCAGAGTATCCTGCACATGACAAGACGCTCTTCAATATTTTGCGGTGGTGGACCCTGGAGGGGACAATGCTGTGGAAAAACACAAAAGAGGACAACACTGATGCTAGCAAAGCCCTAGATCTGTACAGCATAGCCTCAGCGGAGAAGATGGGACAGGATACATCATTGCCGGCAGCACCGGGGGCTTGTCAATGATTGGAGGCGCACCGTTGCCTGCTGAGCAAAGGTCTTCCCCATCGCGGACAGGTGCCCTCAATTGACTCCCCTTTCAAACTCTACTCCTCAGTTTTCTGGTTCCGTAGGGGGGTGCAAAAACTTGAGAAAGAAGCTAGCTCAACCAAACATACTCCTTCTTGTTCTCAGAACAACATGACGAGTACTGCGCTTTCCACCGAAAGGAAATCTGTCCCTTTCACTGTTCAACTTCAGAGAGCTCGAACTATGCAGATGGAGCTGGGAAGGTGAAAGCGCCAATCCTCCACCTGCAACTTGAAGTTGTAACATGTCGTCTGCAAATTCAAGAGTGACGAACTGGCCAGCTGGGTGACGAACTGAAGGCCCAACCTGCAAGTTTTGTAGTCTGTATCGCGACCGTCCAAAGTCGGCTTGCAAGTAGAATCGACTGCCTAAAATGTCCGCCTGCTATAGGGGGCTTGACCGTCTGCCAGCTGGCAGCCACATGGCACAGACGGCCAGTTCACAAAGCTTCTGCCCAGCTCCGCTCTGCAATTTCAAAACCTTGAGCGCAAGCAGATCAGCAGGGCTGAAACTTCAAGAAAGGGGGGCGGGTGTCCAGCATTCCTTTCATGAACTCTGAACAGAGGGAGCCGGCCCCGCTTGTGCGCGACCAGCATGTCTACCTTCACGTATAAGCCCCGCCAGCAGGACCCGGGCGTGGCCACTGAGAAGTCGACGAGCTACAGCCAGGGGTATGCGGACCGTGCAGCCGGGGCGCCCCCTGCTGCAGCCAATGCCAGGCATGGAGCTGGCACGTTTCCACCATCGCAGGGATATGCCCCAAGTGACCGCGCCGGGGGATATTCGCAGTACCAGCGGCCACGCACAGTTGGGGATGTCATGGTGGACGCAATCGGCGGGCTCTTCAATGGCCTCTGGGGAGCATCTCACACAGTAGCCAGGTAGGGCAGGCTGGTCCGAGATTGCTGGGCCTATGAGAGATGCATGCAAACGACCGCAAGCATGATTAACGTCTGTGGGCGGTGGAGTACTGCGGAACATCTCTGGCAGCATTACAACCCATCTTGTATCAATGCACCCAATTGACGCAGGTGTGGTGGTGCTCCGGTCCCCTTTTCATGCCAGCTATTGGTTGCAGGGTCGACTTGAAGCGGCCATTCCGGTACAGCGGTCCCGTCATACATGGAGCAAGGCCCGAAGATGATGAGTTTACATACCGCGGCAGGAAAGCGCGCCGTAGCCGGGCTGTAGCGACGCCACCAGGAGCAATGTATGTCAGGTGGGGCAAAGAGGAACGAGCAGCCTTGTGAACACCACCTTACATATGACAAACAAGGACAAAGGCAACAATTTGAAGGGGCATCATGCCCCGGATTAAAGAAGGGCCACTGGATTCCTTCCATATGAAGATGCCTTGGTGTTGTTGCTATCCATCATTAGTCATTTTCTAACCACTTCATCATGCCAAGTGTCAGAAGGTTTAGCCTGAAATGTTTTGCCGTTGGTTCGATTTTGCTGTTTGATGCTAGTACCGAATGTCAAACAGATATTCACTTCTTGGAGGCAGACAGCAATTGAGCTTGTGTCGTTTGATTGGTCTAACCAAACATCTCCGTTCGCTCACTGCAGAATGGTTAGTGGTATAGGGGCTGACCTTGTTTGTATCTTCTTGTTCTCCTTGTTTTAGCGGGCCCTACAGCGACGTATCTCCAAGCGCTCCTCCGGCGGAGCTGGTGGACGAATCTGGGCGGATGGTGTCCTGGCGGGGCAGCCTGCGGGGGCCAGGTGGAGCGCGCCTCAAGCTCATGCAGGTGAACCAGGGGCCCTCCCCGTGCAGCCTTGCTCTGCACAATCCTAGAAGACCACACTGCTTGTAGGTCGACTGCCCCACTTCCGGATCGTTCACCTTTTGTATTACTCATGTCAGAGGATGCTTCGCGAGAGAGCCACCCCCTTAGAGAAATAAAGTGGGAAGCTGTGGAGCTTTTGACTCCCCTCACCTTCAAGATGTCCTCTTCTTTTCATTAGTTCCTTTGGTTCATTGAGCGAGGGCCCTTCCACATGGGGCCTCTGGGTCCCGGTGGCGAAAACTCATCTCTTTTCGATATGTAGGTCTTATAGCTGTTTTGGGCTGCTATCGTCCCCCTCCATTGAGTCTGCCGTCAAAACAGCACCAAACAATAAAATCTGCCCTGCTTCAGATCTGGGACGTCGCCTCCCCCGAGGGCGACAGGCCCTCGTTCAACTTTGGTGCGGGCGTCAACTTCGACATGGACAGCAACCGGCTGACGCCCAAGTGCCGGTTCAAGTCGGACCAGGTGGGCCTGCTGCTGCTGCCGGAGCCCGCCCTGGAGCTCAAGGGCAAGTGGCGCGTCTTTGACAGCCCACTCGCGGTGGACGTCAAGTACCAGTGCCCCGTCACCAACTTCACGCGCTTCTGGGAGAGCCCCGCTAAAGTGCGCGTGCGCTTCTTCAATGCCAACCATGCCGGCCTGCACATCACCCCCGTCGGTGAGGGACGTGCTCTGAGTGCCCTCTAAGCGTAGGCTGTTGAGGGCATTAGGGGGTTGGGGTCTGCAAAATCACTTAGAGACGTTCAATGTTTATTCGAATCCGGCAAAGTCTACTCCCATGTTCGAGGTCGTCCTGTGGTCGGGTGCATAGGAACTTCACAAAAGCTTTGTAGGCACCTCTTCCAAGGTTCACGAGCTATCCCGACAAGGCATGTCGCTGAGTCCTTCTTCCCCCTTCTCCAGGTGTCGAATTCGAAGATCGTGACCTCAAGCTCGGGAAGTATGCCAGCCTGCGTGTTGCGGCGGCAGTTGATTTCCCTCGGCAGCTGCCACTCGAAGAAGGGGATCAAGCGCTCAATGTCCGAGTGAGCAGGCTGGGGCTAAAGGCCAGGATAAATTGACACCCATGTTATGGTGAAACACCGGCCCACCACCATTATGACGTCTCAACTGCTTTTGACCTGGACAATCACCAAGAAGGACACTTGCTGCACCGAAGTGCCAACTTTCGCTCAAGGGTGTTCTGCTCGCATCCTTGACGATGCGCATGACTTAGCATGCCCCAGAATACGAAGCTTTTTTAAGACGTCATGAATCTTAAGATATCGTGAGAACAAGTACGTTTGCTGCATGAAATCAACATGGGGGCCGCAGTTACGTAAGGTCTATTTTGCTCATAGTCGGACCTTGAAACGGCATTTGCATTATACCCATGCCAGGCAATACAATGGCCGTGTAGACACATGAATCTGAGCGAGATGTCAGATATGGATGAACAAGAAGCTATGTTTATTGTTGTCCGGCCTCATCAAATTTTGCAGCCGAGCATGCAGAACCGATCAAGCAGCGTTCCACCAAGAAGTTGACCACTCCTCTTGCTTGTGTGCCTTCATCATCAGCTAGCTTTTCGTGTCATCTTCGAGTTCAGTGACTGACGGGAATGCATTCAATCGTCCAGTTTGCATGCAAAAATCAAGGGCGGCAGCAGCAAACGCTAGGAATATCACACTCTCCCCAGCATCTAACGCCGATTTTAACAACGTTTCCACAGCTGCTGGGCTAGAGCCAGCCAGCTGTGATGTCGTCGCAACCTGTGCAAGACCTGCACCCATAGAGCAACAGAAGCATTGACACGAAGTCGGGACCTTGCGAAGACTCGAAAGTGGTTGCATCGATTGTGATCTCCCTGTCAAAATGACTTGACAGAAGAGGCTCAGGAAAACTGCAGCAATCATGGTACTGGCTGACTCTAGGCTCGTTCAACAGAACGTAGGCATGCGCGCTGAAGACGGCAACAATCAGGAAGCGGGTACAAATGCTCGACCCTTCTCAGTGTTTGAATCCTGGAGGCTGGTCGCTGCGACTAATAAGAAACTTGAAGGTCGTAGGACCTTACCGCGTGTGAGTCCAAAGGCCGCCACCACTCCTCCCTTGAGGTGCGTGTTCTGGGTGTCCCGCCGAATCATGTAGCGGTAGCACACGCCAAACAGCGCGCAAGTGGCAAGGATGGCTCCCTCGCTCACCACCAGGCTCACTAGACTCGACTCGGGGCCGCGCCCCGCCAGCACCACCGGCAGACTGGCCGCCAGCCCTGCAAGGCAGCACCAACAGAACAGCTCAGAACAACTCAATTTCCATAGCACAGTGTAAAAGGTGCCTAAATGTCTGGCCTGATCAGCACAGGACGGAGTGCCCCTAAGTATATGACAGGTAATAACGTAGCTTTTGCTAGTTGAGATCCTATTATTCAGTGGAACATCAGCGATACAGCCCTTCGCCCCGCCCCAGAGAACACCTTGTGAGTCACTTCCCCTCACCTGTAGCAACTGCGATGGCCGCTGCCTTCCCTGACTCAATGCGCTCCTTGTCTTCATCTACGCCAGGGGTGCTCCACTTGTTGGCCCCCTGTTTGGCCCGTGCCTGGAGCACCTCCTCGCGTCGTAGTGCCACCTCCGCCTCCGCCTCAGCCACAAGGCGCGCAGCAGCAGTTACCTGCGGCACCAACCAACCATCTTTTATTTAAGAAGATTCTCTTAGGCATTGCTTCTATCGCACCACCCATTCCAAGCTGTCACAATTGCATTACAGCACCTTCCACCACAAACCCTTTCGCATGATTTGCAAGAGAGTAATTCAGGGATGAGAATCTTGTCAAGTGGGGCATATGCTGTATGTGCTTACCCCTTCATCAGCCTCTTCCAGCTCCGCTTCCTCGCTGGCACGCGCCAGCTCCGCTTTCATGTTGGCCACCTCAGTCAGCTTCTCCTCCAACAACTTGCGTGCTGCCTGCAAGGCAAGAGTCGGGTGTTATCAGCATTTGATTTACGGTAATTCCTAGAGGTGATGGACAGAAGGGGAAAAGTGACACAACAAGGTTTCAAGTCCGCTTACAAGGTGTGATGTAAAGCATATTTGTCCCTTGTGCACGTATGAAGAAACTCTTTCAGCTTCTTTAGACACTCTGCCATCAGCAAATGCACCACTGAACGGCAAAGTCCCAATGCACGCCCTTGCTTGGACTTCTTGGGATCTGTGCTGGCCAACTAGTGGTGGCACAGTTGTTGCAGAATTGTAGCGGTACCTCCGCTCTGAGCACCCTGTCCTCTGCTGTTTGTAACTTCTCCATCAGGCGCGGTGCATCGCCCTCCTGCATGACTCGCTCCAGCTCCACTTGAAACTCCGCATTGGCCCCCATGCCATCATCTGAGCCCCAGACGTTCCTGTCATCCTGGACTGCTGACGCTAAACTTAGCCTCTTCTTACCAGCGGTGTAAATCAAGGAAGAGGAAAGTCCTTGACGGGTGCTTTGGCTGTGCTGAGGCGGCATTGCGATCCGTCTGGTGAGCGCATTGCCAAAGGCATTGTCGCTTCGCTGAGAGCAGGTTCCAAGAGCGACACCAAACCCTTCACAGCCACAATATCCTACAATGGCCTCCATTGTCTTGCCTTAGATTTGCGGGTTGAGCACCTCAACCTCAGGACAATTCCCTGCACGTCTAGGCGCGCTGGACCCTTGGTCACGGTGGCACTGGCATTGGCAATTGCCAACACCGATGTCAGTCCAGCCTCGGAGGACTGCTTCCCACTTCTAACTTTTGAAGAATGTACCGGGTGAACCGTGAGGCCCGGGGTAGTCCTCCATTGGGCCTTGTTGGGAAGCGGGCTGACTCCCGTTGCTAGGAGAACTACGCCAAGGTGCTTGCGACAAAGAAGGCAGCAGTTCCCGGTTCAAGTGGTCGGTCGTCGCTGCTCTCTTTCTTACAACTGTACAAACTTGAATCGAAGTTCAAGAAGGCAGCTGAAGCCTGAACGCTACCTACCTTCCCAATTGCCAAAGGTTGGGGCGCTAGCTAGAAACTTCACGTGAGTCTCACCTCATTTTCTGTGTCCAGAGTGCTTTTTCCGCAGTGAATCCAGATATCTAGAAAGCTTCCTGTCCAGCTTCCTAGGACAACGAGCGGCGTATATCGTTGCGGCTCTCTGAGGGATCACCATGGAAGATGACGCGATCAGCAACTTCTGCGCAATCACAGGTGCCACGCCGGATCAGGCAAGGTTCTTTTTAGAGAGCTCAGGCAATGACATGGAACAGGCCATGTCCGCTTTCTATGATCAGGAAGGCGACGACGATCTGCCTGCTGAAGAGGCAGTGCCGTCGGAAGGAGCAGCGCCACCGGCGCAGGGGCAGCAGGAGCAGGCGGGAGGGGTCAGGCAGGGCCAAGGGGCGTGGCCAGGTGAACAAGAGGGTGCTGTTGGCTCCGACTTTTTGGTCTCCGGTTTCCAAGCGCACTACTTTGATCAAGAAACCGTTCCAAGTTTGATTTATTGATTTCTGCTTGCAAAGCAATTGTGGACGTATGTACCTGGCGTCAAGTTGAACAAACGCAAATCCCTGGAACTTTGTTGGGCGTATTGGCGTACTGGCTGTTGCTGAACAGTCTTAGCCACCACAATCCTGTATCTTGAGAAGTGACCCAGTGGAGAGCGCGTGCAGGTGCTTCTGGTGGCGGCGGCGCTGGCCCGAGCATCCGGGGCGGCGAAGTCCGGGGTGGGGCCAAGAAGAGGCCTGCCGGCGCAGGCGCCAGTGGGGGGGGCATCAGGACTCTGGGTGATCTCGGCAGAGCAGCAGAACAAGACGACAGTGATGAGGAGGGCGGTCCACAGGAGTACTACACAGGGGGAGAGAAGAGGTGTGGACAATTCTCCTATTCCCCACTTTAAAACAGATTGTCTCCTTGAGAATAGACACTCCGCTGCAAGGGTTTCCTCGTTGCTTCTGCGGCTTTCATCGCTGAGAAGCTGTGTGTCGCGCGCTGTGTGATCGCTTCCAATTTCTGCTCTCAATCTATGTCCGTGTATGCAGTGGCATGATGGTCCAGGACCCCAGCAAAAAGCCCGGCACGTCGGTTGACTCCATCTTTGATCGCGCCCGCCAGCACGGCGCCGTCGATGGCACTCCCGCAGATATGCTTCCCTCCGCGCCTGCCGCCAGGGGGGCTTTCACAGGATCAGCCAGGTGGGTATTCTCAGGAGTGACTCGTTGTTCGCCCTGCCCCGCTGCAGGCTCCAATAGTGCGAGCCCTCGCTGAGTCTGCTCAAGATTCATCCCAATGATGCGCCTCTGGTAGGACAGATTCCAGCCGATTTGGGCACTCAGCTCCAAATTGTGCTTGCAAGTCCAATCAGCTCTCGCTGAAGGACACTCGTGCCCCTAGTCCTGACGGGCGCTCCTCTTTCTGCGCTGCTGGCAGGACGCTGGGCGCGGACGGCAGCCCCGCTGTGCCGGAGGTTCCGCCGGCGGTGGCCGCGGCGCCGGCGCCGGAGCGGGCGGTGCACACCATCACGTTCTGGCGCAACGGCTTCACTGTGGACGATGGGCCCCTGCGCAAGCTGGAGGACCCCGCCAACGCACCCTTCCTCAACGTGAGCAGGCCGGGTGCAGCGGGGCAGGGCGATGTGATTGGGCACGTCTTTTTTGTCTGCATATCGTGGCTCGGCAAAGCCAGACAATGGTTTGTGTAGCTCATTCTGGACGCGTGCATCCCTTGCAGAGCATCAACAAGGGCGAGTGTCCGCGCGAGCTGGCCCCCGCAGATGCGCGCGTGATGGTGCACGTCAACCTGGTGCGCAAGGATGCCGACTACGAGGTGAGCGCACAGCCCAGCCGTACGTTGCCTCAAGCTTGTGCAATATCTTGCGGTTTCAGTCGTCCAAGGTAGCTTCGTTATGACTTCTGACAACCAGCACACGGAGGCTGTGGTTGGCGGCACAGGCATGATTCTTTTTCAACTTTGTGATGGATGAAGACACGAGTTGGAGAAGGGCAGGCAAGGCAGTCGTGGCTGTCGCAAACAGTTGACGACCCGCACTTTGTGCCCCCGGATGCAGCCTCCTAAGGAGCCCAAGTACCGCGCATTTGTGGGGTCTGGCCGCACCCTGGGCTCCACCGACAGCGAGCCCGCCCCGGAGCCGGCCGCCTCAGCCCCCGCGACAGCATCCAGCAACAAGTCGTTCGAGGTGCGTCTCTTTCGGAGGTTGCTAGCAGTGAAGGGAGCCCACTCGTTGCGCTGTTCCGGCTTGATGCATCTTTTTTTTTTTTCTTTTTCCGGCGATGGTGCATCTTCTCGCGGTCTTTCTTCGCTGCGACCGAAGAAGGCCATTTGGCACACAGAACGTTGGCCTTGAGATATGAGCAGACGGCTGCTGTTTCGCAGTCATCAAGTTGGAGTGATCGAGTCGGAGCCCTTAAAGAACCTCGTCAAGATGAGAGGTGTTCAGTCGTGTCACGCGATTCGAGCATGAATGGCCGTGTCTCCCCATATGCAGGTGGACGAATCGCAGCCGTTCACCAGCCTGCAGCTGCGCCTTCTGGACGGAACGCGGCTGGTGGCGCGCTTCAACCACAGCCACACGGTCGGCGACATCCGCCGCTTCTTGGAGCGGGCGCGGCCCGGGGCCACGTCCTCCTACCGCCTGGTGACTTCCTTTCCCCCGAAGACGCTCACGGACCTCGACCAGACGATCGAGCAGGCGGGGCTCCTAAATGCAGTGGTTATGCAAAAGGCTTGATCCGGAGAGAGCAGGGCCGCTTGGTGAAGCGGGAGTACAGGAGTGCACTGACAATATCTTAGGTCGATTGGCGCTGTGCCACAAGAATTCCAACTTACCTAGCTGCCTGTATTGTTTTTTATTGGAGTATTTGTCTGCCGCCAACATCAACCACAATCTATTCATCTACTACTTGTCCAATGTTCCTTGGATTGGAATCTAGAGGTTGTCGCTCCAGAACCGAGAATGCCCTGAATCCTTGACCCTCTGTGTCATGTGCATACTTCAACGAGAAGTGGCCGTGCATTACAACAATCTGACAATATCAAAGGCTCGCTTCAACTCAATCGAGTCGCTCGTAGAAAGCCACACACGTACGTACTTATATGGACAATTTCGATAATATGAAGTCGACCGCATACTGTGTCTCAACTGCGTTCAAAGTGGACGTACCATTGAGCCAGATCCCCCGTCTCATACCATCGGGTTGACGCGGAATCTTATGGCTGCAGTAAATTCACCAAGATTTCATGTGCCATGCCGCCGGGCAACCAATGACCGGATATATACGTAGCTGCGCGCGATCATGCACATATATGCAAAGTTGTACTCATTAAAGATATAACGCGATCGATCATTCACAAAAGTATGCCATGAGAAGCCTATCATAGTATGGCCAATTACTGGCTACAGCGTATTTTGAAAAGAGACCATCATCCGCATGGCATGCCAGACAGTACGATCGGACCGGTGACACAAAAGAAGAATCCCAGTATGCTGAATGATAATGGCAGGCTTCGTGCAATAGCCTGACACTTCCGACGCCCAGGTTCATCAAGATTGAAAGAGCTCCTATATTTCAACCACAGGCAACCAAATTACGCTGTTCTAAGTAGTGCGCTTTCGCCTGCTGGTCCGCTTTGTATACAGGTTCTCACCGGACGTGATCTCAAACACCAGTCTCGATACGTTCCTCTCAGGTTATGTAATTTGGAGAAGCAACTTGGAGCATCTTGGAAGCATACGGTCCTATCCCTCTGTCTCCGTTTTCTAACTTCAGTGCAAGAAACGCCTTTCAGCCTGTACTCTTTCGGGCAGCATGCCAACCGCACCATGACGCAAGCACCAGCAAAGCATGACCAGCTAAGAGGCGCTGCCCAGGCGCGTTACGCCGCGTCGGGCCGCCTGGCGCGGCGGTACATGTTGTCGCGGAACTCGAGGACGTCGTCGCGGATGAGGTTGTTGAGGAAGGCCTGCAGCTGCGCGGCGCTCTTGTCGAAGGGCGGGTCCACCACGAACATCTTGAGCATGTTGTGGATGCGCTCCAGCGGCAGCGCGTCCAGGTTTGTCAGCATGCCCACCACGTAGTCCTGCACCACCAGCACCATCGTCAGCGGCCGCCCTCGGCAGCCAGCAACAGTATAGCAGTCCGATAAACAAAGCACGCTCAAGATTCGTTTCTTTCAAGGATCGCCTCTTGCGCAATGACCAAACCCGCCTGTTAGCATGCTGCTGGTCACCAAGTGCGGGGAGACTGTCGTGCGGCGGCACGCACCTTGTATACTTGCATCTCGGACGCCATCTGCTCCTCAGCTGACGTCACTGCGCTCTCCCCCTCCTCCTCTGCCACCACCGTCACCTCACCCTCCTCGCTAGGCCCCCTACCCGGGCCCCCGGCCGCGCCCTCCCCTCCTTCCACCAGGCGGTACAGCCCCCCCCCGTCCGGCCCCGTGCTCTCCGCGAGCACGCCCTGGTTGACCCAGAACACGGCCTTCTTGCGCAGCGTGCCCAGCGGCGCCCCGACGGCCTCCGCGAGCTCGCGCGCGGGCCAGCGCGGGCGGTCCTGGAAGTGCCACACGATGGCCGCGTGGATGGGCGACACCGCGTACTGCACCGCGCGGCCCCCACGCTCCACCTCCAGCCGCACCGTGCCCAGGCCCGTCTTCCACCCCAGCTTGCGCGGCGCCTTCACCTCCTGGTACCGCGCAGCGTATGCGTCCAGCACCGACTGCACCGGCGCCGGCAGCCGCACCTCGTCCGCCTGCCACAGGCGTGACAAGGTCAGAGCGCAGCGCTGGCTGCCCGGACAATAAGCATGCAAGAAGTCATCGGGCATAGATCAATAAGCAGCACCTTGAAATACAAACGGTCGAGGTTACAGCCCAGGCGAAGGGATAAAATACTTGGGTTGTTCCGACGACCTCTACTCGGACCTGATTACCGTGCCGCAATCGCCAGCAAGGCCTTGGCTACAAGGAGCAGGCAACACAACGTCACACTGATCTACCCAGGTCGCTTTAAACCACACGAATGCTGTCCCCACTTCCGCGTACCTGGAAGGGCGGCCAGAAGTGCGCCGACACGATGGTGGCGTCCACGTTGTCCAGGGTGGGCTCCCCTTCGGCGGGCGCTGCGCCGGGCGGCCCCTGGCTGCGCAGCGCGCGCATGCGGGCGCGAATGGCCTGCAGCCGCGCCTCGTTCTCGCTGCTGCTCCCACTGCCGCGCCCCACGGCGGCATCCCCGGCCGAAGGCCCGGGCGGGCTGGCAGGGCCGGCACTGCACGGGGCATGCGTGTCGACATGAGGTGCAGGGACGAGAAGGAGACATCCGACGATCACGCCAAGCGGGTGAGCGTCCACGCAAGCGATGGCCGGACTGGGGCGAGCTGGTGCGAGAAGCACTGACCCGTTTCTGTGCCGCAAGTTCGTTCTCACCGTGGAGGCAGCGGCGGCTGGGGCACGCCCCGTCCCGCCCCCCGACCCTGGGGGGCGGCTGCCGCCGAGCGGCGCCGGGTGCTTGGGGGGGACTGCCGGGGTGCGGCGCTGCGTTTGGGGGAGGCGACGTAGGGCGGGGGGCCGGGGTGTGGATCAGCGTGTTGATGCGCTTGCTGTCGGCCAGGTCCTTGAGCATGACGTCACACTGGTGCAGGTTGGCATCCGCGAAGCGAAGCTGCGAGCAACGGACAGGGCGGAGTATGATGAGAGCAGTGCGGTGGAATTTAATGGCGAAGGGGAGAGTCTTGAAGGGAACAATCAACTGATTCAGCCAGCGTGAAGCGCCTTCTTCAATCGTTGCACGGGCCGAGTCTGCGGCAAACTCCTAGTATAGCCAACGCCTTTCGGTCACTACTTGGCTTCCGAAACCCGTGCCCCTCGTGAGCTCATCAGCAGCCTGATGGACTCCAGGTTCGTTGGGCGAAGCTGAATTTTATCTTGCCCGCTCTCAGCGGCGTGGCGCACCTTGAGCAGCTCGAGCGTGCGCACGTCGGTGGCGGTGTTGTAGTCCTGCTTGGCGAGCAGGCGGTCGGCCAGCATGACGCGGTACTCGTTGACCAGCACCTCCTTGCTGCCGTACATGCCCACTACCGCGCTGATCAGGTCCGCGCGACGCCGCCGCCGGCCCCCGCCGCCCGGAGCAGCAGCAATCTACCATCACAAAAGAATGCGCTCGGGTTAATGAGAATGGGAAGCGCGGCTTAGTCAGGGGCCGCTGCGTACCGACTTGCAGTCGTCAAAGATATGAGGCAAGTCTAATTGCTTCCGCATGCTCCTCCCGTTCTCAGACCAACCCGTATCAACAGGACCGTTCCCAACGCCCTGGTGCAAGGGCGTGCAAGCCGTTTCGGTCCGCGTGCCTCACCGGGTCCGGCTCCCAGGCGTGGGCGGCGGCCGCCTCCTCCTCGGTGTCCGCCGCCCCCGCGTCGTCATCCTCGCGCTCATCCGCCTCCGCCATGGCCGCCGTCTTGGCGAGCTCCTCGTACAGCGACTCGCCGCCCCCCGCGGCCGCGCTGTCGTCCGTGAGCAGCGTGACGATGCCGCGGATGGTGTCCTTGCGGCGCCGCAAATACTCCTGGATGGGCGCACCCACCGCCTCCAGCACCACGCCCCCGGGGTCCAGCACGCGCAAACTCTGCACCCAGCGCACGGCCACGCTGTCAGGCCCCTGGCAGCGCGTGGGCCCAAGGCTTGCAGCCGGACTGTGGGAAGCGGCAATGAACCTGCAGCAGCCAGACGCGCTTCCTGCTGATAATACTATCTGCAGACTTGCCAAGTGGCGGAACCGTCTCCCTACAACCCAGGGTGCCGCTCAGCGAATGCTGACGGCCGACCTTGATCGTGGCGATGTAGTGTGTGAGGATGTCGGTGGTGGCGGCCCCCGGCAGCAGCAGCCTCTGCCGCAGCTGTGCGCGAAAGGCGTCCACCAGGTCGCGCTGCCGCCCCGTTGCGGCCAGGCAGGCACGCAGGTCCTCCACAGCAGGCAGGCTGCGCGCCGCACGAGCACGATCAGGAGGACGCGCAGGGAAACAAAGCACCGCATGCGCAGAAGGAAAGGAGCAGGAAACGTGGGCTAGCGGAGAACCGAAGAGCCAGGTTGCAAAGTCAGGTGAAAACAAGGACATGTATGGACACGGAGTCATGCAACTGAGTTCGGGTTCACCGTCTGCCTGATGCCCACCTCTCTGGGTGGTCCACAATGATGTCGAACAGCTCTGTGGTGCGCAGGTCCCCCAGGATCTCGTAGGCCGCCATCTCGAGGCGCTGCTTCCATTGTCCCAGCGCCGCAGCAGTGGGCGCGGGGCCAGGAGACGAGGCCGGAGCCGGGGTGGCGGGGCAGGCGAGGGGGGAGGGGAAGGGGGAGGCCGCAGGGGAGTGGTACAGGGGAGGGGGGGGTGGGCGGGACCGGGGGCGGCAGCAGCAGCGAGAGGAAGCGCAGCGGGACGGCCTCAATCCAGCGCAGGAACACTGCCGCAACAGGCGCCTCGTAGCGGCCACGCGCAGCACGCAGCAGCTTGCTCTAGACGGAGGGGGGAGAGGGGGTGAGGCAGCGGAAGAAGTGGTAGGAGAAGGAAATAGAGACAAGGATGGAGGCACCCCCAGGTGTCACACTCAAGATCACATCTAGGCACTCTGCTTTGGAGAATTCAGATCATCCAGTTTTTGTGGGAAGAGCCCCGGTGGCAGAGCGTACCTGCAGGTGCTCGTGCACAGCCTGCGCGACGGCCCCCTCTGCGAGCGCCCCCAGGCCCAGCTCCCGCAGCTGCCGTGCCACCGCTGCTACGCCCGCCACCCACTCCACGCCCATCAGCCGCACCATGTCGCCGATGCCCACCCCTTCCACGTGCCCTTCCGCCCCTGCCCCCCACGCGCCCGCGCCCCCTCCCGTATCCCCCAGCACCCCCGCCAGGTGCTTGTTCACCAGGCCCGCCCGGTTGGGCGCTGCCTCCCCGGGGCTGCGCTCCACGCCCTCCATGGCATCCCCCCCCTCCACGTGCGGCGCAACCCCCGGCCCCCCCACCCCGTCGTCCTCGTCCATCACACTGCTGCTGCGCCTGCTGCGCCGCCGCCGCAGCGCGCTTCCCCCCCCCGCAAGCCCCCCTGCGCTCTCGACTTCGTCGTCCGCCCCCTCCAGGCCTAGCTCATCCTCGCTGGTGCCCCCGCTGTCGAGGCTGGCCGTGCTCTCTCGGCGCCGGCTCCGCCGCGCTGCGCGTTTCACGCCCCCGCTGAATTCGTCGAGGCGCGCAGCAAAGTAGAGGCGCAGCAGGTCTGCCACCACACAGGAAGGATTTTAGAGTGTGAGGAGAGGAGAACAGGACCCAGCCGTGGACGAAATCACAGCCCTGCTGCAAGGAACGAGCCAGCCTGTTTAGCGGAAGCGGCCACGGCCAGATAAGCACCTAGAAGCTGCCTTCTGCCGTTTGGCCGGGGTGCCCACCTGGCAGGTAGTCGGGGGCCGTGCTGAGGAGCCAGGCACTGGTGCCCGCCTGGAACTGCGCCACCACCCGCTCGCTCTCTGACAGCTCCAGCCGCGGCTTGGGCCAGCCCGCCCCACCTGCTCCCCCCGCTGCTCTTGGGGCCTCCGCCATCACCTTGAGCAGGTCCGCCAGCTGGCGCTTCTGCAGCCCCTGCGCCGAGTGCAGCTCCGCCAGAGCCGGGGCTAGGGTGGACACCGCCCAGGATTGCAAAGGAGACGGGTCATCCGCCTGCGGTAGGGCAGCCAAAAGAGGGGGTAAGCGGGGAAGAGTATGATTGCAAACAGTGGCAACAGGCAATGCCACGCAGGGCCTTGATCATCATTGCACGAGGTCGAAACGAGGGGGAGGCGGGGCTTCACCTGCTGAGCCCTTTGCTGGCGGTCCTCGTATGTGTCAAACTTGGCCCAAAAGCGAGGGAGGTGCTCCTCACGAAAGACTCTCTGCAAGGGCGCCACCAGCAAGACGCAATCAGAGCCAGTCCCATGCAAGCACACCTCGGCACATGCACCCAGGCCATCACCACCTCCAGCCAGCATCTCTTCCACAAATCACAGCGGGGGAAAGAAAGTACTGAAGACCATCAGTAGAGCTGTGCCCGTAATGAAAGTCCTGCCATCCTAGTCATGGGTCCTGCTTCCATGTTCCATGAATCACAGTTGTAGTGGTGCCAGGCTGGGAGGCGCATTGCTTGAGCTGTCACCTCCAGGCGATCCCCACAGTGGGCAGTGAGCAGCGGGCCCAGCCCCTGCTGGCACAGCACCCCCACACTGGCCGCCAGCTCGCCCGAGGGCGCGTCTCTGCTTCCCCCTTGCAGGCCCTGCTCCAGACAAACCGTCCATGCTGCGCTGATGTTGCTGGCCAGGACGGAGGTCAGAGCTGGCGCCCCCATGCTTGATAGCAAAGACAAGGGGGCCACCGCGTGCTCCTCAATTCGTTGCGCAGAAGCAAGAGGCAATGCGGCTTCCTCAATGCGTGTGGCTGTCACTACAGGCACTGTCCCAATCCCGCTCCGCCTGGAATCCACAAAATTGAGACTGCTCGGTGCTCAATTTCGATGTGCATTGCGATTATGAGGAACCTTTGGGCCTGAAAGGAAAAACAGTTGCTGACACTGGTGTCACAGGGCATCAGATTCATGCCTTCGGGTGGAGCTAGCTGTGTTCAACGGTTTCTCTTCTCTTGCTGTCCCTGATCATTGATGGTTCATTTGTGAGGTGCGGGTTCCCCCCTTCGTCGACGTAGGTAAAACTTGGCTTTTAGGGTATCCATACGCGGCGTAGAACCATTTTTCATGTTGGATATAATCGTACACCCGCTTGTTAGAATTGGGCTCTTTCTGAGGGAAGCGTCAGCTCTGCGTGGCTACCTTCTAAACCCCGTAATAGACTTCCAAATCCGTTCAAAAATGTGTTGGTTTAAAGTGGGCGTAGGCCGTCACACCGACGGCATCACCGTAGCGTGACGGCGACAGAAATCAATCAACATTCACCCTCCGATAGATTCAACTCGGTGGTTTGTACCGTCCGATCGAAAAATGACTCGCGAGCCCTAGGCAGGCCTACGGTGCTTCGCTGTTTGCCTCAGTGGACGTACAAGTTTGCCATTGGCCACCATCATGATCAATGGCATCATGAATCTGATCTCCCCAGCCAGCTCGCGGGCTGTAAACTGTCAGTGTAACAGACGCAGCTGCCGGCCTCACTATCAGCCAGGGTCATCAATTTCTACTCTGGTCGCTTGGTGGCGCCATGTGCGTCGCCTTCTGGCTCTGGCAGCCTGACCCACAGCCCGCTGCCGGCGATGGTCCCCCCCCGGTGCGCTACGCCCTGCTGCTGGCGCTCAACCGCGACGAGGTGCTGAGCCGGCCCTCGCAGGCGGCGCACTTCTGGGCGGACGACCCCGGCATCTTCGCGGGGCGCGACCTGGTGCAGGGCGGCACCTGGCTGGGCGTCAGCAAGAGCGGGCGCGTCGGCTGGCTCACCAACGTGCGCGAAACGTACGTGGACGCCGCAGCGCACACGCGCGGGGACCTCGTGACCGCCTTCCTTCAGGTCAGCATTGCGCCCGGGAGCCAGCCCCTGCCTCGTGGCCACAGCTAGACAGTCTTGCCACCGCCCTCTGTGTTCACTGGCCCCGGCCGCCATGGATGGAAGCGGGAAAACGTTGAAGGCCCCTGCCAGGCTGACGTGCAGCCAACTTGCTTGTGTCAGAGTAGCAACACTGGCACTGCCGCGCGTGTTTGTTCACGCAGGCGTCTGAGATTGTTGTCCACCCACACGCCCCTGTGTCTCGTCTAGGGCAGAGAGAGCCCCCTGGAGTACTGCGCTGCGCACGCCCCGCACCTTGGCGCCTACAATGGCTTCAACCTGGTGGTGGCCGACCTGCGCATCGGCCAGATGGCCTACTGCACCAACCGCCCTCCCGGCCAGTCGGGGCGGATTGAGGCGCTCCCCTCCGGCATGTACGGCCTCAGCAATGCCGCCCTCGACACCCCCTGGCCCAAGGTGAGCTCCCGACAATGGCACGCTGTGCCCCAGGAGACAGCGACAGATGCTTGCGAATTGTGGCCGCTGGCTATCTGATGTGGCCCGGATCTTGCCAGCGTTGGCCTCCGACCCCCCCCGGCGGCCCGCTCTTGCAGGTAGTCCGGGGCAAGGCCACGTTTGCTTCCCTAGTGGCTGCGACCGCTGATGCGGCGGTGCCTGCGGAGGAGCTGGTGCACGGTCTGCTGCAGGACCGGTGGCGCCCGCCAGGGGACCAGCTGCCGCACACGGGGAGGCCGCCCGAGGTGGAGGCAGAGTTAAGCCCCATCTTCGTGGAGTGCACGCTGCCAGAACTGGTGAGAGCCGCAAGGCAGTCGCCTCTGACGTCGGTCAGCGAGAGCTGCCCATTCACCTTCGGCAGGACGGGGCGAATGCTTTGCTTGCTTCACTTGTGATTGGTTCTCAGATAATGTGAGTGCTCTCCGTTGGGCTGTGGTTATTGTTGTTGAGGGCGGTGGTCATGGTGTTTTTGCAGGGGGCGTATGGCACGCGGAGTCAAACCGTTATTGGGATCCAGCACAACGGACATGTAGACTTCTTTGAGCGATATCTTGACAATGACGGCACATGGAAAGAGCAACAGCAGATGTTCGAAGTAGAATGCCAACGGGGAAATGGGTCCGAGCAGGGACTCAAAGCGAAAGGATCCTGGGTCCGATGACGACAACCTTCTCTTGCTGGTGGAACTTATCACGCAACTTTATCACCAAAGAGGAATCCACTGCATAGGTTTTGGAAAGGTTGCAAGTTCTATAAAGAACTTGCTGGCCAATAACATTCTGTGGCAGGATTGATTTCCGAGTGCATAGGTTGACGTCTCAAATTAGTACCACATGCTTGATTGCACATGCAAGCGGGGCTGAGAGAAGTCCATGTTATAACCGTTGACCTCCTTCCCATACTTAAGCTGGTTCAATCACCGACATACTTACATACCTATCATGAAGCTTTCGACTGCCCACGTTTAATTGCATAACAGGAACTGTGTACGCGTATACAAATTCCACGTGCCATATTCAGGGGCTCTCAACATCAGGGCCCGGCCATTCTGCAGTCAACCACCAGCTAGCGAATGACCTACTTCAAGTTGAGTGAGATGGATGGTGCGCCTACAAACGCTTTGCTTTGACTGCCCAGAGGACATCGAAGTGACTTTGCGGCCATGTTAGAGCACTTTAAGTCAACTCTATTTCGCTACGCTATACACTGGAGGGGTGTCTACAGGGGCCGCGGCAACTAGCTCAGCACGATCAAAAGTAGAGCGCAAGGCAGAGTCTCACTACTGCCTTACAAAACTACCTAAACAATATACGGTACAATTTTGACGTCGTGTGGACGCACTCAATCTCAACGCTCCCAGAACGCCTCTCCTGGCAAAAGGTCCACCTCGGGAGCCAGCCAGTCCTCGCCCGAGTTCATGTCCGGACTGCTCAATGCTTCACTGCCATCCGAGAAGGTGGCTATATGCTCTCCGTCAAACCGATCTGGGGACTGCCTGTGATGCAGATCGTCCTTTTCCGGTCGGGCAGGGCTCAGATCCATCTCGAAGACTCTGGCACTGTAGACACTGTCGAGGTCTTCGACCAGCGGAGAATCCTGCAATGCCGGCAGTGGTTCAACAAGCTGCAATCAAATAGCCGCGACCACTCGACTGCTAGCATTCAAGGACATGAGACAAATAGACACTGTGCCACGGCAGTTGGGTTGCCGAACCCCGGTGCCTCTGCAGATGCGAGAACAGGCATCAGCGGTTGCCGTCCGGCCTTGATGCGTAGGGTAGAGTCTCACTCCGAGCGGCTTGGCATCCCCCAGCCGGGTGCTGATGTGCTCAAAGACGGCGTGCTCAACGCCGTGGTCCTGCGAGAGCCACAGCTTGCGGCCCGGCAGGAACACGTCGCGCACCGCCTTGAAGCGGCTGCAGTTGGGCCGGTCCGACAGCACCAGCACCTCCGCCGCCTCCCCCTCATGCAGCGGCGCCCGGGCAGCCGCCGCAGGCAGGCTCATCTGGCGCGCACGAGCAAGGACACGAGTCAGGAACGGTTCACAGTACCGCCAGTGAAGGGGCCGGGGCCGGCCACTGAAGCGGGGCAGATATGAGGGAAGCAAGGACAGTAAGAACGGGTGACGGAGGAAGTGGACCGTGCGGTGGGGGCAGCTTCATACGTTGGCCCTTAATGTATATCCATATGTCGACCAGACAGGGATGGGCATGAGAGAGCCCAGACTTTGCATCTAGCCAATACCATCTGATTGATTTTGTAAAAAGAAAAGTGTCTGTTAGATTGTGATTTTTGCCTTATGCAGCTTCGCCCATTCCTTAGAGAGCGATGGAGCCTGAGGAAATTGGCTTTGAGGGCACCGGGGCCTTCGAACCTCATACAAGTTTCCGGCCTCACCTCGATGGTCACCCCTCCCCTATCCCCCACCAGCACCGTGTACCTGTTCTCGGAGGCAGTGGGGGTGTCACGTCCGTCATGCTTTGCTCCAGTGGCTGTGCTTTTTGGTGCAGCTGGCATTTGCTGAACCCTGAGGATGTGCGTTTTCCAAACTCCTGCAAAGACGGCTCGAACACAAATCAGCACCCCATTGCAACTGGGCCCAAAGGAAGTGAGTCAGACATACGTCCTCACTGATTTAAGTGGAGCACCAGGGTTCCCAAGACAGCGCTTTACTAGGTGTGTTCTGCAGGCAGTCGGTGGCATACCTGCGTACTTGAAGCGCAGGCGCAGCCCCGTGTTGGCGCTCGCTGCGCCCAGGATGGGGCTCCACACCCAGAACAGGCTGGCCAGGGCGGTCAGGACGACGCTCAGGTTGTAGAACGCAAAGGTGCCCGCCAGCGAGAGGCCCAGCCGGCGCGCCCACGCGTCAACGCCGCCCAGGGTGGACACCACCTGATCCCCAGTGCCTGCAGCACGGAAGCAGGGGGGCTCAAGAAGGAGAGCAGAGAGTGGCATGGAGGCAGGGCAACCACGCTATGCGACGTGGCGCTAGGAGGTGGGAGTCTGGTAGACAAGTATGACACTACTAAGACTTTGACAGATGTAACTGGGGGGTTTTGGGAAGCGTAGGAGGAGGGGGGCAACAAATTGGAATCTGCCACAACACTGAAGTACGTGGGCGCAAGCTCAGATTACACCTCAGGGGGCCCACCTGAGTACGGAAGCACTTTTGACAGCGTCTTGGTCGAGAGGGGAATGATGGTCGGGAAAACTTTTGAACGTGGGGAAGACTCTCCTGCCCCGCGCATGAATCGCTGGGCACACACGACGGTTAGTTGGCCCGCTGGTGGCTGTCGTATTCTGTGTCTGGAGGTCTGGTTTCCTGTCATAAACCAGTCCCTGGCTTCTGATTCTAGGTTACAAAGGGCTCTCCCGTTCCAAAGCATCGCCCCTTTGTTTCTGGGCCGTCGAAACAGATGTGACCACCGATGCTGTGCTCGACCAGCCGGGTCTAGAGAGAGCGTACAGTGCAGTCTGGGATGCTGGTGGCCACTTGGGAAGCCCCAGGCTGACAGTTTTTGCGGTGTGTGACTGTGCAATCGGCCGGTGCCGCAGCATTTGGGTGGCAGCGGGCCTTGTTTATGAAGAGGTCCAAGCGAACCTAATGATGCGTCCAGGGAGGTCTGGAAGGAACAACACCTCGCTGATTTGACCACTGCCATCCTAAAGTCTTCTTTGCCTGCTTACTTCAGCACCTAGAATCATAACACAGGAAGCATTGCTGCCATTTGTCGAGCTCACTGAACTAGGAACGCATAGGACCAAGCGGATGCTGTGCTGCCAGCAATGGTCTGCGACTCTGGACGGACACCATGGTCGCAAGGCAGCTTCAATGCTGGCAATTTGCCTGCATCAATGCTGGCCGTTGGCCTGCACCTTGATCAATGTTCTCTTCTCTGATCTGGTGATCCAACTTTTGTAGTACCTAATAATACAAGTCGTGCCAATGCCAGCAACTGGTGTCGTGTACCG